GTCGCTAGTAGCAAAAAACAATCTGGTGTTGGGAAAGGATCTAGGTGCTCTACCTAGTTGTTTCGAAGTCCAGCTTTGCCCTCAAAGATTATCATAGGCGATATCCAGCTCCCCGTTAGCACAAATACAGTCTAAAGTTGTTATCCACTCCCTGCTACCGTCTCTAACAGCTGCTCGAACTTTCTTTTCATCCCAAAGTCTCTTGGAGAACACCCTTTTGGTCCTTGAAGTGACACCAAGGAGAAAGCCCTTTTCGTCCATATTATAGATATTTTGCGGCTAGATATCGTATTTCTCAATACAATCGTGAAGTAGACGGAAGTAATTATAGTAATCTTCAAAATCGTCAGCTTTTTTGCGGTTTTGGTCGATGCCGGCGGTGTTTCTGGTGATAATTTTCTCTCTGTTCCGCCGAAGAAATCTTGTAACCCAGCTGTTAGATGGCTGTCTTTTTGCAATATTGGCAACATATTTTTTAATCATCTCTCGGGACGGTGGAGTACTACGCTCAGAGAGTTTTTCTATGTGCTGGACAAGGTATTTCTCTTGTTGTGGTGAGAGTAGTCGTCGTGGGTGTGCAGCGGCTGCACGCGACCGCGTTTTGTTTTGGTGGCGACGCGTCAAAGTTGATGCCGCAACACCATATATTTTTGCAGCTGCACGGTACGAGATTTGTCCTTCTAGACCTTGCGAATTGATTGCCGCAAGCGCTTTTTCGATAGCTGTCATAGTGGTGGAGTTGTGGGGATTTGAAATTGGTGGGTTCTACTTTAGGAGATGCAGGGGGTGTTGCATTGTCTGACCCGTTGCACGCATTGACCACCCACACTAGGTGGTCAGTGCTTGCAACTGTTCAGCGGATGCAACACCCCACCAAAATTGGTGCTCCACCAAAGATGAGGCTATAGAGCCCCATACAAAAGCTATTATCACGAGATTTTCTGGTGGAGTACTGAGCAAGTAGTAATATATATTTCCGTCTATATATATTTCGCTGGTAACTTTATATTGCGGCCGCGGGTGGTGGTTTTGGTGGAGGGCTTGGCGGGCGGCGGTGCAACTCCATCACCACTCTCGCAGCCCACCACACGACGACGTTTTGCTGTTTTTGTATTCTGCGACAATGAAGCTTTTTGTTTAGGTGTACTTTGCTTATCGCGAGATTTTTTTGTTGTTGCAGCAAGCCGATCTTGTTCTTTTTGGGCGCGCGCGGCAGTAAGTTGTGCAGCCTTAGCCTCCCGTTCCTTCTTGCGGGCAACTTTTGCAATTTCCTGCGCCTGTTTTGCCTCTGTAGCTATTTGTTTCTTATACTAGGCAGTGGCTTCTCGCATCTCTTTTCTCTCTTTTTTTTTGGAGTTTTTCTGCCTCTTCTTCTTGGTGTTGTACAGCCTGACGCGCTCGAGCTTCCCGTACCGCCTGAGGGCTCCACACCACCGCCAGACTCTGGTACTCTTGGTGTTGTTGAAGGTTGAGAACCCTATTATGCTTCGGCCTCTGTTTTTTGGTGGCGATTTCACCGCGAAGTTCGTCGATCTCAACGTGGAGAAGCTCGTTGTTGACCTGCAGAGAATGTAGAGCCTGGCGGAGCTCTTTGGCTGCAGCTGTTGACCTATCTAGTACCGCAACGTCAAATAATCTTGACAGCGTACGCCAGCTATCTCCATCGCCCACCTCTCTACTTTTTAAGTTGTTATCTCGTTGTGATGTGGTGGTTTTGAACCGTTTGAGTACGACTTCGGGATCGCGGGGATGGAGCCTGGTGGCTGCAAAACTGCTTAAAATATTATTGGTAGTGAAGGTAGATGTATACGCCACCCAAAATAGGCGGAGGAAATTACTTTTCTGCATTTGGAGCAATGCTTGGCTGCGGCGTATGAACTCTGATAGCTCTTTAGAGTACGCCGCCGACAGCGGCCCGTACAACACCACGTCGAGAGGCTGTAGAGTATGGGTGGCGTGGGGTGGAAATATTGAAATTATTATTCGATAGGAGTAACAATATTTGATAAATTCGGGTGAGACGTGGCTACTATGGCCGTTGAGGATGAGCATCTGGTAATCGCGTTTGGCTTTCGCCTTCGTTTGACGATTAAAAACCTGTTTAAGCCAAGCTAAGCCTAGGTTGTTATTACTCTATCTAGATGGACTTGTAGAGAAAAAAACGTGGTGTTTTCTAACCTCTAGGTCGCGTACCTAGCTATCGCGAAGTCCAACCTTGCCTTTATAGATAACGCAAGGATCTACAGCGCTTCTATTAGCACAAACACATGCTAAAACTGTTATCCACTCTCTATTACTATCTTAGATGGCGGCGGTGATTATTTTTTAGTCCTAAAGTTGTTTAGAAAACACCCGTTTTGACCTTGTGGTGGACCTAAGTAGGAAGCCCTTCTTGTTTATATTGTAGATGTTATGCGGCGCAACGTCGTAGTTATCAAGTTTCCCGAAGATGAGATCGAAATATGATTGATAACTATCATGACTATTAGCTTCGTGACGATTGCGGTCCATCCTGGTGGTGTATTTGATGGTAAGGTTGGTGGTGTTGCGGTCTAGAAAGCGTGTGACCTAGCTATCTGATGGCTCCCATTCTGCAATATTTGATACAAAATTTTTTATTATAGACCTGGTAGGTGTAAGTCTACGACTAGAAAGCTTCTATATATACTTTACAAGCTTAGCTTTATATTGTGTAGTAAGTAATTTTGTGTTTTCTGCGGCGGCTGCACAGGACTAGGTTTGTTTGTGGTGGCGGCGCGTTAACGTTAACAATACAACACTAAACTTTTTCGCAGCTGCTCTATATAAAAGTTGTTCTTTAGGATCTTGCGTATCGACTGCTGCAAGCGCTTTCTCGATTGGAGTTATGGTGGTGGAGTTATCACGCGTTGAAGTGGGTGGGTCTGTTTTGGGAAGGTGCAGATGGTGTTGCATCCGCTGAACAGTTGCACGCACTGACCACCTACAGTATCTTGATACGTTTTGATCTAGTTATTTATTTTCTTAATGTGATGAGAGAGAGAAAAATATGCTAACAGTCTTTAGTTAGCTGTCCAATAGCGCTAAGCTAGGAATTAAGTGGCAGAAATAAGTACCCCTTGCTAGTGTCGGTGTTACAACAATTTAGCGCCGTTGTGTAGTACATTCGCAGGGATCAAAAGCAATGAAAATATATGTTCGGCAGTCACCGGCAAGTAGAACACGATAGCCAGGCTCTCATGGAACCGGGGATGCCGGAAATAGAGAACAGCAAACTTGCTGGCTAGGCCGCTTCAGCTGGTGCGCGCGCTGGCTGTTAGTTTTAACAGCAGCTGTATGCCTAAACATTAGCTTTTGCTGTTTTATTCTCTACTACATATTTGTTGAATATATTTTCTTCTAATCTACATTTATGAATTCTTATATAAAGGTGTTATGGTGCTAGTAAATAGCATCGAAGATACCAAGTTTGGGTGGGGAGAGCCTGACGTTCTCTATTCCGGCTTTCTCAGTTCCGTGAGAGCCAGGTACTTGGGCCTTGAGAAAGCTAGCAGACTGACTCGTCTCTAATTTACTCGACACGGCACGCGTATCGTTGACTATGAAACAGGCATAGCCACATTATCTCGGACCGAGGCTTACTTCGCCATCGCCACCCACATGGGCGAGTTGGTTGGTACGATTCCTATGCAGGTACGGAGTAGCTAATGCAGATGCAGGCCAAAGGGTATCCAGCACCCTGCGGCTCAATGAGAACATAGGAGAATAGCGGTTGATAGAAACATTTTAATGCTACAAGCTAATTGCTAGAATGCTACAGATATTCTCCACTAAATAATACAAAAACATGAATCGTAGGTACATTCCTCATAGTCCGTCCGTGTATACCGTCCTTACGACTCGCGAAATACCCAAGAAACATGTTCCATTCCAGGCCTGCGTGACATTCTGATCTTGAGGTCTGTCATAGGCTTCTTCACGGACAACATGTCCGTAACCATCAGTGCTGGCAGTCGTGGTGTCTCTGGCGAGAACTCAACGTCAAAAGTATGGAATATCATGGCGACTGTCAGTATCAATTCGTTCATCGCAAGCTGCCTGCCAGGGCAGAGAGTAATACCTCCCCCAAATGTGCGGTTGGCTGAGGGATGAACCTTTTCCGGCTTGATGAAGCGATCTGGTTTGAAGGCTTGCGCTGCCGGACCCCATATATCAGGGTTGGAGTGAATCGCTGTAGATGCCACTTGCAAGATTGCTCCTTTCTTCAAAAGATACCTGTTGTTGAGGTAGGTATTTTCATGGATGAAGAAAGTGCTCGTTGAAGAGCTAATTAATCGCAAGACTTCAAGGCATGTCGACATCAGGTAAGGGCATCGACCTCTTACAGCTTCGGGGGAGATAGTCAGAGTGCCGCATGTATCGGACGTGACCACTTGATTGAGTTCCTCTCTGATTATGGCTTTCAGTTGCGCGTCGTCTGAGATGTGTCCTATCAGCCAAAAGGCAGCAGGCACTGTGTTGATAACAAATCCAGAGATTAAGCCCAGGAAATATCTGGCAGCGAACTGAGTACCCATACGGTGTTTGTGTATGCACTGCATGAGACTTTTGACGAGCTCTGAATGGCCAGTCAGAAGTAAGTCGTTATCACGGAAATATGCCTCCAAAGCGCATGCGATCTTTTCGCGGGCCTGTGTTGCTGTCCGCGCTGAAAATGACGGAAACGGCCACATGGTGAGCCTTTTGAGGCCATTCGCCATTGTCCTGGAAGGTCAGAATATTGATGATTGTCGGGTCGGCTATTGAGACGTGACAACATACCACAGTGAGTCATTGATGGCTGGATCTTGAGCAAGGCAATGTGTTGGGCCGAACACAGCATGCCCTGTGGAGTGGAGGAATACTCCCTGTAGCCAGTTCAAAAGATTCACCGCCCCCTTTCTCTGGCTACACTCATCGATACTTTTCCATAGCTCATTGGCAACTCGGGTTGTGATCTCCTTTCCGGACGAAGATCTAACATCTAGATGAGCATGGATACATTCCTGAAGGTCTCTCCAGGGTGAGCCTCGAACGGTTGGGTTCTTCATCAGGGTCTCTAGGTCGTCTTGTCCCATGCCACATAGCTTTCCCATAACAACGACAAGGAACGGCAATGCCGTGTTCATAGCCTGGGGCGCACGACTTACATGAGAGACAAGCTCCGGCGAATTTACAATGTAAACCTTCTGCAGACCAAGAAAAATAGTGGAAATTGGCAGTCCCGATGACATCCTGTTCATGATTGAGTTAGCCGACCGCTGGAATGGATGCATGGAGGCATGGTATAAGTTTGAATGACACAACTCACTGTAGTCTTTGGTAGAAGGAGACGCCATGCCTCACCAGGCTCAGCGCATGTCCGATGAATGGAATGCGGCTGTATACAGGTTGAGGCTCGTTTCCAGAGGTATTGCAGACTATGTACTCAAGGAGGCGCAAGATACCGAAAAAAAAGAGCAATCAACACTCCGCCAGCAGCAATACGGCCCAATGAATCATAGTACATTGGTAAATTCATCATGAGTGAAGACACGGCTGGTCCAAGGAGATGAGCAATAAGAGAATCGAATTCGAAGGAGAACGGAATTGCCGATGTGGTCGTCTGCCTGCCCAATATCTATCCCGGCTGACCAGTTAGGTAAAGTGGAAAGGCAGCACACCATCATTAGAGGTGTGCTGCTAGACGGGCAAAACAGGTTGGCATGTTTCCATGAAGTTCGGACCAATATGGACCCAAAGTTCAATAAGCATGGTAAGGGCCTGTTTAGCAGCTCCAGTTGCAGTACAGCGCTATAACTTGAGTCAAGTTAGCGTTGACGCGCGTTACAAAGGAGATCATATCTCGTGTGTCCCGATCTAGCCGCACACCTATACAGGAGCACAAGGCGATAACGCTATAAAGTGAACAAGGTAATTCTCAATATTTATAATACGTGCCTGATTTCTTCTATTCATAGCTATTGGTACTTCTACTCAAGACAATATCATTTTATCATCATTTTATTATTGTTTTAACATATAATGATAAGAATCTGAACACGCATAAAAGACGGAGGGACGCACTTGACACGAGCTCCTTCGTATCTAGACCTTGTACAGTGCGTAATCTGCAACTGGAGCCACCAAACAGCCCCTAATATACCCCAGCCTCACTACATGAGTCAGTTGTTCACTTAAATTCCAGGAACAGCCGGCATTTGTACCTCGCTTGGTGCCGAAAGATGCCGTACACGCTACAAGGGTTAGAAAGTGAGAAATGTGGTTCTGTGCGCCAAAGAGACGATCGATTTCTGGTTAGAAGTGCAGAGGCTGGTAACAGAGGAGATTATCTGCATGTTCTCTCACATCTCCTCACTCAACATCTTTCGCATTTCAGCGCAACTCTACTTTAACCTGTTGTCCAAAATCTGGGCTCAGTCAAAACATGTCTCAATCAATCTGGAGGAATCTTGTATATGCTGTCCTCTTCTTGACAGCTCTCCTCGTATTCTATTGCTTTGGAAAGAATACAAAATCGCGTCATGATCGTACGGTACTGAAACCGTCGATACCTTTCATCGGCCACATGATAGGCATGGCTACTCAACAGATCGGATATTTTCACCACCTCTAGTATGAACACACAGACAGCAGACACATCAACTACGCCGCTGACTTACTAACAAGGTCTAGCGAGAAGAATCCCGTCGATATTGCCACCCTCCCAATGCTCATGGGCCACATACATGTTATATTCGATCTTCAGCTGATGCAAAAGGCACTCTCGTCTCGTGCCATGTCATTTGAGCCGTTACTTATTCCTCTAGCCCGACCCCTTCTAGGACTCAGTCCTAGTGTTATGCAGGCTATATACTCGGGGATGCTCAGTAGCTTAATGCATGCCACCAGACCGGCGCTCACCGGGAAACCTCTCACTCATCTCAACTCTGTCGCCCTCGGGGCGCTTGTTGAGCATCTAGATGATGAAATGCTACAAGTCGAAGAGCTGGAGGTCTCTGACCTGTACAGGTGGCTTGGTATTGCTCTAACGATTGCTACGGGCAGAGCACTCTATGGTTCGCAAAGTCCATTGAGTCGGGATCGAAGCCTTATAGATGATCTTTGGTAAGAACAATGTCACCTCGTCACTTGATCGAATAGCCTCACTAACTTCTCCAGGTCATTCAAGAATGGATCTCAAAGACTACTGGTTAATATTCTTCCAACTATAACCGCATCCAAAGCATACAAAGCTCGAGAGAGACTTGTTTCAGCTCTGACTCCACTATTTGAAGTCTCAATGCAGGATACAATCGAGGATGTATCGCGTGTGAGAGCTCGAGTGCACCGCGAGTTTGGAAATACGGGTGCGAGAGATATTGCGAGATGCGAAGTGGCCATGTTGCACGTAGCAACAGTGAACACAACACCTCTGTTATTCTGGACTGTTGTCCACGTATTCTCACGCCCGGACCTTGTGGAAGCGATCCGCACCGAGTGCATGGCATTAGTAGAAGTATCGTCCCCAGAATCTCCTACCGACTCCATGCAAGTTACCATCGATGCCAGTCAGATAGGGCGCAAATGCCCGATGTTGATGGCGTGCTATCGCGAGACATGTCGACTGAATGGACAGCCGCTGTTGGTACGATTGGTTTCAGAGGATGTGGTTATGAACAAGGGCCACGATGGAAGATCTCAGCACTTGATCGATGCTGAATCGCAAGTCATGATGCCTGCGGGGGTCACGCACCGCCTGGAAGAGGTCTGGGGACCTGATGCCTCAGAATTCCGACCAGAGAGGTTCATTGGATGGCCTGACACTGCGACGAGCGCTCAACGTTCTGCATTTACCCCGTTTGGTTCCGGTCGGCATATCTGTCCTGGCCGGCATCTTGCCCAGTCTGAGATTCTAGGGCTAGTTCTGATTCTCTGTCTTGGTTACGATATGCGGAGTGCCGACGGCCCGGAGATGGCGATTAGAATACCCACGATGAGCACACCCTTGCTCGGCTCTGCAGTCGGCGAACCGGCAGCTCATGAGGATCTAGTTGGCATCAAGATACGAAGGCGGTGCGGTTGGGACCGGGTATCTTGGAGGTTTGTTTCCTAAGTCATGGGCTATTGCAAAAGTTTGAGATTGTGATTGATGAACTGTAAGCCGGCGCGCACCGGCCATCGGCACTGCACTATTCGGTAATGGTCTAGTCAAGATCGGCGTCGTTTGAATAGCTTTTGCAATCAAAATTGATTGCAAAGAGCTGCCTAGCCAAGTCTACTTTGTAATAGGGTCCTATATTTACGAATAATCTTACTCTTGGCAGACACTAAGTATCTTACATGTTTACTTCTATATTGTGCATGAGGTACAGGGTATAGTACCTCACCGCTCCTCCATATTATGTACTCTACTGCATTGTGAAAGCCGCTACGTTCGCACGCTAAAATCACTCGTAAAACTAATAGATGTTAGTAGGACTAAGCCTAGCGTGTTACGTATTAACAAAAAGGAGACACTGACCGCGTAACCCACTTAGCCTACTACAGTAAGAGGCCGAAGTCAAGGCCGTAATTTGTGAAAATTGGGCCGATCTTTAGTATCGTCACAACGAAGGAGCTCACATTCCGTGTGTTCCTATCTATCCGCGTACCTGTGACGAAGAATAATCCGCTAACGTATGTGATATATATAATTTTTTCTAATTCCCAAAATATGTAAGCTATTTTTGGCTGTACAAAAGTTACTAGCACGTAAGTCTGATTTTTATTATCTCAGTATTATTCAAATACATAATACTAGAAGTCTTGAAACGTACATAATGGGTGGGAACACTAAATACGCGTTCCTTCGTATTGTCACTGTATGAGCTTATGCAGTGACGATACTAAAGATTGGCCTACTTTTCTCAAATTACGGCCTCTAATTCGGCCTCTTACTGTAGAGCGATACAAGAAATGGGGTACGTCACTTTAGATAGCTATCCCTAAATGCTATTTTACTATAGGAGGCTGGGCCAACAAGATATTCTCCCTCAGTCTCTATGGTCTCTATCGCTATAGTTAACACCCTGAGAATCCTCCTATGTATATTACAATAACCGCTCTATACCTGGGTCCATTTCTTGATCCAAGTTGTTACTCTGAAAGGCACTAGAGCAGAAGAGTCTTCTCCTAAAAGCTGCATTGGATAAAACCAGGTTGGTGTAGACCAGGCTAGAGCGCACAGAACCCATAGGAATCCAACAAGCTTATAACAAGCTCGTGGAATATGAACAAAATCCAACTGGTCTATAAGATGCTGCATCAAGTCTTCGAACATGATAAGTAGGGCCTGTAGCACGAAGAATTCGTGTCCGCCGGCTTCTTGGAGGGGTATGCCCATGGCTAAGTCCGAAGCGTGATGAACTGCTCCCGATAAAGCAAAAGCCAATGTCAGCCGTGTATAGCGTGACAGTAGAGTGCCCGGTGGTATGCGGAGCAATGAATGGGTAAACGCATCTGCAAATTCGCAAAGGCTTTGGCGCAGACACTGGTGCCAGACCTTGCTGCAAGGTTTTGCCTATGTTAGCTAACAGGATATGTCTTCTTGGCTTTGACTCACCCCAAAACTTACGAAGACTGTAAGCTTCACGGAAAGATCCAAATAGAGGGGCGCAGTCGCTGGGCTGCCATAGATTCAAAATTACGCCGATGGTACTTGCCGTGCCGTGTAGAAAAAATAGCAAAATAGCGACAGTGATCCAGAAAGATATCGAACCGACTATCCGAAATACGGCATCTTCGACCGAAAGACCCGACAGTCTCCACAACGTCTGTTTCGGTACTTGCAATAAATGCTGGCTTGGACCAGGGGCAGATACACAGAGATCCAATAGGACATAGGCGAAAGACTGCCAAAGGAATCTGCCGGCGACAAATTGGATAAAGCTTTGCTGAGTCCTTGGAGGAACATTCTTGGCTGACCACGAGGTCCCAATTCTGCGGAGATTCCAGAGCAACAGCATTCCTTGAAAGATAGCAGCAACAGTGGAGAGCTTCGAGGATTGGCAAGTTTCGAAGAAGGTAAATGTGGATACGGAAGAGATCGTGATTAACTCGGATGCGCTGAGGAACTGTATCCAGAGTAAGGGGGACCCGATTCCCCGCCAGTGCGGGTTGAGACAAGTTTCGAGCAGGCTTTTCTGTGTGAGGTAGGTGATGTAGGCTAAGGCAACGACGCTAAGTTGCCGATAGACCTTTTTTCTCGGTGGAACAAGAATTATTGCGCATGAGTAGATAAGTAGAAAGACACATTGCCAGAGAATAGTGCCGATCGAAAGAGAGCAACTGTAGACGCGCGTTGTCATGATGGTGAAAGCAAGCAAGGTGTTCAATGGCAGGGTTTGCTGGCTTTAAATAGGGTCTTCTCTAAGCATTTTCCGTATGGAGATCAAAAGAGAAAGTAAACTAGCTGCAGACCTAGCTTCAATCCCTGTGCTATACACAGTACTGCAGCGGTAAGTTTTGTGCCTTTCGGACCGAGCGTGTCACAAACCGAGCGTGTCACAAATCCACCATCACGTGAATGTTTTTGATACAGTAATTATTATTCGTTAGCGTATTATGATAAGCTGAGTATGGAACTTTCTTTGAGATAAGCAAAGCTAATTGAGTCAACTCGGCGCTGAGTCCAGAATACCGTGGCTGAGTAAGACTCTGACTAGCTTCGGAGCCGCAAAACTTACCGTTCTCTCGGAAGACCGGTGAAGCCGTACATAGATAACAAGCAACTTCTATCCCCTTCTTTAAACCTAAATTATATTCTCCATAATCCAGTTTATCTGCTCTTTAAAACTACTATCGCAAAGCGTAGCTTTTACTTCGTATTTTAAGCTTTAAATTAAGCATTTGGGGGTGCGAAAAAGGCAAAGTCTTAGTGTTGTTTGTAAACAACTTTAAGGTTGGGCAGCTTCTTTGTCCGGTTGTACCAGTCTCCTGAGAGCCGCTGCATCACCGTAGTTTATACCAGTAAGATTAATGCGGCCTAACTCGATTCGGAGTTGGCCCCGTCCCAATAAAGTAAGCGCATTATACCCAGTTAATTCTCCCGAGGCTATTATTGTTCTTTCTGTCACCTAGGCAACGTATCTGTGAGACCTTTATAAATGCCGTCAGCACCATCATCCAGCTGGTATATATGGCACCTGCCTGCATCCTCACTAGCCTTCACCAACCAATCGATCATTCAAATGTTAGTTTTATCCCTGGGCCTCAAGTCACCAACAAGACAGCGTCAGAAAGACTGAAATATTCAGTCGCAAGGTCAAACCCAGAATGTTAAAAAGTGTTTTACACGTGGCAAATGAACCCCAGAAGTCAGCTATCTGGGGTCGAGCCATCAATCGAGGATCATTGGGCTATTCTGTCCTCTCAGCGTCACTAGTCTGTGCGACGCCTCTACTAGGCATTACATTCAGCATCATCATCAATGACTTCCAGGGCTCAGTCTTGGGTTTTGTCTATGCTGCATACTCTGGAAAACTCTCGTCGATCCTTCCAGCTTATTACTTTCGCTTTAGCTGGCATGCTCTAGCTGGGTATGCGTTCTGGGCCTTTCTTCAAGCGCTTCTCTTCTGGGGTCTTCCCGGAAAGAAGGGCTTAGGGCAACCGACTGCGGGTGGCAATATACTCTCATACAAAACCAATGGCCTCTCTGCGTGGTTCGTCACGCATGCCATTCTTGGCCTCCTTTGCTTGATGGGAGTTGTGGACCCTGGCTATATCCCGAGGAACTGGATTAATTTATGGCATGTGGCTAATGTTTTTGGCTTCTTGGTGTCTGGTTTTGCCTTTATCAAGGCTCATCTTGTTCCCTCGCACATACAAGATCGAAAATTTAGCGGTAAGTGGTAACCTTCACAAACCAACAGAATTAGTTAGCTGGTGATGTTAACTGTGCAACTAGGTTCTCTCTTGTACGACTTTTACATGGGCATTGAACACAACCCTAGGATTGGGAACGACTTCGATATAAAGCTTTTCACTATAGGAAGATTGGGTATGGTTTCTTGGACTGTTATGTGAGTTTGTTATCAATATCTACCTCCGGACGATGCTGGAGGGCTGACTCACTCGGATCATAGCGACATATCGAACATTGCCTACCAATATCAGACATACCGTATTATCACGCCCTCACTTGTCCTTGTCACAATACTGCATGGAATCTATGTGATAGACTTTTTCGTTCACGAGGATTGGTACCTACGGACAATTGACATCGCCCATGACCACTTTGGTTTCTACCTGGCTTGGGGGTCCATTGTCTGGATCCCAGCTACTTACACGCTCCAGGCACAGTATCTAGGCCAATTCCCAACGATAGTGTCCAGAATCTATCTCATAATCGTTTTTGGTCTGGGTCTGGCTGGATATGTAGTGTTCCGCGTCGCGAACAACCAAAAGGATCGAGTCCGCAGCAGCAATGGCAACTGTGTCGTTTTCGGACAGCCTCCGCGATACATCCGAGCCAGATATAAGACAGCAGACGGAAAATTTCACGAGAGCATCTTGCTTTGTAGCGGATGGTGGGGGTGGTCACGACACGCAAATTATGTAGGCGATCTTCTTATGAGTTTTGCCATGTGTGCACTAGTTGGTACTACAAAGCTGCTGGTATGGTTCTATGGCTTTTTCATGCTGGTTTTACTTATACACCGCTGCTTGCGAGACGAGAAGCGGTGCCACGATAAGTATGGCAAGTACTGGCAAGAGTACTGCCGTCTTGTCCGCTGGCGCCTGATACCTGGAGTTTGGTGAGCTAGTTAGCTTACATCAGACACAGACAGTCTGAATAGCTTGCTAAGCGGATTTGGCTGTCGTCTCTTATTTATAGTAATATGGGGAAATTATATAACTAGAGGTACTTTTAAATGTAATTTCTGGCGCTAATTTCAACGCTTTCGCACAACTCATCTGGAAAGAATCAGTTCTTCTATAGACTTGTAGCTGCTTTCTCAAGTCTTGTACTATTTAAGAGTGGGTGTAGCGTAATCCGTTACACCTACAAACAGACATTATCTATCCATTACGTTCTTACTTACGTATCCCCCTAAGCCGAAACGCCTTATAACACCAAACCATGCGGCCGCCCAAGAAAGAACAGATTTCTGTTGTTATTTGTCGTTTTTGATCGTGGTTGTTTGATTCTCTCATTTAGGTCAATCAGTCTACCCTCTTTTCATTTTACAGTTTTTTTTTGTCTTTTTTCAAATGGGTGTTGTTTTTAGGTCTTGTTCTTTTTGCTTTTGTCTATGGCTATGCAGTTCTCATCGGAAAGGGAAACAAATGTGAGGTAGCAATTTTATGAATTCCATGTCAGGATTGTTGAAAAGAGTGGGAAGAATGCGCGTTGAAGGGGTCTCGGGTCCAGAATCCTCAACCCCAAATGGCGGTCATGCGGTAGTGACGTTTGGGGAGGGTTGTGGATGGCAGGCAGGCAGGCGGGCAGGTAGTAAGTGGTGGTTATGTGCCCGCCAGGCCAAGGAGGTCGTCGTCGTGCTGAAGTGGCGGTCCAGTATACTGCGAATCTGTGAGGAGTGATTCAGCGTCCCCGAAGCTCTGACTTCCATGGTTGTACGCCTCATTTCGGTGGCTGACTGGGTTGCGCACGGTGTTATGGCGGACATTCTTGCGGGAAATCGCTGGCTTGAGATGAAGTTCTGCGTGTTTTTTGCGAGAGTGCTTGAGACGGGCGTCTTTCCTTGCAAACGAGCAGTTGCATTCGTTGCTGGCACATATGTACTTCTTCGGGCTAAGTCCATGTTTCAAGCGCATGTGTCGAGCGAAGTTGCCTTTTCGGTATTTCCCGTGGAAACGGGTTGTGCAGAGAGAACAGAGCAGCGGGTCGAGGGTTGTCGAACGCGTGGAAGTCGAAGGAGGTGAGCGAGTGCCGGACGATCTGTTGTTGTCAGAGGTGAATCTTGCAGATGGCGAGGAGTTACTTACGAGGCCAGGGCTTTGCTATCAACTCTAGCCAAGCTGTCCCCAGGTGGCGCCAGCTCTCGGTGGTAACCATGCTGAGGGATCTGTGGCTGGCATGTAGTCTCTGAGAAACCATTAGCCTGCCAATTTCCACCACCGGATCCAGTTTGCTGGTTATTCTGGATCAAATCACCGACATCTCGGTTGAAAGCCGATACATCAAGCGAGCGAGTCGGATCAGAGAAGTTGCAGTAAGCCGATTCGCCTGGACGAGGACCACCGTAGACATCAGAATATATTTGCTGCCTCCCTTCGAGTTGCGGCATCAGCTCCGCCGAATTCCGGTATCGTCTTTGCTCAAAGGCCGACCAAGGGTCATCGTTTCCTAGCACTGTACCCCCCGAATCCACTTGTCCCGGCACTGTGGACATGGCAGGCATCTCAGGGACCATGCTGGTAGGACGCAGGAAATACCCGTGAAGATTCTCCTGAGCATCCTGTTGGAGGGATTTTGTGAAACGAATGCTATCGCGATACAAAGACATTGACTCGGAGGGGGTGGGTATAGCGGCTTCGACGCCATAAGCGCTGCTGTCCATGGCGACAGGACTTTGGTGCGGGCGATTGCGAAATTGCCCAGCACCATCGAACCCGGGTCCTAATCCCATAGAGATGGAGACGTGGTACCGGTGGTTGAGGTTGGACCTTGGGCTTGCGAGTTGTTCTGACAGCTGCTGTTGATGCCAAGGCTTTGATTCGTAACCGTTGTGAGGGTCGGATCCCGACGTCAGGCTTTGATAGGCGGCTGTAAAACCAATATTTCTATTGGGGCTACCGCTCCAGGACATGTTTTCGATACTCGTGGGGTTGCTTGTGCCGCCGCCAGATCCATAATGCTGCTGCTGAGCGTGCTGCTGAACGGGACTTGGTTGATGTTCTTCACTTGACTCTCTGATCGAGTGAAGATCGAAGTAGGATCCCGGGGAATACATCGGGAGAGTGTTCGAAGGCGAGTGCATCTTCCCCCGTTGCCTCATGCTCGTACCGGAGATGAGAATGACTGTGGGGCTGGGGTGGTGATAGGGTGATAAAGAAGCTCAACCCCAACTGAATATTATAATGAGTATCTCAATGGATGAGGTAGATCGAATGAAAGAGTTTGGGTGGTTCGGCTGTGTTGTCGTTTGTTGGGTGATGTGTCGGGGCGGGAGGGGAGGTTAAAGTGTGGAATGAAGGACCAACATTAGCGCGTCTGGCATACAAGCATCACACGCCGCTTTGCTGTGTTGGGCGACTTTCTTGGACTAGCCCATGGTGTTTCCAGACAACTGCGAGATGGAAGAGGTATTCCGCTGGCGGGAGGGGAGATGCCAATATTCTGTTGTTGAATGTGGCCTTGGATAACCATGGGCATGGCGGCTTGGTCTGCTTAGCGACAACACAAACGGGCTGTGTATACCCCCAGCTCTACATCTCTTGACATATTGTAGGGCAGCCTGTAGGGAATCATCCACGAGAATCGTTTTTTAGACCAGCGAGCGACCTGGCAGGGTTGCTTTAGGCACAGCCCGGACACGAACTCGCTTTCGCCTACTTCCCCTCTCCGGTGCAAAGTAGCAGCAACATCTTTTCATCGATGATGATACTCAGCCTGGTGCAGGGAAAGGCATCCGGCTCCTTTGTTTCGCGTAGAGCCTTGCTATACCCACCGGCGGTGTGCTCGGGCTCACTCTTGCCAGCGCATAGTTGGTCGTCCTTGTGTACATTCTTACTGAACACGTAATAGGTCCCTTTGGCGAAGGAGCAGAGCACTAGGCCGTTGCAGCTGAGATGGTAGTTACCAGAGACAGCCGACCTTGCATGACCAGTGCTGTACGTATCCACCCCCTGGTTGGCTCGGGTCTACCTTGCCGGTTCCATCTCCGTGATCATTGCCCATAGGTTGCCTGCATCGATGACAGCATGCTTCCTATCGATACGGTGGTTTGATGAAGGGAGACTCGCTTCCTCGAATGCCTTCAGTGGGTGGTGGAGGTGGAGGTGGCGGCGACGGTAACGATGCAGTGTCTCTAAGAAGGACAGGACAGGCTTCGGGCTCGGACGGCGACGACAACGATGACCCTATTCCGCTGAGCAGTGGCTATGTTAGCTCAAGACTGCGAGCAGCCTTGAGAATGCCCTACACAGGATTAGTCCGGTCTGCCTACCGCTGCCCACGTCAATGGCGATGTCGGGAATATCGTGCTTGGAAAAAGAAGGGGCTTGGCAGTGTGAAAACTGGCATCTTGCGGCTCGAATGCCATGAAATACAATGTAGGTGCGTCTGCGAGCGTTCAGAGTGCCATCAAGTTCCATTCTAGCGGAGTAAGGCCTTCTTATTATCATGCTGGGCGCACTCCTTCGCTCCAACCCATAGCGCCATAGCGCCACAGCTTGCTGACTGCCTATGGATTTCATCCATGCCATATAGTAGTGGGAAGGACTTTCCTCATCTGAAACTGCCGTACAGTAGGTCCCTCGTGGCGGCCATGCGAACTGCATTCACCCGTGAGCGGAACAGGGATGGATTTCGGCCCCAGCCGCTCACTGCGCGAACCGCCCCTAAGACACCATCAACCGCTTTGACCGATGTCTCTGCAGCAATCAATTCATGAGGACCCATTGTTATATTACTCATTTACCGACAAGTCGCTTCATCAGTGTTAGTGCCCTCTCCTGCGTGCTTCAAAACCGAGCAACTGGGGCGTAGCCTCACCACGGGATTCGGAGAACGCACACACATTTGGTCTAGGCGCGCGCTACATGACCCTTTCCACGCAACCTTTACGAGTACGGTGTGGATGCCTTCTTCTACTGATACAGCTATGTCGCGCATTTGGGCTGGCCACAGACTGCTGAGGACTAGCCTACATCACGCTGTCAACGCCACTCGTACTGCTTACAAGGCGGGAACAGAACCGCAATGGCTCATATTGGGCACTACGAACACAGAGAAATCACATGTCCCGGATGTCCAGGTATATCAAGGCTGGCAAGCATGATTGGCGTGACTGAACGCACTGAGAACCTCGTGATCGCCAAAATAAGCCCAACCATGGGTTTCGCAAATCCCAAAGGATGTCATGGACCCGTCATTTGGGTGCGAGCCTGTCTCCTAGCTGATCCAGCACAAGCATCACGGGAACACCGGTTCGCGAGGGAAGGTGGCTTGCAGCGCTTACGCTGCTCTTGGACGGAGTCGCCGCGAACAACCACCCCAAAAGGTAGCAGATGGGCAGCTGATATGCAACCGCATTTGTTGCCATGTATGTCGGCACTTGCACACGCACACACATATTACATACTGACACCCACCAGACAGGTCAGGACGCGACGGCCCGAGCAAATGACAGGATCACATAACCTGCCCAGGTCTGCAGGCTTCGCTTGAAATTCCCACGTTGTAAGCGCTTTGCTTGGTGGAGGGGGGCAGCAAGTTTTACGACCCCAATTCCCACACACCACTTTTGGTCTGCAGCCCAATCTCCCACCACTCGAGCGCAGCTTACGGAGTTCGCTGCTGAGCATGTGTCTGTGTTGGGCGTCTGTCCTCGGAGCGGGGAGTGTCGTGCCGGACGGTCCCCCCCCGGCAAGCCATCACGGCTCGGATAGCCGCCGGTGAAGCGCTTCGCTGTGATGGGTCACATCAACACATGTATCAACGTGTACTGCGGTGTCGGTGTATAGTGGGCCTCGGTTTGTCACTGCGCGCGGTTCCAGTCCACCGGCTCTTAATACATTGACATATGTAACATGGAGGACGACGACTTACCGGGTCTATGGACCTGCTCGTAAAGCATCCATGGCAATGAAGCTCGTGATGTAGAGTGAAAGGTTAAGTTTATAGTGCGGGTGTAGATCATACGCTAGGCGGCGATGAAGCGCAGGATGTGTAAGACTGATAGTTCCCTCTAGCGTACGCTTGAGATACGAAGAGTGAGTGCTGAGTAGATGGTCTCGGGAACGCTGACCGATGAGATAATCGCCATGGCCCCGGAAACTAATGCTTATGGTAGTAGTTGTAAGAGAAATTTTATGTTCGGGATGGAGAATACGATTATATGCTGCGGACCGCCCCCATCTCACCCTGTCATATAGTTTCTTTTGTACCGCGGGTAATCGAGGGTGGCTTACAGGTCAGACCGCAAGGCAGACATGCTCCTCATTTGGGACTGGCTCCAGAGACGGCTGGAATTGCCTAGACCGAGACAACAGTGATCAGTCTAGCATATGAAAAGCAAAACTGTGACCAAATAGTCGCTTCGCAGCTGGACACTCACCTATCCTTGATCGCCAAAGGCTGCTTTTGTAAACTTGCGTATCACTCTCCGCGGGCAATTTTCTGGATTTCCTTGACATTGGGTGCATTATTTCTCCCACACTAGTGATGACAAGAGACGGATCGATCCTATCAGGGTGCAGTTCCCGCTGCTGACCACCGTCTTCGAATACTAGCCCTCTAGACAGTAGCCTCCGAGGCCAACATGACGAATGGAGATTGGTCATGGGTAGGTGCTTTTGATCTCTCCCATGTTCGAAGTTTGCATGAACAGTGAAGGAAACAAGAATACGTAGTCTTTGAGCCAGCCAGTGAATGCTGAGGTAGTATTGTCGTTCCGCTTGCGTCAGACCTTACAGCCCCTGCTACGCAAAATCGTCTATGCCGAGTAACATAAGCGTCGGGAAGTATTGGGTATCGTGATAGGGGCGCTTGTGGCAAACGAACCCCAAAGTCATGATTCGATATTGCCGTGGTGTCTATGCCTGTGATATCAATGACATCTACGCCCGATTCGTACCACCCTCTTGCAGATGAGAAGTTTCTTCATCCTGCGTAGCTGTGACTGGCTGAAAGTGCGGGAAGTTGGATAGACGAGATGGCAATGGCTGGCTCCGTGGCCATGAGACCAGTGATAAAAGGACATGCGTGCCTCGCGCTGAGAATTGCGCCATTCTGACTTACCGCATCTGTTGCCTGTACAGATTGCTTCATACCTATTTGGACTATATTTCAGCAGTAAACATGCCATTTTTCCAACGCTTTGGGAGGAAAGATGCCAACCTTGATAGCCACTGCCGAGATGATGACCAGGCACGAGCCGTATACAATGAGCGAGTCAGCCATATGCGGAAACTTGAGTATCACATGCTCAAAGGTGTGTTGGCTTACGGCCCACCTTACATGAGTTGCTGACGGCCCATAGGCTTGACGTACCTGGATCACGGGGGCACTACTCTCGCACCAAGGTCGTTGCTTAACTCATTTTGCAGTGAGATGCAGCGTACTCTGCTTGCCAATCCGCACTCGGATGCTTCGAACCCAAGTGCCACTGCCATAATGGTAGAGTCTGTGCGGCTTGAGGTGCTGAAGATGTTCCAAGCCGACCCAGAACATTTCGACGTCGTCTTCACAGCGAATGCGACTGCTGCCATCAAGCTCGTTGCAGAAGGCTTCTCTGGGTTGGAAGAGGGTTTCGATTACTTTTACCACCGTAACAGTCACACAAGCTTGGTTGGTGTCCGTGAGCTCGCTTGTAGTAACCATTGCTTCACGTCGAATGTGGAAGTGGTTGACTGGCTCGCTGACAGCGTCCGTGCCACTGACGTGCCACAACGGCCAATACTATTCGCCTATCCTGCACAATCGTAAGCAGAAACCCTTGTATAGAGCAGTTTGAACATTTCGCTAACTCGAAGTGCTCTAGGAACATGAACGGTGAACGGCTTCCACTAGACTGGGCCAAGAAGCTGCGTCTCTCCGCCAACCACGAGAGAGCATATACTCTCCTCGATGTCGCTGCCTTGGTATCAACGAGTCCTTTAGACCTAAGCGATCATTCGGCTGCCCCCGACTTCACCGCCCTCTCCTTCTATAAGATCTTTGGCTTTCCCGACCTTGGCGCGTTGATAGTACGCAAAGCCGCTGGCCACATCTTCGATCAACGCAGATATTTTGGGGGCGGCACAACAGAGATGACAACATGCACTGGCGATGTATGGGTAGCTCGAAAAGATTCCAGCCTACATGCGCGATTGGAAGACGGGACAATCGCGTTCCGAAGCATCCTTGCCCTGAAGTTTGCCATAGCAACGCATAGGGAGTTGTTTGGTGGGCCTGGACAAGTATCCAAACACACCAGCTGGCTTGCCAGGAATCTCTATGAGCGTCTTGCCGGTTCGAATCACCTCAACGGTATGCCAATGTACCGTATTTACAAAGCAGCCGACTCGAAATACCACGATCCAAAGACGCAAGGTGCGACAATCGCTTTCAATGTGTGTAGGAGCAATGGATCATACACGGGCCCATGGCATGTTGGCTGCTTCCTTCGGAGACACGACATTCATATCCGCACAGGCACTGTGTGCAATCCTGCTGGAATGGCGTGCGCACTGGGCCTCAACTCTGAGTGGCTCCGAAAAGCCTTCGAGAAGGGGTATCGATGCAACACGGAGCAGGATGTTGTGGAACAGATACCTGTTGGTGTGGTTAGGGTTACTTTCGGTGCTATGAGTACCCTTGAAGATGTCGAGAAGCTCGTCAGCTCCTTGTCCGAACTTATCTCGGAGGAGGAAAGCCACCTGCAGAGTGAAAAACGAGCGTCTGCAGAGAACAGGAATTCGACCATGGACTTTGCAGAGCGCACACCGGTAACGGAAGGGCTCCAAAGTCGAACAGAAACTGATGATTCACAAGGCAACACGCCGGTCAAACGCAATTTCATTGCTGTGCGGAATCGAAGTCACAGATTAACGCGCCTGTTGCATGTTTGCTTAGGTAGTTAACAATTTGGGAAGTGGAGAAACGGCGTATATATCTTTGTTCGTAGACATACAAAAGCTATTTTCTTGTAATATCGGCATCCAACCAGTCCAAGTGGCACGATTAGGCTAGTCTAGTTCTAGCGCGACCTTTGCCCTCGATGAAAGATGTGGTTTCCGATACCCGCGATTCACATGTCGTCAATTGATCGTCCCGAGTAGGTACCACTAGCGTAAGAATCAAGTTCACTAGGGGCACTTACCGAGGCCGCGTCTTTTCGAGTTTATACCGATGCGCAGGATGAGAATGCCAGGTTTAAAGTGCGACTTTCTAAATACTAATTCGCCACTTTGCCTATCGTTAGGAGCTATCAGCAACACACAAGGATGCAATCAACTCATCCAAACTTCTAGTGAGTCGACGAAGATCCATATCGCAGTGTTGTTTTCGCAGCGAGAGCTGTATAGTAGTCGTATTACCAGCCATCCAATTGAGTAGGGGTACGAGAATAACGTCAGACATGCATGCTGTCACGCGACCTTGAAATAAACTAAACTTCCCGACATATTACGAGCTTACATTTCTTACTCAGTCTTACTTTTTCATTCTCAAAGCCTCCAATTAAACAATCTGATCTGACAAACATCCTGGTAATCACGCTATTGATCTTATGTTCGCCAGCTTGATGAACTAGTAGTTCGATCGCTTTACCCTATCCGTGAGAGTGGCCAACGAGGAGAAGCATAGCATGTACAGTGCCAGGGCATGATCAAGTAGAAAGCATACTAGTGTTCACGAGACAGATCGCTAGTGAGCCTTACCAGCAATCGATGGTACTAGGATATTTTGGCGTGATCTAGACACGTGACATGAGTCTTACGCGGGACGGATCGGGGCGGGTTTTAACACCATCTTAACTGCCAGTCTAATCGCCGTGTACGCCCTTGACTCCTCTAATCTATCTTAATTGTTCGGTTCATTCGCTAGGCCAATCGCTACGCACTGGTTAAATCGCCAAGTTAATCAAGATACTCAATCTCAATTACCGTGCGCTAGCTCAATCGCCAGGTACCAGCCAAGTTAATCACCGCACCCCATCTCAACCCCCCCCCCAGTCCAAGCACCGTGCGCAACCTAACCACAGCCTGTTCTCTTCCGTCGAGCTCAAAGTAATAATAGACCTTGTCTCCGTATCCGATACTTGCACCAAGGTAGCGGGCGTGCCTCATTACCGCACTCTGCAGGTACGTGCGTACGATCCAAGAGTGGAAAAGCATCCACCTCCCAATCCCAAATAACGACAAACACGGGTCAACTGAATTCAAAGCCCATCTACAGACGTGAAATACTTCAAACCACACGATAAAGAGGGATACTCACAAACCTACCGCCAACTAAACCAGCACATTCACACAGCGCCCCCCCCCCAATACCCCCTTTTCCATCCCTCCAAGTTGCGCCACCCCCAAACATCATGTCGCCATGTCCCAGCAGGTCACATGGCTACATATCCAACATACGACGTAATGTCCAGTACATACGACCATAGGACATTTCCCGAAAACATTCGATCCCGTTCGCTCTCGAGAAGTTGAACGGTGTACCGGCGGACTAGTAGTCAGGTGGGTGACCACTGGCGAATCCCCGCTGTTGTATGTTTTTTTTTGGATTTTTTTCATCTCGCGCTGATGGTGAGAAGCGGGTGTAGTAGGGCTGACGCTGCACGCAATACATGCTGGACGGGGGGAGGCTAGAAATGTATGTAAGAAGACTGACGTCATCTCATGGAGCGTTGTTGAACGACAAACATAGTCTTTCACTGCGGGGGAGGGATAGCGATTGAAGTAACGCGTGTATTAGTTTTCTCTATTTGTCTGGGTATTAGCGTGATCCTTTTTTGTCTATATGTATGTATGTATGTATGTACATATGTATGTGTATGAAATCATAAATTCCCATATCTTGCAGCCGGCAAACAGACAGCAATGGCAGACGCCTCACGCTACTGTACAGTACACGATGCGGGTCAGTATGCGACGAAGCGGTCGCAAAGCTCAAGCGGTCGCTGGCGGCAGCGCATTTCCGCGACGAAAGTTCGAGGCGGCGGACCAGTGGCGGCAAAAGGACGGCGCGCACCGTTGTGCGATGGTAAGTAAGCGGCTGGCAAAATTAAGTATAGTATTGGGTTGACTGGCGCGCCGCAGAAGCCAGGCTGAACCAGCTAGAGTACCGCACTACCGCGCCAGCGTCGCCGTTGAGGGCTTCGGCGATATCCAGGTGCAATTTTGTGCATTGGAAAAGTGAGAATGCTAATGTGCTTCTGCTGCTGTTTTTGTGCCATGGGTGGTTGGGCGTCGTTTGTCGAGGTGGAGGAGGTGCTTGCGTTGTTCGCGGGGGCGCGCGGATGACGAGGATGAAAGTGAAGAGGGAGAAGAAAGCAGGCGAGACCAGGATAAAAGAAGAAGAAGATGAAGAAGCCGAATTTCCACGTTGTCGCGCCCTCACTACCTAACTTTGGGTTTAGGCAGCGCATCGCGAAGCGCGGGTTTTGCGCTGTCGCAGTACGCAGAGACGTGTTATTTGCTGATGAAGGCACTCAGGTATGCGCAGTACGTGAGTCAAGGCGGCGACTGGGTGGCTTCTACGTGACGCGAATCATGGGCGTGGTGTATCCGTCGAGCGTGGTGGCCAGCCATATCAACCTGGTGCACGCGCAGCCGCCGGTGTGGACGTCGCAGCCGGGTCTCCCGCTGCAGCACGCGGCGACGCCGTACACAGCCGCTGAAAAGGGCGGGATGGAGCGGTCGGCGTGGTTTGTCACAGAGGGCCAGGCGTATTGGCAGCTGCAGACGACAAAGCCGCAGACGCTGGCCTACGCCTTCGCCGACAGTCCTGTTGCACTTCTCGCGTGGACCTACGAGAAGCTCGTCGACTGGACCGATGGCTGTGCCTGGACGACCGACGAGATCCTGACGTGGCTCAGCATCTACTGCTTCAGCACCGCCGGCCCTAACGCACACATTAGGATCTACTACGAAGCTCAGCATCACCCCACGGCCTGCGTGCCTGACCGCGACCGCGCGAGTCAGTGGGTCTATGGCGTCAAGCTGGGGGTTGCCCATTTCCCGCGTGAGCTCACGGTTGTGCCGCGGCTGTGGGCAAAGACGCTAGGTATGTGTGCACCGTACGATAACACAGTACCCATCACCCCATGTTCCCTTTTTTTCCTTCTTTTCTCCCCATACATGAGTCGCTTGTAGAGTGTGTGAATGTGAAAGCGTATATATATATATATGTGTGTGTGTGTGTGTGCTGATGCCCAAGTCATATATACAGGACCTCTGGTGTACGAAAGCGTCCTTGACAAAGGCGGCCATTTTGCCGCGCACAAGAGACCAAATGCGATCGTCGCGGATCTGCACAACATGTTCGGCGCAGGCGGGCCGTGTCAGGGCATGGTGCGTGGTAGGTCCGGATACAGGTAGCACGAGCTAGTTTTCAATGGCGCAACTGCAACTACGCTTCTTTTAACAGGGCTTACAAGGTGGGGCTTTGGAGCGGGTACAGTTTAGGTATTATCTTGGTTTGCCCATCATTGTGGGGTTTGGGCTTAGGCCGCGGGATCCTCACCCGAGTTGCCAGGGCTAGAACATTTGTAACCCCAAGGGCGTTACGTACGAGGCAAGGGGTTGTTCGTGATTTGTTGCTTTAGGTTTTCTTTTTTCTTTTTTTGCTCCTCGTATTGTATGTTACCGCTTTGCTCGTTCAGGTAGTATCAAGCCTGAGACAGAGTCACATGACTCGTTGCAACGCATATCCGATCCTCCGATGCGCAGATCTCCAAGGTCCTGGCAGAATCGGTTCATGTCGAGCTGGCTTTTGAGTTCTGATTGCGCTCGACCTGGTGCCAGGGTCGATGGGCCTTCGCTAAACGTTGCTTTCGATGGCATCGGATCTCTGTCTGGAGCAGAGCCTGACAAGCCAAAGAGCAGCCAATGGATCACTAGGACATCCCAGAAGACTGTAGACTGTTAGCAACCCACACCGAGGTCCCCCGTGTGTGTGATTCGCAAACTTACCATCCACAAGACAAATCGTCATGCAAATCATGCCTAGCTCGTCGCCTTTGGTGGCAATGATTTGAACCATGTTGGCGGCTGACGAAATCTCGATCAATAGTGATCCAATAATGCTCTTCCATAGCAGATTCCTAATGTTTTTCCGCATTGGGGTGTCTTCCCCACCGTGCGTCGGACCATCGGCTTTGCCCGACCTCCTGACAATCATGCAAGAATACGCAGAGCCCCCTTGTTTTTGCAGGACGGGGCGAAGCAGGTAGACAAAGACTGCTGTCAAGGCCGCATCGGTGAAGAAGTTGACCACCACAAAAGGAACGGCCACAACCGCGCGGATGCCAAAGTAGCAGCGACCGTCCGAGTCCTTGAGTTCGACGACGTGATTGATGCCTGCGTTAATGGCGACACAGCTATACATTAGCGCAATCATGGCCATGCAGGCCAGGTAGATTTTGTCTTTTCTCCTGTTCACAAACGGCGCTCGCACAACGTGTATGCGTTCGACGAAGAAGGTGTATCTAGAATCATTAGCACTCGAAGTAATTCAGCATTCGTCTCCCTCACATGGTAGCCTTGATGAGTGTATAGAAGCACAAGCACACCCAAGTTCCTGCCATACATAGCGACTCGGTATGCAGTCCCTGGCCCGATACCAGAGTGTCGGAAACAATTATAAATATGAATACAAGAATGTACAGGAAGACGACGAGAAGCGACATGAGGCTGCGTTTTAGCACGATGCTTCGTCGAAGTCTTGCAAACCGCGAACCTATGGCCTCTGTTAGCTTACTGTATGCGCAAAGAAAAGAAAAATCATGTCCAGCTACAAGGTTGAGAGAAGGAAAAAAGCGCTTACCTAGCAGCAATGACAAGATCATGATAAACACAAGCGATGTGATTGTGTAAATGGTTCGGTCTGACGCAGTTTCGCCCGCTGTATTGGGTGTTTGTATTTTGTCCATGTCGCGGGGGTGGAGAGCGAGTCTCTGCAGAGGTACGGCGGTGGCCAGAGAAGCCAGCATTAAGAAGAGACTGAGAAAGTACCTCATCTCGGGTCGATATACGGGCCTTTCATGCAAACGAGCCGTGCACCTAACGCGTGTGGAGAAGGACCAGGACGATCATTATACGGTGATGGGGGATAAGAGAGTCGTTAACTGCGAGTCTTATCCTCGACATACCATGTGTATTGGTTCCACAATCAGGCGCGATTCGCTTGGGTATGTACAAGGTGGCGACGAACCGAGTCTCACAGCTGTGCCCACTTTGTGTGGCGCTGCGACGGTTCTTTAGTGAGGCGATTTGAGTCGACGCTAGGTGCGCGGAAGCAGCGCCGACAGAGCAAAACCCCCCTCCTGGCACATCATCTTTGGCGGCGGCGATCCACGTGCATTTCCGCAAGCGGATGCTGGAAATACTGCTTTTGGAACGTGGTCGGGGGGTTTCAGCCGCTGGTAACGGACTTGGTTGCCGGACCCTTTTTTTTGTTTTTTGACTATGAGCCAGACCCCCGGAACTCCATGGGGGGGGGGGGGTAACAAGTCAGGCAACAAGTTAGACTTTGGAGAGCATTTGGCCGGCACGGAACCTCTGCCAGCCACTGTCAGTGTCAATTACAATGCGGCCGTTCTGGTCCAATGTCATTTTCCGAAGCTGACCTCACCATCCTGGCCCATGGCAAAAGCCGTGGTGGAGTCGCTTCGTACCGGGCAACCCCCTTTTTATGGTTGAACAGCCTATTTGCCATGTACCGAAAACAACCCGACTTTGCAGCGAGGCAGAGGCGTCTTGGTGGCGTGGAGGCAGCATAGTAGTGCCGAAGCGGTTCTGGTGGTACGCTAGATGGCATGTCGCAACGGTTTCGCGAGCGAGGTGATGTTTACGAGAAGGGCGACTGGCTGGCATTGGGTAAGAGTGAGCGGGCCACGGTGGGAGCGTTCTGAAGGGCGCTCCTATCTCGGAGCATGTGTCGCAGGCATTCAACAAAACTCTAACATGGCGATGCAAGGCTGCGTTAGGTTTCACAGGCCTCTGGGTTTCTTGCAGCTGTGCGGTCTAGCGCCGCCACCGACTAAGCTATGGCAGGTAAGTGGCTATCCACTTGGTGCTTCATCGAGGCGTGCGATCTCATGGCGGACGATCGCCTGCCTGGTATGTGTAGGAGGATTACGGTGGGGAAAGATGAACGGACCGAAGGGCGTGATATAAAGGTCTTGGATGTAAGCGCAGTGCCCCCAAAGGTCGAGCCAATCAAACTCAATAAGGTTTCAGCTCTGGTACAAATGCCACGGTCGTGTGGGTGCTAGCCAGATGCACCGGGCACTTGGATGGATGCGACGCGCTATGTCGCTTTGAGCTGTGACAGCAGCGGACTCGGGCTGGGGCATGTACAGACGACGACTCTTGCGCGGACGCCGTTGAGAGTCGGTTATCCGGCGCTGGCCTGGCCGTGTGCTGCTCCAGCAGAGCGGGCTCGCGGCGTGCTGCACGTGTTGTGTTGGCACAGCTAGTACCAGGTGTATACAAGTGCTGGGGTAGCATAGGCGGTGCGCGCTGCACGGCGGCCTCGCTCACGCCTGTCTGGACCGCTGACGTTTGAACCTTGGGCGGAGACGAGTCTTTACGAAACCAGGGTATTACATGTGTGGCGCAATCCACTCGAGGAACGACAGGCTGACCCAGTTTGAGCTGGAGCGTCTGACCGAGGGGGGCGTAGAGGGCCGGGTTATGGATCCTTATTCCCTTGGCTGGACATTGACAGGGCCACGGGCAGGCAGGGGCAGGGCGCCGTCTCAACAGGCGGCGGCTTGGCCCAGAGGGGAGTCGAGCTCAGCGACAATGGCCTTTTGCAGGCGGACCATGAAGCCGGAGAGCACCACGTCGTCGCTGGATTCAAAGGGCCCGGCATTTTTCGAGTGCGAGGCGGTCCAGCGCAGGATGAGCTCCTTGTAGTCGTCGTCCCCGTCCATGGTCAAAAGGTCCCTGGTGGTGCCATTGGCGTAGTGGGCGGCGGCGGCGGCATACGACGTGGTGAAGTGGAGGCCAATGCTGGGGGCAGCGAGCGTGTCGGTGGTGGTGGCCGGGGCGGGAATGTCGTCGGCGGGCTGCGGGACAATGGGTATCTGGTGGGCGTGGTTGGCGGGGCGTGCACTGGCCAGAGGCGCGAGATGCAGCAGGGCGGGGAGCCTCATGGTCAGGCCTTGGAGGAGGAGGAGGAGGGGGAGGAGTAGTTGGCGTTGTTGTTGCAAGAGGCGTGAGGGAGCCGAGTACTTAATGCGTCAGGCAGCTCGAGGCGGGCACGGCGAAACGGCAGCAGCGACGGCGGTCGCACATGTCGCGTGGCCATGACGGGCGCAGTGCCTTATAGTATAGGGGAGAGGACCCGATGGTAGCGTGTGGCTGGTCAGATCGGATAGCGTGTCAATCCACGTCCAAGTCCAAGGGTGTGTGTGTGTGTGTGTGCGAGGGGGGCTCGAGCATATCCAGAGTTGGCGCTAGGCCGCATGCGGTGCCGAGGCAGGGCTAAAGTATCACGGGTTTCTGGCTGCGGGGCCATCAGCAACGTCGGCTGCATCGCTGCACGCTGCTGCTTTATGCCGCAAGCGTGCGGCAGCGGGCCAACGCCTATCCAGGCCGCCCCGGGCAGTGGTGGTGGTGGTGGTGGAGGCCAGCCGGGCGAGAGGCACAAGGCCGTGGGCGGAGGCTCGCAGCAGCGGCACAGAGGGGAACTACCAAGCTTTTGCCGGGCTGCCGGATTTGCCGAGCTGCTGCTATTTTCGGCGCGTCTTGGCACCCACTGGGCAAAGCGACCAGGTCAACTCGGCCTGGCCCCGACGTGCTCTCTCGTGTCCGCCCTCTGTTCTGGCCCTCTCATGGCCGCATCTGCCTCCCCCCCCCCGGCTTCTTGTCAAAACAAAAGGAAAACACGCCTGTCGTGCACGCACTTGCCCTGTCTCCCCAGGCCCCCGCCCTGCAGCAGAAATTCCAAAAAGCCATGTTCAAGGCCGGACTGGCATCGTCCAAAGACAGCGCCATAGTCTACGAAGAAGCCATGGCCACACACGCTGCGCTCAAGCCCGCAGCCGCATGCACAACACAATCCAAGCCAGGACAGCTACAACATGTGCTTTTCCTGGCTTTTGACGACGGCGCCTTTAGCGCAAGCATGCACGAATACGCATGCGGAAACTACTCACCACAAGCACACATGATCAGCCGTCTTACACGCGCAGAGCTCGGCTGGTGGCATCTCCCCATGTACGACATGCCGCGCGCCAAGTTCTGGGCCCAAGTCCAAGAAAGCATTGCGCACGTACTGCGGTTGCAGGAGAAGCCCCCCGGCCGAATTGTGCTCCTGGGCAGCCACGGCGGAGATGCAGAGTTCAAGCAGATTGTCGAAGAGGCCTTGTGGAGAGAATTAGAGGTCGACGTCAGCAACATGCTGGGCGTTAATGAGCTCGGTGACAGCCAATGGTTGGCAGCAAGAGGCGCAGCAGAACTAGCATGGCGGCATAGTTGAAACGACACACACACACACACAAACACACAAGGATATGGAATTCGTCTTGTTTTGGAAACCTCCGTTGATGGGAGGAAGAGAAAGCCCGTCCTCCCCCTTGTCGATATGGAGGAAAACATGCACACATACCAACCAACAAATAAAAAGAGAGATACCCTTTAATATTGATTTTACCAGCGAAGCCAAAGTCAGACAAAAAAACGTATAAAAATAATACAAAAATTTACATTGCCAAAAAAAAGGGGGCGGGGGGATTTCCCTTCTCCTCGCACGCTACATACGAAAATCCATCCATCTCTTGCTGGCATTTATTTTCCTAGTCACAACATCTTCATAACTTCATCTTCATATAACCCCTCCTCTCCCACGCCACGCACATCAATCTCGCCAAAAACAGCAACCCCCCTTCGCCCCAGCGCCGTGCCCACACCAACCGCATCCGCGCCTACCGCCCGCATCCTGCGATACCCCTCTGTATCCGCCACGCCCCCGACGCCAATAACCTGGATTTGGATGCCACTGTTCAGCTGCCGTTGCTGCTGCTGCTGCTGTTGCTGCTGTTGCTGTTGTTGCTGTTGTTGCTGTTGCACCAGCAGCCCCTTAATCGTATACACATTGCCCAGCGCCAGCGGATGCAACGGCGCGCCAGCTAAGCCGCCCAGACCGGATCCCGAAGCGGAGGCGAGCGAGGAGCGGAAATGGGGTGATGAAAGCCTCGTTCCTCCTCCCTCTTGACCTTGTCCTTGTCCTTGTCGTATTTCTCCTAGGTCCTTTTCTGGTGGTGGTGGTGGTGGTGGTATTGATGTTGATGTGCTTGGCGATGATGTGGATGAAGTGCTTATTCCAGACAGCAGCAGCGGCTCCACCAAAAGCGCATTTCCAAGCGTATTCACGGCGGTGATGAAGGATACTGGACATGGACAGGGGTCTGCCTGGCGCGTAGCCGCCGACAACGACGACGACGACGATGTTGAGTGGGAATCATGATGTTGCTGCGCCGCCGCACAGCCGCTTATCTGGAGCGCACGCCCCAGGGCGCGGAACTGCTCGTCAAAAGTGTACGGCGGCGTCTTGAGGCCCAGGGGTACGACAACGTGTGCCGTGGTGCCGCTGCTATTCTTGTCATCATCATGGTCATGGTCGTTAATAATAACTGCATTGCTAGTATTCCCAGTATTAGTAGCAGCACCAGTGCTGCTGACGTTGGTACTAGTAGTAATAATAATACCCGTGCCACTACTATGCTTATTCTGAGGCTGATTCTGAGGCTGATTGTTATCCGCATTCCCGCTCCGGTTCCTAGACTCTGGTTCAGGAACGGAATCAGCAGCAGCAGCAGTAGCAGCAGTAGCAAGCTCCCGCATCTTGTCCCCCAGCGCATCCAGATACCGTGTCAAGGCCTGCCCGTCATACGCGGGCGGCGCGCATCCAGGGATATTTGGGCATGAGAGATTGAGTTCCATGGCCAGCGGCATGCAGACGGAGGGCTGTAGCGCGCAGATGCAGTCGTAGCACTGGACGACATCTGCGATGGAGCCCGTGACGGAGACGATGATGGGTTTGGGGGTGCTGCGGTTCTGAGCGCGCAGGGCTGCGGCATCGCAGCATGTGTCGCTGAGCGACTGGACGAAACCCAAGTACGTGGAGAGCGGGAGAGGAGAGTAGCCCAGTGTGTTGAGGCTGGCGGTGGCGGTAGCGATAGACGTAGGCGTAGGCGTAGCCGTAGTGGTAGTATCAAGCTCACTCCCACATGCATCCACATTCCTTCCACAAGCCCTCAAGCCATCCGTCTCGAAAAACGTAAACTGGTGATGCCTAGAGTCATGCGGAAACCCCGCTAGCAGCGACGTGCGCGTTGTGATTGCGCCCGTGTGCGGGCTCATGTACAGCGCGCGCAGCTGCTCCAGCGTCGTGCACCATGGATTAGCCGAGTTGAGCAGTGGCGGGTCAATGAGTAGCGGTGGTGGCGGCAGCAGCAGCCGTGGTACCATGGTTTGCGTAGGGCGAGTGAAGGGGGCGGGCCGAGGGGTATTGCAAAGGGAAGGGGGAGGGGTATGCACAGCTTAGGTACAAGACAAAACCTGGTACTTACGTATCTACACATCTATACCATATACGTACAAAAGCCACGATAAGTCAAAAAAAAAGAAAGAACCTTGATTCGCGCCGTTTGCGAAACAAGGATCCATATATTCCGTGGCATATCGTGGGGGGGCCTAGGGTAGGACAGGGCAGAACGGGGCCGGGGGGCATGGCGGGGCCTAACATTCTATGCTTGTGCTTGTGCTTGCTTGCTTGCTTGCATAAGTGGGGTAAAATAAGACTCAGTGTAGGGTGATGATGCAAATCCGTGAGCCTCCGTCCCCGAAAGAGGGATGTGGACAATGGAAAAATGTGAGAGCAGGTGGTAAGAGCGAGGTGACCATAAGTGCTATTATTATCATTATACATAATTTCATTTTACATTCCAGCCCAAAATACAGCTTGGCTACTTATGTAATAGGTAAGTACATGAACATATTTTATTAACAAGCTTCCATCACACACACACACACACACACCTGGTAAGTTCATGGAAGAAAAAAAAAACTGGTGGGTGAGCAATGCTATGATTATCTCTATTTCTGTCCCCCCCTCCCCCCCCTTTTTTTTTCTTCTCTTCCTTTTCGCCAATACTCCAGCTGATATATGTTACTTACTTAGCTACATAGTCTCCTTAATACACATGTTAACTTTTTTTTATCAGCCAGGATGAAGGAAGTAGAGGCGAGTAGAGTTCAAGTCCAGCTATCCCACCAGCCTTTTGTAGTTGTACCATGTACATTAGCAAGAGTAAAAAAAAAAAAAAAGGAATGCACACAAGTTACCCTGTACACATTACTGTGCCTTACATACTTTGTATATTCTCCATACCTGCCATACTGCTGTTGTTGTATTATATTATGCATATACTTACCCTTTCTTAGTGTTACTGTATTTTGCAAAATCCAGTCCAATCCACAGCACAGTACGTACGTAGTAGTAACGTTTAAGAAAAAAACACTTACTCACACTAACAAAACTCGAATAAACGAGTAAACTATCAGCACACGAAACAGAAAAGCGTTTTCAAATACAGGATCCTATTAGTTGTGCGAAGGGGGACAGGGTGCCTCGGGCCGTACTTTCTTCTTTCTTCTTTCTAGGTTGATAATATTACACGACGAGATGCACCCAAAAATAAAACACACAGAGCTGGAAGAAAAGGACGAAACAACAACAACAACAACAACAACAACAACAACAACAACGAAAAGACGAAAACGAAAAACAATAATGACAACGACAACGACGACAACCTGGAAACAAAACAAAAACTCCCCTAATCACCCCCCCCCAGACGAAAACCAGCGCAAGTTTATCTTTCCTTACACCGCAAAAACAAAAAAAAAACAAAAAAAAACTGCTACGCCGGCTCCCGAAAGTATGCCAGAAGTAACGAATTTTTTTCATTAAAAAAAAGGGCTTTGTCTTTCCATGGTTCGCCAAAACGCCATGCTCAAAAAAGATGTGGAGGAAACGAACAACCGAAACGAAGAAAAAAAAACGGATGATACTGTCATAGCGAACTGAAAGCGCTGGTGTATAAACAGAAAATCAGACTCACAAAACTCATTGCGTGTCGAGCAGTGTCGAGCCATGGTGATATGCTCAGAAACTGACGTAGCCAGTGTCTTCGCCTCCAGTGTCGTCCATCCAGCCGGCACCAACCTCGCCCAGACCAGGACCGTGGTGATGATTGCGCGCCATGCCCTCGCCCTCGCCGCGCTCGACCCACTCCTCGTTGATGTCGTTCCAGATGCGCTGAAAGTAGAGGCGTAACGAGCGCAGGCCACGAAGATAACCCCTGTCAATGCCATTGGGGTTTTCCGGGGGACAGGGAAGGTCTTCGGGCAAGGGATCTTCTGCAGTTACACAGTTGGCGAAATCGACAATCTTGAGCTTGATCTCAGGGTGCTTCTCATGCGTCGGATGAGAGGCGGCTGCTGGTCCAGGAGAGGTGAGTCCAGATGCAACCGAGTCTTCGCCTTTCCTAGAATGACCATTGGCTTGAGAGCCCACGACGTCCTTTGATTCGCCGTCGCCACGATCATACAACATCAACAAGCTGCTGGCGTAGAACCGGTATCCAGGCAGGTTTTTGATCATGCGCTCCAACTGACTAATCTTCTCCAGTATGACGGGAATGTGTTTGCTAGCCGCCTTGTAGCTAGTTCCGTCCCAAAAGAAGCGCTTGAGTGCGTCCTGAAACTCTTTTCCAGCTTTCAAGTCGCGACCAAAATACTTGTCTTCGAAAATGTAGCTCTGGGTCTTGACGTTCCAGATCTGCATGCCACAGACACGCACACCGAGTTCCCGACTGGTCGTCATCTGGCACTTGCGCCGTTGGGAACGCTGCTTCTTCTCATCTGCTTCGATACCATATTGACGTGTGCCCATCTTGAGATCCAACACACATGGCCTGGCCATGCCTGCAGTCAGATCCTCAAGAAGGATGAAGTGTTGGACACGCTCGTCGGATGGTTGTAGCGCATTTTCAGGGTTGCTTGGCTCTTCACTGGGCGGGGCGCCCATGTCACTTGGCACAACAGGAGCTGGCAGCATGGTACCCTCTGATGGTTCCCCAGAGGGCTGTTTCTGCTCATCAGGATGCTGTGGCTTTGGCGTCCTAGAATTGTGCAACGACCGGCCCCTCTCCTGGTCGCCAGTTTTGGAGTCTTCGTCCATCCTAAAAACCTCCTCTTCTGCGTCACCACCATAGCCATCTTCATCATAGTACTCGAGGCCGTGTCTCTGTACAGTATCGATTCCAAGAGGCCTTCTGAGCAGCCCACTGCCTGAATGACGGCGTCGAGGCAGATTGCTCGGGGGTGGTTTTAGTGCTTCGTCGTTGGGCACTGAGCCGCCTGCAAGCGGGCCAGAGCCGGCAAACTCAGCGCCGCCGGCTGAGGCGTGACGGCGGGCTTCTGCTTTCAAGACCTGCTTTCTTGTTGATTCTTCTGGAGGCTGTGATTGCAATGTAGCAACGTCTGTGCTGTTCCTCCTTATGGTAGGCGCGGAGCCTACCGTGGACTGTTCTCCTACATTGCGTGAAGATATGCCGTGGTGGTGATGGTGATGGCGCGGCCGATGGCGTATGGTTGGGGGCGCAAACACCTGACGAAGGACTTCTTCCTGCAGCTTTCGATTAATCGTCGTGACACCCCAGCTGCTGGCGTGCGGCAACGGTGGTCGCGACGGGCTTCTCGAAGGGTATCCGTATTCGCTCTGGTACCGGCGATGCTGCTGTGACAAGTACGAGTTCCGCATCCAGGGATCAGGTGTCGTGGACCGCGGCGGTACACGAAACAAGTTATCAGGGATGATGTGTCGGTTGTTTTCGAAGATGACCTGAGGGGTAGGCATGATCTGCTGCGAATGACTAACCATGCGTGTGGGCTCCGGTTTGGCTGGATCATGAGGGGCCGTAGACGCCTGTCTCGACGTGTGATCGGATTGCGTCGCCGATGTGACATGACTAGCGTCTTGTTTGGCCTTGTCCTTGTGTGCCTTTTTCTTCTTGGGCGCCTTGCGATACGTCACGTTCAAAACACCAATATACCTGCACAAGACACTGTCAGCAAGCCCAGCGCGCAGAGGGAGCCGGGGGCATATCTTGGCTGAAGTCTCAGCTTCGATCCACAATACAGTAGAACAAGGCATACCTTGGTAAGAACTCGAGCAGCTCTGGATGCTGTCTCTCGACTGTTTCATAAAACTCATTTTCCCTGTTGTTCAGCTGCTTGCAGACTGCTCGCCGCGAGAAGCGGTAGACGGTCGAGTGGCCGCCCACCTGATGATCGTACGGTTTCAGCTCCACGGCCCCGAGCGGAGCGGGGGGATGGGATGGCGCGGCCGGGGCAGCTTTGGACTCTTGTTTCTGTCTTGTTGCAGTGGGCGTCGTGCCTAAATCATCAGTCGCACTGGATTCATAGCCAAGAAGTGAATGCGTGGACTCGGCGAGCGACTCAGGCTCCGATTCAGCCGAAAGCGAATCAATAGCCGAGGGCGTCAGCGGCTGATCTTTGTCTTTCTGTGCAGCAGTCGCCGCGGAGATGTCACCATGTAGGCATTGATTTGTATCTTTGGACTGTAGAGAAATTTCTACTTCTTGTGGGGTCTGAACTTGCTTTTCCGTAGCCCAGCCCTTGGGCCGCGCACTCTCGTGCACCGAAGCCCTCTTCTCGACAGCATTTACCTCTCTATCCCGGCTGCCTGGTTCTTTGGGGGCCTGCTCGCCCGTCTTCAGACGCCGGTGGGGGAAGTAGAGTGCCGAGGAAATCTGTTCCTTCTCCGATTCTTCCTCTTCCTCCGAGCCCGGCGTGCGCTCTGCGCTACTTCCTTCTTTGGCCTGGAAATAGTCGCAAGGCTCCTCATAGTGCAGGGCGGCGTTGGCTGGGGCATGGGCGTGCACCTTGTCGACGGCTGACGTGGGAAGACTGCGCGCCAAGGGCGACCGCTTGTCGGCGCCAGGACTGAGATGGCCAAAGCCGCGAATGTCTTCCAGCAGACGCCGCGGGAGCTGGCGTTTTTCCGCATTGGCTTGGTCTTGCCGTGTGCTTGCTTGAGAAGGGGGCGTGACGACGATGCCTGCCTGTGTGGGCGGGCCCGAGTTTGCATCAAAGTACGAGTCGGGCGGACCGCCGATGGGCGACTGGACCGCCGACGAAGCGAGCGATGCCTGGCGGAGTTGCTCAGTGAGGTTGCTTGTTTCGGCGGCACTGAACTTTACCGAGGCCTCCTCTGACAGCGTCGACAGGGAGCGTTCGGCGGGCAAGCGGTCCTTGGCCGACTTGTCTTTCTTTTTGGGCTCCTCACACGGGTCGCCGTCTTTGAACACACGCAGATAGTGACTCGCCTTGCGGCTGCGGGCTGATGTGTGCTGCTCCGTCTTGGCCAGTGTGGCCTCAATCTTCTTTTCCATTTCCACGTCCATGACGGGCGTGTCGAGCACCATGTTGCCCTTGAACGGCATGGGTTTGCCCTCGCGCCACTCCCTGTTCCTGCGGCGCTCCTCGCTGTCCAGGAAGGCATCCTCGAGCGTGGACTGGAGCTCTGGGTGGTGGGGCGTGACGGGGCGCTGGACGGGCGAGTCGACAGGGCTCATGTAGGGCGGGGGGCTGTGGTGGGCAGGCTCCAGACACAGGCCGGCAGCCGTGGCGGTGCGGGGATTGAAGGGGTTGAAGGGAGTGGTCAGGACAGCGCGGTGGTCGATTGGGGTGGCGGGGGGGATGGTCGAGTGCTTTCTGCGGACAATGGGCGGGTCCATCACTCGCCGCTGGGGGGCAGCTGGGGCAGCCATGTCGGACAGCGAGTGCTGGGGGGCATGGTGGAGCGTGTCGAGAGAGGGAGCGGTGGCGCGCGGAGACGAGATGGGGCTGTCCGAGGCGCGGTACGTGGTTGCAAAGATGCTGTCGCGCTCGTCGAGCTGGGGGCGGTCAATTGACGAGGTCCAGAGGGCGCCGTCGTGGGCCAGGGGCGCCGTCCGCGAGCGGCCCGTCTGGGAGAGGCTCTTGGGCGTGGGCGTGCGGGCGTGGGCGGGGGCGTCGGGGGCAGCAGCGGTGGCGGAGGCCGGGGCGGGAGCCTCATGATGATGGCGACGGCTGGCGCTGGACCTCACCGATGCGGGGGGCGAGGCATTTCCTTGGACGGCGGGCTGGGGTGACATGGGCTCGACATTGATTCGACCGTCTGCAGAGCACCTCGTGGCGGGATGTGTGGCAGATGTTGCCGGACGGGCGGTGGGAGGGAAGGCCAGGATGCGGTCGGTCGAGCGACGGGCGTCGAGTGTCGTGGGTCGTCGGGCGCGGCGGAGAGGGCGGCGGGATGGAGGGAGCAGGGGCGGCGGCGGGGGGAGGGCAGCAGTCGTGTTAGTGCTGGGGCTAGCGCTTGGAGCGAGCAACGGCGGTGGGTAGCAGATGCAGAAGCAGAAGCAGAAGCAGAAGCAGAAGCAGAAGCAGCAGCAGATGCAAATGGGCACTTGTGGTCGGCCTGCAGCTGGCGGATCCCGGGGGGCGTTAGCGAGTGAGAGGAGACGACGGTCCACGTTCTAAATGTCTGTGGTTTGGCGTCGCCCACGCCGCCCGGGCGGGTGCCAGAGATTAGACGCAAGCGAGCAGCCCAATGACGTCTGCCGGCACCGCGTACCCAGCGCGCGCGCCGCCAGGGCAGAGGCCGTGGTAGGGGAATAGGCCCGGCTGGGCGACACGCGCATACCCACGGCGACCGACTACCTGTACAGTACATGCTCGATGCTGCCTACATACCACATGCGTGCATGCACGCGCAGACACGTACAGTGGCGCGCCCATGGATGCCGGGTGCCGGGTGCTGGATGCACTACATACTAGTACATACACAGGGCCTGCCCATGAACACCACCGTGACCACCGCCATGGCCGCCGCCAGAGATAACACCCTTTGTTTTGCCTGCAGCCCATCTCAGCCCAAGCACTCTCCCACTCCATATAGTACACTCCTTGGCGAGTCATGTGCGCTGCCGAGCCCAAGACGCCGATGGCCGGGGGGGGGGGACCCATCATCACCATGTACTACTACAACATGAACACGGCCGCCCTCGCCTCGCTCGCCTCCAAACACATGGCTTCACCATAGGCTCACGGCCGTCGCCCTGCACCCAAGTCGCCTTCTCTGCCTCTCTCTCTCTCTCTCTTTTTCTGCACCGTCACCTCCCCTCCTACACCCACCCAGGCCCTGCTGCCCGCTTCCGCCATGCCCTTGTCCTGCCAGCCTAAAGGCCCGTCTCCAAGCTTTGCACTTGTCCGGACTCCGGACCCTTTCTCGTTTGCTTCTTCTTCCCGCCATGTTCCTCCTATCTGTGCTGTACCACCCTCTCCGCCGTGCAGCTGCTCTGCATGGCACCCCCCCATCCCCCATCCCCCAAACCCTCAGCCGCCAATCACTCGAGAACGTGGCCCTCTCACCGCCTGCGTCCGGCTTGGACTGCGTCTGCGCCTCACGGTAGCAACCCATCACGGCTGTGTGAATAATAAGAGTATGCCACACTGCGCGTGCCACGCCGCCCCGCCCGCATTCCTGCCACGCCGACATGCCGTGCCTACCGACGCTCGCACTCGTCGACACGCCAGCCAGCCAGCCAGCCAGCCAGCGCGCTGCCAAAAGGTGCATTATCCCCCATCTGCAAATGGGCTCTCGTCGCTTGGCTTGGCGCTCAGCCATCGTCAATTCCACGCAAAAAGGCCCCCGTGAAATGCCGGCCAAAGTCGTCGAGTGACGTATCCCTATTCACGTGGGGCGCCTCAATCTCTCTTACCGAGCATCGCGATCGCTCGCCCAAGCATCCCGGCGATCCCTGCGATGCCTTGTCCGTCACGAAGCTCCAAAACGACGACATCGTCTTCTTGTCCTTGAGCGGGATCCGCTCGCCCTTGACACTGCCACTGGGCGTGGCCTCACTGGGCTTTAGTGCTTCCTCTGTCTTCTTCTTGGCCGTGCTGAACGAAAAGGGAGAAGCCGCCCCAAAGAGATCCTGCGTACTGATGGGAGGGCCGCGGGATACGCCCCCATTTGGCAATGCCTCGTCTCGTGGCACATTCAAGGCCCTAAGGGGTGTAGTTGCTGCGTTGGAGACGCCCGTCATGGCACGAGGTGTAATGAGTGGTGTTTGCGACTCTGCGGCAAGCGTCGCGGGCGAAAGCGCAGGAAACGTGCTTTGCTGGAACTCTAGCTGAGCTCGCACCATGGCCGCCTGTGTAGACCATTCCGATTCTCGGCTTGCACCACTTTTGTCCACCTCCCCATTCTCCGACACGTCTGTAGCATCCTCGACTGGCTCTGGACTCGCTATACTTGCTTCTGTTGACTCTGCCGCATCTGTAAATCCCCCGAGGGTAGATGCCTCGTGACCTTGCTCTGTAGTGGGCGAACCCTTTTCAGGAGAAGAGTCGAAATTGACCGCCCTTGGCCTTGGTTTGGGGGGTTTGCCGCCAGCATCGCCTGCTTTCCCCGTCTTCTGACAAGTGCGAGGGCGAGGGACGGGTGAAGCGGCGTCGTCTCTCTGCGTGGGCGTGAGCGTCTCTTGTAGTGCCTTCAGGCCCGAGAGCTGGGATGCAGACATGGCATTGACCAGTCGCTCGGCGGAGCGCTGTATGTCATCTCTCGAGACTCTGGATTGGCTGCCCATTGACGACGTGACTATTGGTATGGTTCGCTGCGAACGCTGTCCTGGATGAGTGCTGTGGGGCGGCGTGGCAGACTGCGCTTGGTGTTGCATTGCACTGCTTGGGACATGGCTGTCTCTGGCTGGCGACGAAATGTCCATGGAAGCAGAGGCACTGGACCTGCCGTGATGTGGCGAAAGCACTCTCGGCGATTGTCTTTGCAGTTGGACGGGTCCTTTGGGCAGACTAACCTGCAGCTCTGCTACAGATTCCGTCTGCGAGTCGTGGTGCCGGGACCGAGAGCGTGTCGGCGACGTGTCGGGGTGCTCATTGGCAGCTCTGCGCATGTCGACTCTTGCTGAATCCGGGCGTCGCAGCCAGAACGGATTCGTCGAGGGCGATTGGCGGTGTATACGTGGTCCCGTGTCGGCGCTGAAGGGCTCTGCTGTGGGACACGCACTGTCTCCGCCCGGCAACGGGGCAGTCGAGGGCGGGACTTGGACGTCGTGGAGGCTGGTGTCGTGCTCGCGCGCGCTCAGGTTCATGTCCCTCGTAGCCCGCGAAGTTTCTGGCGACGCTATCGAGGGCGCCACACTGCGCGCGGTCGACTGTGTCCTGCTGCCTCTTCTCTTCGGTCTCGCATCGTCTGGCCGTGCCGCTTTGCCTTTTCCAATCCTACCCAACGCGCGCTGCTTCTCTTTCTTCGACTTGGCCCATGGATTCTTCCAGCCATTGTCAAACGGCCCCCGCAGGCTGGCGGTGAGGATGACGGGCGGGCGGCCTCGCAGATACTGGGCGGCAATGGCCTCGACCCTCGTGCGCTTCGCGGCGCGCAGGCCGGCGTCGTGGAAGTCGAGGGGCGGCTCTTCAATGACGTCGTCGGGACAGGTGTAGAAGTCGTTGTCGGCGGCGGCGGCGAGGTGGCGGAGATGGGGGTGCAGGCTCGGGGGCATGTCGCCAGGCCGGATGCGGTCGCGTGATGTGATGGTGTAGGGACGGGACAGGCGTGGGCGTGGGAGGATTGCGGCGGGCTCGTCTATGCTCGTGCTCGTCTACGCCCGCTCGTCTATGCCCGTTTCTGCCCCGACCAGCTTCCAGAAAAACGGTCCGTTCGGGATCGGCCTGGGGGGGTCTTGGGAGCGTTCATGGCGTTTGCGTTTGCGTCGGCAGCGGGAGCATCTCCTGTTGCTCAGGCAACGCGGACGGTTTAGCGCCTTGCGGGGGGGCTGACATGTCCATGCTCCTCTCCAGATAGCGTAGATCCTGGTGCGTTCATTCAATCGATAACACGACGCCCTCCACGACTCGCCGACGCGTTTGCCCGTCCTCGCCTGCTGCCATCGCGCTTGTCCCTCGAGTTGCACCATGGTGTGCGCGCGGACATAGTTTTTTTTTTGCGACGCGTAGGCGCCCGCCAACACCTTTCTTCACCGCATCTTTGGCACGCTGCCCAACTGCGCGACTCGAACGCCCGCCCATCAACACCGCCCACGCCCGCCAACGGCCAACCTCCACCTCCACCTCCACCTCCACGTCCGCATCCACCACCACCACCACCACCACCACTGCCATGGCCAACTCGACGCAGCCCTGGCTCGAGGACCTCTCCGAGGAATGGGTGCCGCAGGACACGCCCGAGCCCGTTGCGCGCAGCCCGCAGACGCCAGCACCCCCGCCGAACCCACAGAGCGTCCCCTCAAAAACAAAGAGCCGCCTGCCCCGTCTGCGCCCGTCGCCAGCGCCCCTTTCCGACACACACGGCCGCGGCATTGGCCGGGAATTGCGCCCGCCCAAGCAGAGGAGCATGCTGGAAGACCGCAGCAGCCCCAGCAACACCAACCGCAACCATGCCCCGCCAGCCACATCACCCGACGCGCCCGCGCCCGCGCCTGCCCGTGCTGCCTCGCCGCCCTCCTTTTCGCTGTCCCAAGCCTCGGACGTGCACAACGGCACAGTCGCCCACCACACGGTCGCCAGGTCCGCCACCAAGGACCCCGCATCACAAGACACGCCCGAGTGGCGGCGCCGGCTCGTCAATGGCGAGGTCGGCTACGGCAACCAAACAGACCTCTTCGGCCCTACCGGCCTCGAAAACATCTTTCAGCGCCCTGTCGGCAGCGCCTCGGACGACTCTGCGCCGCCAAAACGGCGTCTCGGATTACTCAAAGGCCTCGCTGCCGTGCCATCCAGTCCCCCGCCATGGCCAGCCGTGCAGCAGAGCGACGGGCCCGACGAGCAGGAGCAAAGGCAGAAGAAGGACCAGAGAAGAGAAGCCCAAAAGGACCAGCAGGCGCGCGAATCGCATTCAGAAGAGTCTACGCACGACGAAATCACACACGACCAGGACACATCGAATTGCTCCCAGGGACTAGCGCCCCCACACGAGACGATGCGCACGGTAAGCGGACAGATTGAATTCGAAAACGAAAACTTCAGCCCCGTGTACCTGACCATGACGGCCAATATGAACATTGGCTCATCGATGCAACAACCACAAAACTTGAGAGGATCCGAGCTTGCCAACCGGTTACGTCAAATTGGGACGCCGCCTTCGAACAGTTACGGTACCATACACGAGGAAAGCTCACTGAGCCACACACGTGGAGACTCGTCTTTTGCCAGGCTACAGGACGAGTCTTTGCCAGAAGGGCTTCCCGCTGGCACTCCGGACATGGCAGACATTGGGCGGCATGTGGAGCTTCGAAGAGGCGGATACTCGCGGGACGGTTCTTTCCACCGAAGGCCACTCAGCCCATCTCCCGAACGAAAATCCTTGTCTCAGATGTCGACTGGCAAGGACACTACCGCCCACTCGAGCACAATCGTAAAGCAGTCGCCTCAAGGCGACGCCATAGACCCTTCCACCCCACGCCAACGACACGAAAACTTGCTGAGTCCTGACCGAGCCAGGGGTTCTGGAAGCCCTCTGAAACTGTTTGATGCGCACGACACTTTCACGAGCAATCGGCTCCAAAGACGGTTGAGCCAGCTCGAGTACAAGTCGGAAAAGGGCACATCCAGCGTCAAGGAAAACACGGCCGAGGCCGCTAAGCCATTGCCAAGACAATCTAGATTGACGTCGGTGGAGGAAAAGTCCATGCAGAACAACGATCAGGACCTTTCTAGAAAGGATCGCCAACCATCTGCCTACAGGATCGGTTCCTTTGGACAAGGCCATCTCAACCAGTACCAGTTCTCCGGCGACTTCTCAGTCATCTCTTCAGATGGTGAAGGCTGGGACGCCCAAGATGATAGCGCTCCAGATAGGTCGCCCTCGATCGACGTCGCACCCCCTGGCAGCCGACAGCCATTCAAGTTCCACCTGGACGAGTCGCCGGTTCCCCGTCAGCCTTCAAAAGGCCGAAGAAATCCATCTGAATACTCAGTCAATTCAATGCGAAAGGTCAGCCGACCAAAGTTCGTGCCACATCGAAAAGTGTCTCCGCCCAAGGTTGAAGAGGACTCGGAAATGGCCCACGAGTACGCAGAAGGCAAAAGAGGGCCAACCTCGCCATTCAAAAACCCAACGCCCAAACGGAGGAGAACGATTTGTTCAGTGGATGACGAAGAAAACAGTGATGATGTATTCAGCGATGCGGGAGCGAGCACAATCCACCGCCCACATGCAGCTGCTCGACCAATTCTTGCAATCAATCGAATGGACGCACTTCCTGGTTTTCCCAGAATCGTTGCGGATTCCGAGACACTGGCCAAGAGACACATTTTAAGACCCCGCAACCCTACCCCAAGCCAGCGCAGGCGCGAGGAGATTCAGGCAGAAATCATGGAAGCCACAGAAGCCTTCATCATGTCTTCACCCAAACTCAACACCATCCGCGAGCAGCTGGAGCCTTCCATGATGTCTGATGCGGACTTTGAAAAGGCTCGGGCGAAGGCGGTTGCCAACGAGATTGCTGCGTTTACTTTGAAGCGGCAGCATGGTGCGCGGGACACGCACCGCAAGCGATCCGTCACTACACAGGACTTCCTTGACGAAGCACTAAAAATCATGGATTTCATTCGTACAAAGGGACGCCCTACCAGCGGTTTGGGCAGTCTCGAGGAGACGCAAGCCGAATCCGAGTTTATCGAAGATGTCAACGAACATCCTTCGAGCTTGCTGACAGTGGAACGACCCCCAAGCAGAGAGGATCAACCGTCAGCTTGGCAGGACCCAAATCACCATGCATTGGATCCAAGCATCGCCAACTATCTGCGCAAGTACCAAGAAAAGGACAACGAAAGTTTTCTAAATACATCCATGAACTCGATGAGCTATTCTGACATGAACGAGACACCTACAATTAAAGGAGAGGACACGGTGACTGAAAAGGACAAGGCTCGCATCGCAGAGAGTACAAACAAGCCTCACGATGAGGGCGACGAGGACACCGGCCTCGGTTCTCGACCTCAGACTGCACGCACACATTTGTCGACAGGTTCATCAATCGGACACACTGTCTTGACAAACATCTCGAAGCGTTCGGAGCATGTCGCCAACCTGGCACCTCATGCGATAGCGCACCTGATTCCTCAGGAGGTAGCCGGTATGAGTTTTGATCGCGACAAAAACATCTGGGTCCGTCAGAAGAGCCCCTCCAAAGAGGACCGAGTTGAACAGGAGGCGAGAAGCGCCCTGAATGAGAGCGAGGATGACCCTTTCGGCAACATTCCAGATTTGACAGTGGAGGATACGTGCCAGCAGGATACTAGAGCTGACTCGCCAATTCGTCTTCAGCCTACCGCCGAGACCATCCTGGACGATACCGAGAAACCTCCAGATGTGGAAGAAGCGCGTCCAGCGACCCGTGAAGGAAACGGCGTCGCGTATACGGAAACAAGTTCGGCGCCTTCCAAGGAATCCAATTTTGGCTCCAGCTTTCCTAAAACCGAAACACGGGCTACCTCTTGGAGCACGCAAGTCCCGCGGCAATTTGGTACTCGGAAGAGCTCCCAGGCGCCTACCACGTATGCAATCCCAGAGTCTGAAGAAGATGATGTTGAACACGAGATTCGGTACAACGAGGGCCGAGGCCCTGTCCGCCCTAGCACCCAAGGTCCACGTGTGAGAGACATCACCATCTCGATTGCCGAGCGACCGGTACCTAACCTAGAGCAACGATCTGAAGACACGCCACAAAGACCCCGTCAGAATCAGTGGGGGCCGTCAAGTGCGCAAAAGAGATCAGAGAAGAAGCAATCAGCCTGGGCACAGTCAAACCAGAGCAGAGCTTTATCCCATGGACGGTCCGGCCGGCTGCCAGTTTTCAACAGTGACGGTGATTTGTCGATTCTAGACGATGCTCCGACTAGGAATTATCGCATGCAACTATCCATGAACGTAGCAGGACCTCCATTCCGGGACAGTGGGCGAGATGCACTGCTTGCAGCACCATCATCGCCTGTAAAGGGAGATGTGACTTTTATGCTCAGCGACCTGCCCGAGTTCACTCTCAATCAGGTTGACGAGTTTGATCTCCCAGACCGGGTTGTCGTGAAGCACGACGGCAGCCGCTTCACCAAAGCGTTGGAAGATCGCTATGCACAAGGAACTGCCGAACTAGTAAAGGCACTTCAAGATGTCGAGCCAGACGAACCGTACTGGGAAGACCTTCGCACCGTCAATCTCCGAAAGAAGGATCTTACTACCCTGCATCGCCTCGACGAGCTTTGCTACCAGCTCGAGGAGCTCGATGTCTCAAGCAACAAGATCCACCAGGTAGAGGGCATTCCTTATGGCATGCGACGGCTACACGCGCAAAACAACTGTTTGACTGGACTCACTTCGTGGACAAATCTCGTCAATCTACAGCATCTTGATATATCTGGCAACCAGATTGACGCTCTCGACGGACTCGCTGACTTGATACATTTGCGAGTACTCAAAGTCGACAACAACAAGATCAAGTCTCTCAGCGGCATCCTCCATCTCGACGGCCTCATGGAGCTGAGTGCTGGTGGTAATGAGATTGACACGATTGACTTTGCAAAGACAAACCTGTCAGTATATCTGTACTTGCATTTTCAATATAATAGCCTAACTTTGCACCAGGAAATCTCTTACAGATCTCGATCTGCGTAAGAATCGAATGCTTGAGGTCCGCAATCTCCATTGTCTCCCACAGCTTCAGCACCTCAACCTGGGTATGTTCATGTCAGTCCACGTAACCTTCACCATCTGACTTTGCGTAGATGACAATGAGATTGAGGAATTTCCTCTTGTCGATGCACCAGTCAAACCCTGCAAAGCTTTACGCTCGATTCGTCTCTGTCGAAATGGGACTACGCTGCTTGACGTTGATCACTACTTTCCGAAACTGGAGTCGCTGTATGTCGACGGCAACTCTTTAACACAGGTCTTGGGCCTAGAACATCTGCGAAATCTTCGAACCTTCTCCGCCCGCGAACAAGTTCTCGAGTCGGAATCCGATATGGAGATTTGTGCCAACAACCTGGTCAAGAATTCAGAAGTGCGCAATCTTTATCTCTCACTCAACCCCACATACGGCCTGCAGGTCTCGCAGCACTTGCTGAGCCTCCAACGATTGGAATTGGCCTCTATGGGGCTCAAGGAACTTCCAGATAACTTTGGCCAGCTCACACCGAACCTCCGGTCTATCAACCTTAATTTCAACTCTATCACAGATTTGCGACCACTGCTCAACATTAAGCGGTTGAGCGAACTTTTCTTGGCAAGCAACAAGCTCGAGCGCCTGCGCGCAAATGCATTAGTCTTGGGCAAGCTCAGCACGCTTTCCAAGCTAGACTGGCGAGACAACCCTCTTACTCTGCGCTTCTATGCTCCAGCCTCCGAGAACCGAATCATGTCGCTTCGACGGAAGCCTTCAGAGGAGCAGCTTAAGAATCGCTTCCTTTTGCCCAACGGAGAGGTCGAGGCTGATGTCCAGCATCTCCTGCGGCTTGACTATGAGACGCGTATTAGGCGCCGTGTCACAGAGATGATGCTTGCTAATCTCTGCAAAAACCTGAAGGAACTAGATGGCCTGCCTTTTGACAAGGCACGCGTGCTAGTCAAAGACGACGTGTGGGAGCGCCTCTTGTTTCTTGGCGTTATCCAGCGCAAACGGGCAGATACCGCCGTTGATGATAGCGACTAACAAATTGGTGCCACGGTGTCGAGAACAGAGGGATAGAGGCGTATGTGGGTGGTTGGCGCCCGATTTTTGCACCATGCGTCTTATTAGCTTGGAGTTTGGGTCGGCAATGTGCTTCTTACACCTTTCAAATCAAATTAGGTTTGGGTGGGTTTTGCATAGCATCTGGTACTGGGGCATCTTTTGGGCGCATTCCTCGGCGTCTTATCAAAAGCGAGCCTTCCGCGCTCAGCCAGGGTTGAGCATTTTCTATGACTTCATGAATTGTATTAGTAGCCAACACACTGTTGTATTTAGCGAGTAGCGACCTTTTTGCATCTGAGAGCCAGACTCTTCGAAACAGCCAACGTAAGAGAGTAACTTTGGGTGATCAGCCGCCCCGCGCTCCACTAAAACGGCTCCGCCGGGCCCGTGCATGGAATCGACCCAGAACGCGTGACACGCCCTCGTAAATCCAAGTGTTCGTATCGCAATGATCATCATCTAACACACATGCAACAATGGCCAGCCCATCTGACGAAGAGAGAGTCGTGCAGCTTGCACAAAAGGCCGATGAGAGCATCAAGGCTGGCGAGTTGACTGTAGCAGCACGGCACTTGCGCGAAGCTGGTTCGATTGCACCCGACCACCCACGCATCAAAGAAGCATGGATTGCGCTGAACGAAGAGGAGGGCAAGAGTGAGTTCCTGGGGATATGCCGCGAATGGGTACGGACCAAGGATGCACATGATGGGGAAAAAGCACTCAAAACGATGAGATCGCATGGCTTGAAGCAGGAGGAGGCAGAGCAGGCCATGGACATACTTTTCGACTTCAAAGGCGAAGACGACATCCTCGACCAAGTTTCAGGCGAGCTTCTACAGAATGTTGGGGCGCAAAAGTGGCTTGCCAACGCCGTTCGAGAGAAGCCAACGCGGATTTACTACGAGATGTTCGAACGAGGCGACGACTCCATCGATGGCTTACTAAAGGTCTTGCTCAACCGAGATGTCTGGCCAGACGACGAATCCTTCAAGACGGGCCACCGGGACATCTTCATGCTCAGCCTGGCAATGATGATGGAGGAGGCTCTTGAGCATCCGGAACGCGCCATGAAGGGCATCGCACAACTGCTTGCTCACTATGCAGAGCACCTCAAAGGCATCATCGACGCCGACAGTTTCGATGTCATACTGGCATCGCTTGACCTTCGACTGCCAACCAAGTTACGCAGTCAGGCTACACTTGCAAGTATCAAGCTGTTTGAGCTTGCTCCGGACACTGCGGGAGAGCTCATCTCGAGGTTCGTTACTTCCAAAGTGAAGAAGGGCGAGGCCAACGACCTCGTAATCGCCTTCTCTGCGGCTGCGGCCATCTTCCCAGTTGCTGTTACCGCTGCCGCCGCCCTTTTCTTGACAGATGGCTTCGTCAGCACACTGGTGTCAAAGGTACAGAGCAAGAAGTCTCATAACTTGGAGCAGGCCACTCTTGAACTTATCAGTGCTGCATGTGTAGACAAAAACTGCAGAGAGTCAATCAACACAAATTGTAGAGAGTGGCTGGAAGACATGGTCGCCGAGTGCCCGAGCAAGAAGCGGGCCAACCTAGCTGCACTCATTCTTGTCAAGCTGGGCGAGGAAGAGCCGTCCGATGAAACACCTCGGATTGTTAGGGCGGAGAAGGTCGACCAAAACGACCTGATTGCGAGCTTCAAGTCGATGGTTATAGGGGGTGACACGTCCTCTAAGCAGGACTCGGTTGAGGGCCTTGCCTATGCCTCCCTACAGCCCAAGGTCCGGGACGATCTATCCAAGTCGCCAAAGTTTCTCAAACGCCTTATCGAGACCATGAGCGATGCTTCGTCACCAAAGAATATCATATTCGGCGGCCTCACCATCTTTGTCAATATCACGCAATACCAGCCCTTGCAGTCGGAGGAAGAGAAGCGCATGGCGCAGCTCAAAGCCTATGCGAATGTGCAGAAGTCTGCTCAACCGGATGCTCTTCTCAACGACGAGGATGTCTCTATACGCTGCAAGCGTGTTTTGGATGCTGGTGTTGTACCACTCCTGGTGCATGTGTGCAAGAACGGCTCGGCCTCTGTCCTCACACAGAGCAGCCTTATCCTTCTTAGCCTGTGCAAAGACACCAAGAACCGTGGCACAATGGCGCAGCAAGGTGCTGTTAAGTTGCTCATTCAAATCTGGGAACACATTTCCGCGACGAACGAGTCCTCGACAACAGGCACCACGCCATTCCCACCCACCGCCCTGCCCACGACTGCCCAAGCACTGTCTCGCATGCTCATCAGCATCAACCCTTCGCATGTCTTCAATGCGGCGTTGCCAAGCACATCTGGAATCCGGCCGCTGATCAGCCAACTGACCCGGACAGAATCCACGACATGGCAGCTCCACGCGTTTGAAGCATTGCTGGCGCTTACGAACCTTGCTTCGATGGACCGAAACACGCAAGATCACATCATCCGGCAATCCTTTGACACGGTCGTAGACGACTTGCTGCTGAGCCAAAACACGCTGGTTCGACGTGCCTCCACCGAGCTCATCTGCAATCTCATGGCGTCACCCGTGTGCATTGGAAACTTTGCAGACGGCTCCCCCCGCGCAAAACACCGTCTGCATCTCCTCCTCGCCATGGCCGACGTGGAAGACAGCGCGACGCGCTCTGCCGCCGGTGGCGCCCTAGCCATGTTGCTGTCCGTCGACCTTGCCGTTGTCGAGTTCCTCAAGCAGGACAAGAACGTCGAGTGGCTGCTAGGTCTGTGCCAGGACGAAGACGAGGGTATTCGACATCGCGGCGTGGTTTGTCTGCGGAGCGTCGTAGACGTCGAAGAAGGTAAAGAAAAGTGCAAGAGTAAGGGTGTTGTGGAAACACTGAAGGTTGTGCTTAAGGAAACACGCAGCCAGGAGGTTCTTGCTGTGGGCGTCGAAACGCTGAAGATACTGCTGGGTCAGTAAGCGGCAGGATGTCTCTACTACATGCATTTCTGATTTTTTTTTATCGAGCAAGTGTTAACGACTCTTCTCCCCCGTGATATATGAAATGCATTGATGAGTAAGAAAATATCTGTTTCTCAAGTTCTCTGCAGTGATTATTTCGGTGATGACATGGTCTTTGAAGTAACGATAGTTAACAACAACAAATCATACAAGCTTTTCTTCCTACATTATTTTCCTTTGAACTACGCCTCTCTCTCTTTTTTTTTTCAAACACCCCCTTTTTTGGCAAGTCGCTAGAATACCGACACGGAATGTGAATAGTGAGACAAATAGCGAGGTCAGAACATGTAAGTATATGTCATGCGAAATCCTGCTGGCCTACAATATAAGTAATCCCCCCGATTGACGCGTGTAGTGGCTACCTAATCTTGTGCACCACCACCACCACCACCACCTCGCTATTCAAAAAAAGAAAAAAAAACCACAATTTTTTCTTGCCGCTGAGGTATGAAAAATAGCAGTCGCAATATAATCCCATCCCATCCATTCCCCCCACGCAAATATGCCCCATCTGAAAAAAAAAATCCCCATCACCGACCTCGCGCTCCTACACCTCTCTGCCCCGGACCTCACGCCCCCAAACACGCCTCACTCCGCTCAACGCTTCTAGAAGTCGCAAACGCCTCATTCAGAATCTCACAGGCTACGCTTTTCCTGCTTCCTGCAGCAGATCGAAGACCCGGCTTACATGGTACTTACATCCTGGCGAACGTGGGACTCGCTCGCACAGCACTTGTGCGGCTTCATTCCTAGGGCTGCGAACAAGCGTATCCTGAGCCGCCTTGAATGGGGAAGGCTACAGTCGGGTGGCTGGTGCATGGGGATGTTTCGCTTGCAGAGCTAGCGGTGCTATGTAGCGTCACCGCAGAGATGCTCAAGGAAGAAGATATGGGTACGGGGGATGTGGTGGTGTGGAGTATCGTTGGCTATTTTTTTGTTAAGAATAGGGCTGGGAATAGCTTCTATGATAGTTTTGCTGTTCGAAGCGCGGTTCTGAAGCGCTTTGTGACGGAGGGTCGATGGGGAGGTGCAGAAGGAAGAGGAGAATGCTGGTGGTAGGGTCAAAGAAGAGTTTTTTTGCTGTTTGCGCCGTGGGAGAGCGTCGAGAAGCATGTGCTATTTAGGTTGACGCAGGAATTCAAAGAGTACTTATGCGGTTATCAGGGAGTTTATTATTGGCGCAGACGTGAGGCATGCGAGGTTTTTGGATCTCGGAATCTGAGATGGCCGGGCTTTGGGGTTGCTCTGGGTAGACTGGTATTTTGATAGATGGTATGAGTATATATACCATCTACACATACTTGGTTGGTTTTAATTGTCAAGGGCTACATACTTGTGCTGGTGGGTCAAACGCACAGCATTACTTACTGATACAATATCCAAAGGTGGGAGACCAGGGCGCTGATAACTAACTAAGCAGGGAAGTCTTATCTCCGGTATGCTTCCGAAAGAACCCCTCACTTTACAACGGCATCGCGTGAGGGCAGCATCCTAGCACATATAAAATATGCCAGGTACAGATAGATGGGTGGACGGCAAATTTTGCCGCCATTGCTTTCGTTTCGCTGCTTACCGGGCTGGAAGGGCACGTAGACGAATTCCAAGATGGATCACTTGCCGGAGGTCTTCCCGCATATCAGGCCCATTGCTTCTGGCCATGTAGCTGCCATTGCTCTTATTGCCGCCCTGGCATTTGCTTTGTACAAGGTAGGTATGACAGAAGTGTGTGAAGTAGAAAGCTAATTCCAGCAGCTACTTACTCGCACTGATATCCCTTACATCCAAGGCATCCCCGAAATCCCCCATGCTCTCCCCATCACAGGCCATCTCACGCAACTCGGCGACGACCATGCAACCGTGTGCGAGAAGTGGTGGCGCCAATACGGCCACTCTGTGTTCCAGATTCGCCTGGGAAACACACGCGCTGTCGTCGTCAGCTCCTTTGAAGACTGCAAGAAAATCCTCGTGTCAAACTCACAGGGATTGATTGATCGGCCAAAGCTGTACACTTTCCATGGCCTGATTTCATCGACGCAAGGCTTTACCATTGGCAGTTCCCCGTGGGATGAGAGCTGTCGGAACAAGCGCAAAGCAGCGTCGACTACGCTTAGCAAAGGCATGATGAAGAATTACTACAACATGTTTGACCTCGAGTCGTACTGTATTGCACGAGACCTGCAGCGAGACAGCAAAGCCGGGGAGGTGGAAGTCAGCATCCGGCCGTACATCCAGCGATACGCACTCAACACGACACTCACACTCTGCTACGGCATTCGCATGGACGCCGTGTACGACGACTTGCTGCGCGAGATCCTCGAAGTCGGCTCTGCGATCTCGCTGTTGCGCTCCGCATCCGAGAACTACCAGGACTACGTCCCTATCCTGCGGTACCTGCCCAACAACGAGAAGAACCGGCGCTCCAAAGAGCTGCGTGAGCGCCGCGATAAGTACCTCAACCTGCTGCTCGACAAGGTCCGCGACATGATTGCCAACGGAACCGAGAAACCATGCATCAGCGCCGCCATCCTCAAAGACGAGGAAACAAGACTCACCGGCGTAGAAGTCAGCTCCATCTGCCTGTCGCTGGTATCCGGCGGCTTCGAAACCATCCCGGGGACCCTCGTCTCGTGCATCGGGTCGCTGTGCACGCGCGAAGGCCAGGTCTTCCAGGACCGGGCGTATGCCGAAATCCGCAAGATGTATCCGCACGACGACGACTTGAAGAAGGCGTGGGCCACCGACTTTGAGGCCGAGGAGATTCCCTATCTCAGTGCTATTGTCAAGGAAGCTGGCCGCTACTACACTGTCAGTAATATGAGTTTGCCGCGGAAAACAATGAGTGATGTGCGCTGGGGCGACGCCGTGATACCCAAAGGCACCATGGTGTTGATTAATGCTCAAGCTGGGAATCACGGTGAGAAATACACTGACAGGACTAGGTTGTATATATCTAACAGAACCAGATACCGATTACTGGGGCCCGGATGCCGCAACATTCAATCCGGAGCGCTGGCTCACATCCCCCGTTGACTCGTCGTCTCCATATACCTCAACGCCTCATGCGAACCCGCCCCATCTTTCTTTCGGCGCGGGCTCCAGATCTTGTCCTGGCGCACTCATAGCAACAAAGCTCATCTACTGCGCCCTGTTCCGCCTGCTCAGTCTGTACAGAATCGAGGCTAGTGCCACGCATCCGCCCAACACGGATTACATCGACTACAACGCCATCAAGAGTGCGCTCGTGGCGATTCCGCGTGACTTTGCTGTGCGCCTGCGCCCGAGATCGGGGGAGGATATCGTGAGTGCTGTACTACGCGAGGGCGAGCAGCGAACGGCGGAGTTTTACAAGGAGTAAGTGGGGTTGGGTGAAGGTTGCTGTTTACCGGTTTTCCCAAGCGAGTTTGATACTGAGGCATTGCTTGTTCAAACACGTGAGTTATTGCATGTGGCAGATGTTTGGAGGACGCAATGGGCTGCTGCAAACATGGCGATGTAGTTGAAATATGGCCTTTTCTCCGTTATGGCTGTGGTGGGAGGAAGTTGTATATGATCTCTGGTTTTATATATAAAAGCGCTAAATTGGATTTTTCGTCGTGCTCCTCCTACCTTTGGATCAACTTTCACATTGCCTGATCAGACGCCTGATATGCCCATGTCTCCGCTTGAGCGTGGCTTCCGATCCATGCAGCCTTTGGGTCGCGATGTTGGAGAATTTGGATACTCCCGCGATGCTCCCGCTGCACCCCCAACTGTTAAGACTGACCTATACGGTTCCATCCGTTCTCCATACTGTCAGACATTCGAGGTGGATAGGAATGACTGTTCGTTTGCTGGATCCCGCTTCTATCAGGCAACACTGAACAAGCAATCACTTGGCTCCGGTCTCGCGGTCTCGCGTATTTCTCTTTCACTGTGCTGGCGCGGGCTAGTGCGCGCTCCTACCTATATAAGAAACGCGACTTCTCCAACTACGCTCTTATCGTAAACACTCTCAACTTTAGACTCGCTGTCCACCGTACACTGCACACTTTTCCGTCCAACTATCCACAATCTTTTACGACAGCCAAAATGAAGTCGGGACTTTTTGCATCGTTCATTACGCTCCTCGCTCTACTTGTCACCATCACCTCTGGCCGCGTCATCAAGAATGACCTAGCCAAGCCCAGCTCGGAGTCCGCACAGAACTCCAGCCTCTTCAACGTCTCCTCCGTGTCCAACGGCCTACCTGGAGATGCGCCGGCCGACTTCCTCGACGACTTCAACCCTGCCACAGGTGGCGACTTCGACCCCAATGTCTGGGCCGACGACGAGTTGTGGAACAAGTACCTCGCCAAGGGCCAGCGCTTGATGTGCCTGATGGACGCCACGGATCAAGGTGCTGGGTACCTGATGCAAGACACGCGACAACCACCATCGGCTGCAAGTCGGTGGACTAGTGACCTCGTAGGCAAGTTGACACCCTTTTCCCCTCCCACGCTTGCTACTTCAAGCACTGACATATTGCCTCAGCTGAACTCGAAACATGGCACTGGGACGAGGAGCCCCTCTACGCGGACTGGGATTGCGACTTCGAGGCCAAAAGTCTCTCTACCGTGTTCCAGGCCCTCGGTATCAACCCTTATCCCGCCTACGACGACGACGGTGAACCGGCAGATGGCGAGAACGAGTGCTATGTGGTTTCTCATGCCGAATTCGGGAGTGGCGTCCCGGTTCGAGATCAAAGGTACCATGTCAATGGCAGAGAATACAGGGTATGTTTGTATCTACCCTACAGAATTGCTTGCTAACAATCATGCCAGGCTACTGGCGCCGCATACGACTTTGCTGTCAACCAAAAGGACGGGCTCATCGTCGCGTTGAACATTATGAGTCCGTCTGCGGCCGTGCAAAACCGATTTGGCTGGGGCCGCAAAGCTGAGCCTGGTGAGCTGCCTGAGCTACATCGTCTCTCCGACATCTACTGGGGCTTTTGGTTCCGGGGGAACAATCATCTCAACGCCTTCAAGTACTACCTCGCCCACCATGTCGTCAACCCTGATACGGTCAAACTCATCACTCGCGCCCTAAGGAATCGACGCAAGTTCGCGTTGACCTTTTGGCCAGGCGTTGCCTTCACCATTGGTTCTCCAGAGCACCAGGCCATCATCGGTAAGTGCGACATGTCCTTCTCTCGAAGGCGGGTGCCGAAGTGCCTCGTTTTGAAAACAACCATACTGAGTTCCTCCAGCATCCCCCATTGGCGCGACCGCTGCACACTTCCTCATCACGCACAAGCCCTTTCTCGGCATCAAGCGCATCACAAAGATCAATGTTTTCCATGATGATTACCGTCCGGATGAAGTCATGTTGATGTTCACGATCGAAGACGTGCCCCAGGATGCCATCACGTCACCTCACGGGGGGCAGGTAAGCGGCGACGCGAGCAAGGTCCAAAGCAATGTGCTCCACGTGAGGAGGGATGGGAGGCATATCGTCCGGGAGCACAGGGTGATGGCGAATCTCTGAGACTAGCGGCCATGTGATTCGGGAGTTGGGATTTAGAATATTTATGTTATATGGTCTCTTCATGGATTTTGGTCTTGCTTCTTCGTCAAAATCATCTTGTCCCAGTGACACAATGTCGGGTTCAGTGACATGATGCTGGTGGTAGGCCAGGTTGGCCATACCCGAAAGCGACTCATTCTTTCCAAATACCGCGGCCCAGGATGAACCGTGTCTAAGCAGCTTCAATATTCTCTACGCGGGCCAGGATCTGGGCTTTCCACTTTGCATAGTCTTCTTGCTGTCGCTCCCCAAGATAATCAGTCGCGTCTTGCATCATGGTCCCCAGGCCAATATAAGGGCTTCCAGACCGGAGATGCAGCGCTCCTGACTTGACATTCATATTGCCAGTCATTTCGACACCTTCCATCTCCTCTCCATCAGCCACGGGCTTCACGCTCTCGAACCACTGCATCTGGAGCCAGCCTTCCTCCTTCGCCATAGCCATTGTCTGTTCTATCACCGGTACGAGCTCCTCGGACGTGACATGCTGCGCCGACGGGTTCTTCAACACGGTGCTTGTTGCCTTGACCAGCCACTCGTTGTACTTATCCACCGACACATCGACATCTCTCATTCTCGAGAACACGAGCAGAAATACAACAACAATAAGACCGAGAAGCCGTGTGTCGCTGACGTCCGCGGAAGAGAGTGCACTGGCTGTGGCTCGCTTGGGACGCTTGCTGGGCGACTCCGCGGCCGCAGCAGACATGCGGGCGAGAAGAGGGTATATGGATTCTACTCCAGTATACACGTGTGGTATCACTGCCGGATATTCAAATGCCTTTGCCAATGCTCGGATAGCAGGTACCACCCACTCAGGGGGCTCTGCATTACTCTCACGGCCTCGCTTCGTGCTCAATGGTGTTTTTGGTGTGTTGCGTACTGACGCGGCGGGGGCCGGTACAGCCTTCTTACGCGGTGTTTGGGGCTCCGAGTTTGCGAACGAGTCTGGAAGTGCACTGCTGAGGTAGTTGTATAGCTTTTTGTATATGCGAGGGGGGCAGGGCGGCCGGGATGTGATTGAGGGGAGGTTGAGACGCTTCTTGAGTCTTATGGCTGTTAGATGAATGTATATGTCTATTTGCATGTCGCGTACCTTTCGCAGGCTAGTTGCGCACATGCATATGGCCGTGCGATTTCTTCGTCCGACTTCAACGACGTCGCGACTGTTTGCGAGCGCGTGAGCAGCGATAGGGCAAGTTCAATCAGCTCTGGGGGCAGAGGCCCGCTTAGTGTAGGGACTAAGCCCGTAAGCGCCTGTTCTATGCTTGCACGGCTCATTGGGCGTGGTGTTGAGGGTTGGCTTTTCCGTGGTAGATGCTGCCATGTTGGTGTTCTGACGCGACGTCCACTTTCACGCTGTCACGTGAGGGCTGGATTGTCTTGCGTCACTTCTTCTTGCTTCCATCATCGACCAAAATTCATCAACTAATTGATTTTCTGTTGTTGTTTGTGATGACATCATTCAAAAGCTACTGGTTTTCCCGTTCAGTCCATCTCACGTGTTAAGTCGCTTCATCACGAGAGCCTACACGGCTGTCCTTGAATCACACCGAACAAGTCTTGACACCCGTCATCTCGCCACCTTGACTGCTGTACGGACATGGCACATACTATAGCCTCCCACATCCAACCACATGTCCATTCATCGACTTTCAATACCTCTACATGCACAAACTCATCTTCTCGACGCCCATCACCGTATCTCTGACGCACCGCATTCCTTGTATTATGATGCCGCTTTCTGTCCCCGGACGCGTCTGCTTCCGGGTCTTCCAAGTATGTTTGTATGACGCTCTTCTCGGAACCCAGTGCCACTCGTCTGCACACTAGGTAGCTTCAGCGTCCTTGTCCCACGGTTACAGTACTACGTCCAAGTTTTTTTTTCCACCGCTATACCCAACCAATTGGTTGTTGCAATGTACCATGTTGAAGTAGCAAGCCGCGCCAAGCATACCAAAACTACGACATCGACATGTGCTTCATCCAAGGTGGTACTGGAGAGGCGCGGTTTAGCGGTCAGTCTTCTTCGACCCTTTGACCACGTCAACTCGGCTTGACCGACATGTTGAGTACATGACTCTTGATTGCAGCTGCGTTGTTTGATAGGATGCTGCGGTAAGTGCATTCGTCAGGAGGGCAATGGTGACCTTACAACGGTAAACCTGTGTGACACTGAACACTCGCAATTGGAAAGAAACAGTATATCAAAGCCACGCTGATGACGGGAACTTGCATTTTGACAGCTCGGTTACCACGGGCGATTAGGTTCGGCACGAGCTCATGACAACTCGCATGTGTTTGGGATATTTAAAGTTCGTGCTGCTTCGCATACTTTCAGCAAGTACCATAGCAGGCCAGAAACGCAAACATCCAGTCGATTGCTCATCTACGGACAAGCAACTCTCAGGAGGTCTTTGAGCAAGTATTTTGAAGTTTCCTCTCGACTACAAGCTATTCATCTTCAGCCCCTGAGGATGCAGCTCCCACTCATCCTGGCGAGTTTGCTCGCTACTCTACCGGCTACGCATTCCGCGCCTGTCTCCGCCGTCACTCACTACGACGAGCCACCCATGTGCGGCTACGTACTTACAGTCCGGAACAGCAGTGCTTACGCTGGTATCTCGGCATACTCGTCCTGCACAGCAATATACTACAACAGCTCCATACCCGGATACCAACAAGCATATGCTTATAGTGTCTTTGGAGGCTGTGGATGCTCGTTTCATGTGTAAGTGTCTCGTTCGGAAAATAAGGCCGTGTGCTGATAATTTATAGGAGCGAGGAAGAATGTATGGAGTCCACAGAAGCCCGGTGGTATGAAGGACCGATTGGAACACCTGGCAAAGAGCTCAGTTTTGATGAGCCGAGGCCGAAGTGGTACAATTGCGCAACAACGGGCTAGCGCTGGTTGTAGACTGCACTTCTCACAATCACTTGCATGGTATCAATTGGGAAACACTCATGAATTAACATTTCACTATCTGGAAACCCCCACACAACAAACACCGAGAAATTACAGCCATAATATCACCGTTTTTTTTTTGTTCAGGTAGACGAGTTCCGAGCATCATGCATTTCCACGTCCTTGGCGGAGGCAGAGGCAGGGGCAACAGCAGCAGCAGTGGCGGCGACGGGCGCAGGCGTGGGCGTGGGCGTGGGCGCAGTAGGGGGCGCGCGGCGGCAGCGCGGCGGCATTGGCGGTCTGCTGAGTGAAATGTTAGCTTGAGTACAAAATTCTGAATCGGCAGCGGCGAAATGAAGATCGAAGGGGAAAGGAGTAAAACATACAGCAGCAGCAGCATCGGCGGCGGCCTTCGCGCGGCTAGCGCGGCGACGAACAGTGGCCCTCTAGAGAAATTGTGAGAATTGTTCATTGATGCTAGGAATAGGTATCTTAATTTAGAGCCACTGTCCTTCTTGCCCTTCTTCTTGGGCTGCTGGTGGGCTCTCAACAGCTATAGATCAGTCAGTATAAACAACAACAATAGTAAGGACAAGAAGCCAGGACAAGTGGAGTGAGGCAACTAAAGTAGGGCAAGTGAATTTGGATCAAACCAAGGACAGAAATTAGAATGGAAATCAACTTATATTGTCAATGCTCTTGTTGGAGGCCGCATAGATATTGATGTGGCCACCGGTAATAGTAAGCATTTTTGGATCGTCTATAGTATGTTAGCTCATCAAATTTGCGAGTTTGTGTGAGTGGGAGTCATGACTATGGCTATGGTGAGGTAACATGGATTGAGACGGTCAAGGTGAGGGAGTGAGCAGGTAAAGGTGAAGGAGTGAGGTGATATTGGGAAGGAAGGTGCAACTTTCACTAACCAAGTGGTGGTAGTAGTGGTAGTGGTAGTGATGGTAGGAGGAAGAGACGGAGGCGGATGGGGGGACTGACTGATATGTTGTGTGCGTCTTGGCGTTCACGGACTCCCGCCTCGTCAGGACCCCCGAGGATTACCCATACCAATCACTACTCGGATTAAAGGCATTGCCGCGAGAGCCATGTTTGTTTGCCCCGGGATATGGGCTGTTGCGTTTGGAGCTTCTAGCGAGGGCTTCAAGTCGAGTACAGTCCAGTCCCATCAACAAAAAAAGAAGACAGGAAATCTACATAGAGCTTTCTAATCAAAGGGAATATTGAAGCTTATTAATTGCTAGCTCTACATAATACTGACAGTGTATTGCCTCACTGCAGTGTTTTTAATACACTCTACTATCCTGTGAGCTCTACTTTCTTAGTATCAAACTTGCTTATAGAGCTTTGGCACTGTCGGTTTTTGTCATTCTCTGACATATATCAGATTCAATTACCTTTAACTATTGCTCATTTTGTATCTGCTTCTGCATGGCAACGGACTCCTGCTACGAATTGTGTTCAGAATTGATTCAAACTATGTGTGGGCATTTTCACGCCTCTGGCCCTACGATACCGAGTAGATATCATGATATTTTTCTAGGTGGCGATAGTGACGATGCAACGCACGCTGAGAGAACAAGAGAGTTTCATATCTCTCGCTCACTCGTCAGAATATACTTTTCCGGGTTTTACGAGGCATAAGTAGATGCTGGGGTTTTGTAGGTAGAAAGGACAAAAAGAACATTGGTCGGCTGTCAAGTATACATGTATGGGTTTGAAGTCCTAATCAATGTTCCGTAGGGCATGTGGACGGCTGCAGATCTGGTTTGCCTGCGTGAAAAGAGTTATATGATAGTTTGGCGGTTGAAGCTCCATCGTTGGAGCAGCCGCAGCTCGCGTTGTATGAGTAAAACCCGCGGTTACAATTCAGAACACCAAGGCCTGGTTGCTGTCACGTGTATACGCACGTGAAGAGTAAGTCTTGGACGGCAGAGAGATGACAGGAAGACAACCGTATCTACGAGTAGACAATTAAAATCTCAGCTTAGTCCGACTTTATGCCTTGTGGGAGTCTACTTTAAGATGTTGAAATTAATCAATCAACCATGCGCACACTGCCTGAGGCGCCCACGCGGCTTGGTCGACTCTTGTACTGAGCGGCGGCCCCAACATCAGTTGAGTACAACATGTGAGCATCACGACTGATTTGCATATACCACAGTATGCGAGATTGAATGCGCTGTTTCGTTTGACATACAGAGTTTGCGTAAACACTGGTTCTCGTGGTGCAGCCAAGTTGCGTGCTGGCGATTCTGTTTCAGGCGGGTTCTCCGTGTACTGGGACAGTCGAAAACCCCAGTACTTACGGCGGTGTTAATCGCATGAAATACACATGATGGAATGCGCTGGAGACATGTTATATTCGTAGACTGATACTGTAATACTCATTCTGGGAGAAGAGCGGTGCGCACAGCAGGCCCCGCCACGAGCTTCAACCAGTCCGCAAGCCGAACAATCCACTGCGATGAACTGTCTGCGAAGCCCGTAATTGAACTTGGCGTCCACATGTAGCGTGCGGGAATTCGCAAGCTGTCCAACGTGCACAATATTTTCCGTTTCCACCAAGAGTGTCGTTTTCGGGCGGAATTTGATCTTCTCAACAGGTGCGCCCCAGCGTTTAAGCCCAGTCGATCAGATTTTCTTCCTCAATGTACTGGACTAGCCAGAGAGCATCAATGAAAAGAAGCCTGTCAGATTGCCGCCAACGTCCTGCCTCCCAGTGCGACCGAAGTGCGCAACTGGTCAGCTGAAGATCATCGCCACGCTCGCCGAAGCAAAACGTAAACAAGGCCTCACTCCGGGACATCGGGGCTGAAAGTCATCAGCCAGGTTGGAGAATCTGTAGCTACTTAGAGTAACTCAGAAGAGGACGACTACTAAAAAATAGATTCCTTAGATTATCTTAGGGTTCGTTAGTAAATTTGCAACAATGGGGGGTAATGGGAAAACTTGCGTCGAACTTGCCCGTTCTCCCTTGGGCAAAGCTGTCCTTTTATGCCTGAGCTGTGGCCCGAGCGCCTTAGTGCTGTTGCTCAAGTGCACGGATCCAAAACAAAAATCTTCGCCGAAGATTATCCGGACCCAGTTTTTGGTTGGCTCTTGCCGCTGGTTCCCCCAATCGTTGGGCATCGGCGCCATGGCTGTACCCATTTCGGTTCCACATGTCGCAGTTTTTGCTTTCACCGAAGGAAAAATTTGCTTGCCCGCAGCCGCACGCCCTACCCTCCGACCCTTTTGCGCACCGAGTAGCGAATCGCAGGATCCGAGTTGGCCGATGTCAACACCGTCTCTGGGGCTGGGTCGTTATTGGACAAACGGGAGTCGGGTTGATGGGAATATTCGGTGTAGGAGTGGCTGGGAGCGGAGACGGCTATACCTAGATAGTTGTCAGTCAATGGATACATACGCAGCCACCTCGTACTGCTGTCTATAGGTGTACACCTATCTGCGTTGAATGTTGCTCGGCAAGCCATATTCTGCTCTCACTGTGCCACGCTCTGCCCTTGTTGAGTCCTGCCTGCTCGTCGGGCCCTCGTACGAAATCTGTCCAACCGACCAAGGAAAAGCGGCTACTCAATCGTAAACGAAGTCCATAGACAGCATGGTAGAGGCCAACCTAGGAGCTGAAGACCGGGCTGTAAGAGTTGGAGTGTTGGTGTAGTTCAAGGCCGAAATCGCCAGTGTCGTTTCCGTGTACCGACTCGATTCGTATCACATAAGGGTAGGTCGTCGCCTATGTCCCCACGGTGTCGCCTCGATGTGCGCGTATTGCTCGAGCCGTTCGCATACGGTCGTAAATTTCTCTCCCTCGGGACACCAGCAAGCCGGATGTCCCGATGGAAAGCACCACTGTGGCATCTAAGCCAACGGTGGCCGAGTGTGGCATTTAAGCCAACGCTCCAGGAGTGGTTGTCAGAGACATCGCACTCTTTACTTTCCGGAGGCAGCTTTTACACCGACCTCCGTTGAAGGTGGCAATATAGCTAACGCTTCGTGAGTGGTCCTTACGGCCCGACTCGTGGATAGTGGCCTTGCGGTCTTCTATCATGATGAAGTGGACTGTTGTGCAGCCTAGACTTCGAAAAGACTCGCTAGAAACCGAGTCTTGAACAGTGGTGATGGATGTCACCAGCTTCTCATCCGACGGTAATTCGCATTACCGAGTCAGCATCAGAGCTAGCTTGCGCCTGCACTCTGGATACACAATGAAGAGGGGGAGGGGAGCTTACTGAAGACGGTCTTATCCAGCATCAGCGTGAGACTCTATTCGAGTTCACCTTCATCGCTGGTCGGTCGCTTCCGCTTCTCGACAGGAAGGTACTGCGAAAGGCCCATCTTGTTTGATAGGCATTTCCGACACACCCAGTAACAGTTGCCGAGAAGAACGTCGTCGTGCTGGAAGACTCTGGCTAAATATCTACCAGTGTCTGGACATTGTTCCAACGTGTGCCTACCCTTGACGAAGTGCTTCTTAAAGAAACCCTCCATCTCCACACGCGGCATCAGCTTGTTGTTACAACCAGGGCCCTGACATACCCTTGGGATTGGAGTCCTCCGGAATGCAAGCATTTTTTAAAGGCGTAATGGACAGGCTTCCCCATACCTTGTGCGATAGTTGAAGCAATTTTTGCACTCCATGGATTCCCCCGGGCGCTTCGGATCGCAAGACAAGAACACATTTAGTTCCTAAAGCGGATCTGATCGTGGCACCATCTGCCGCTTGCAGTTCCTGCAGCTGGCGCCAGGGTATGGGGTCCATCGATATCCTTGGCAGAGGGACCATGTAGAGTTGAGGCCCACGGAAAGAGGTGCCGATAGGCCTGCGGCATGCCTACATGCATCGACGAGCCTGTAGAGCTCATCGTCTATGAAAGCCTTCTTAACACTGCCCTCACGCGGACGCCAACCAGGGTCCGTAACCGTGCCAAGGTAGAGCATGAAGGACTCGGCGAAGCAGACCACCCATGGGTATGGCATATTACCATAATGTGCAAGACCACGAAGACACACAGTCGAATTGGTCTTCATAATGGCTTGTCCGTGTTTGCCGCTAACCTTGTTTTCAGCCGGACGCAGATAGTCGTGCCACCGTTGCGCCAGGCCGAATTGTCCGCTGGCGGCACCCACGTACAGCTGTCGGATCAGCTCGAGCTGTTCCTTGATGTGGACGATGTCCACGTAAACACTCTTCTCGATGTTCTTCTCAATCGACCACCCGGGAAGGCTTACCAGGTCGTCAATTGTGAAGTCCGGATTTCCGAGGGTGGAACGGACCGGGATGTCAATGCCGCTTAGAAGATTTTCCAGCAAAAAATCTTCTGATCCTCTGCTCAGCAGGGAGAGTAACCCAGGCACAATGGGTTTCCATGCCGTTTTCTTGCTTTCAGGATCAAGGCGCAGATAATCTGAGGCAGTGGACTTCAGGAAGCAGATGATTTTACGAGCAATTTCCACGAAACGCTCGTGTCTCTCTTTCTCTTCGACAGTGGAGAACGTGTCGAAGAGGAAACTTCCCAGACTTAGGTCAGAAGTAGGATCCATCCTAAGCCTAGTAGGCAGGTTCTGGACGGATGCCTTCTTCTCTTGGGTATTCAGAGCTTGGTCTTCGTCCTCAAGACCAACCCCGGTTTCCGTCGACATGGCCATGTCGACTGGGCTATCAAGTTGAGCGGCAGCTTTTGCCAGCGCCCTTCTTGCATTGCCATTGTTCTTGTATCCCCAGATTCTGATTGGATACATATTGGCAGGCTTGGACTCGCCTGACTCAACAACCGAAGGTTGTTCTGTCTCGGCCTCCTCTGTCTCTTCAGGAAGATCAAGCTCCTCCTGGAGAGCCAAATGCATGGCCCTGGAAAACTCGTCGTCGTCGTCGAGCGGGTCGTAGACGACCGGGCCACTCGTATCGTTCTCGACATTAGCTTCGGCAGCCAATTGTGCCGTCTCGGCTTTGTCGAGTTCCAGATAGATGGCTTCGGCAAGCCCGTCGTGGTCGTTCTCCATTCTGGCTTCAAAAGCCAATTGTTCAGCTTCGGCTTCAGCAGCCGCTTGCTCTTTCGCCTTGCATTCAGCAGCCAGGCGTTGTACTGCGGATTCGGGATCCGCCAGCATCTCTTTGGCTTTAGCAGCCTTTGTTTCCGCTTTGGCTTCAGCGGCCAGACGTTCATCTTCAGCAGCGAGTCGCTCAACCTCCGCTGCTTGAGCCCGCTGTTCCTCGGCCGCTTCTGCAGCCTCCCAAGCGTGCAGCTGGTCATCTGTGATGCCACCCAGTGGCAGCGACTCACCTTTACTCAGCAGGGCCTTTGTGGCCACTGCCTTTCGCTCTTCAATGGCTCGCCATTGTTGCAGCCAAGCTTCATCCATGACGCCTTCTAAAAAAGGCAATCACACGTTAGTACCATTCAAGAGTGAATTTCCGATGATTGCTTACGTTCTGGCAGCTCCTTGCCTCAGTCGAGGATGATCTGGGCGACCTCAGCCCTCTCCTTCTCAACCGCTCGTTGGGCCTTCGACTTCTTGCGGTTGGGAGGCATGGCTCCGAACCTAAAGAAGGAAATGTATGATGAAATGAATACAATCACTGTGTGATTGTGTGCGTGGGCAATGGATGAAGACTGGAAAGGAGTGAGGCAGCTTGGGTCGAGCAAAAGTGATGCAGCTTGCCATGGCCGTTCCTGCCTCCTGGGGAAGGAGCAACACCCTATACCCTGCAAACATCACGATACATGCAGATGGGTGTGATTTCAGGGCACCGTACGAACGAGCTCGGCCAGGAGATTCTCCCCATACACATAAACACCTGGATCACACATTCTATCGAGGAATCACCCCGTGTTGCATCTGTGGGGTTCCTCTCCTCCCGATGTTTTGCCATGCACGAGTGTGGGGTGGGGCTCCACTTTCTTGTTGTTGAGGAAGGAGCACCTGGGAAGGCACACCCAGACGGCGGGTGGCATCAATACCACAAAAACACCATTGTGTGGCCATAAGTGAGAAACGGACATCATCAGGACTGACACTTTATAGTCCAAGACTCGCATTGGTAGAGCTGGACGTTGCATTGACGTTTGACCTTTTGGGGTTCAAGTAAACAGTGAGAAACTTGCACGACGACAACAAAACACTTTCTGCTCCAACCCAACCAGCTTTGATATTTTGCTAGCTGAGAGGGAGTGAGATATCCTCAGAACTAAGAATAATGCAGTAATTCCTAGATACAAGAGAGTGGTGTTGCTCAGACGAGTGACTAGTGTTGCCCAGATGTCAGTGAGCATGGTGTCGACGGCGTACTTAACCATTGATCCGTCGATGCCAAGCATAAGTACAGAACTATAAACAGCAACACCAGTTCCTGTATGCCAAGACTACCAACTCTTGGTCGCTGAACTCGTAGGAGTTCTAAATCTCAGTTTCTAATGCAATGGCAGACTGCATTCGTGCCGTCCATGTATGTTTGAAGAGTGATTTCAACGTGCTCACTTGGCGGATTGCACAATCAGTAGAGTACTACATTATTTGAGATAGCAAAGGTACTATACTCAGCACCTTGGATACAGGTGCATCTTCTGTGCAGAGAAAAGTGAACTTGTTCGAGTTCTGGAGGCGAGGTAGTTGTAGAAGCGAGGTATGTGTAAAAGTTGGTAATCTCAAGACGCACTGGGATATATGACATGGTAAAACACGTAGTCAACATCTACCAGGAGTAAGGCTTTCAGGCAGACATAAAATGTAGCTAAAAGTAGAAATAGTACTTGTATTTGACTTTTAACTAACAAGACGAATTCTCTATTCACTCTAATTTTTCTCACATCATACTACATCAATGTACAAATATTGAGAAGGAAAAAAGGTTATTAAATGCTTCATTTTCTCTTCCACTCACTCAACCAACCCTCGTCATCAACACGCAGAAACGAAAGAATCTTACAATTACACATGTCTTGAATTGTACTGTATAAATCCCCCGCCAGCTTTCAAACTCTACTAATTTCGAAGAGGGACAAAAAAGAAAGTAAGCACCTCTACGCTACTGCGCCACGTAGAATTTTTCGACAGAGAAACTAATACAAGTGTGGGAAACGGAGGTAGGGTAGGCAGTTTCAGCGATTGAATAGCGATAGGCAAAAAAAAGTTGATGTTTGTACCACATAGATACAAAAAAAAGATGGGACCAAGACAGACAAGACCGACTTCCCAAGAGACAGGCAAAAAAAAAAGAGACGAGGGTATATACTACATATCCGTAATCATAGCTTGATCGTCCTGGCGCTGGCCTTCGGAGACAATGTTGAGGAGACGCGCATACGGCACGGTGATGCGCTGGAGATCGCGATGTTTACCTGTGAATGGCATTAGTATCAAGGTGGAGACGAGGGCTGCAAAAAAGCTTACCGAGAATCAAAACGGCCTCTTTCAGTAGGTCCTCCCTCTTCCAGCCGCAAATGTCGGCGGGCTCCTTGGACGTGTCTTGTTGCTCTTGGCTGGCTTCATCACCGGCGTCGTCTTCAATGAGGTTGCCCATCAGACTTCGCAGCAGCTCTTCAATCTTGCCCTTGAGGCCCTCGGCGCCGAGCCGCTTGACGTACATGGTAAAGTATATCTTGTATTCTTCCTTGGCGCCCAGGGCGCGGGCGGCAGCGACACGGTTCTCGAGATGGGCGACGCTGGCGCTGCTCTCAAACGTCTCGTAGCCCTCTGCCGAGACGAGGATCTTGATGAGTCGCTGGAGGTGGAAGGCGCGGCCCTGCAAGAGGGACTGGTTTGTCGTGTTGCGCTCGAGGGCAGGGATGATGCCCGCCGAGATGTTCTCCGGCGATACCTGGTCATCCTTCTCCTTGACTGCGGCCTTGTCTTGCGAGGAGCGAATGTTGCCGACCGAGGAGTCTGTGGAATTCCAGTACTGACTGGTGACGCCCCACCATGGTTCTGACAGGCGCTGCCAAATGTACATGTCGGGGTTGTAGGCGTATCCCTCGCCATTAGACATGGCTACTGTTATCCGGCCGGCCGAGTTCAAGCGTGCAAAGACAATACCAGGCGACCGGGTGAGGTGTGGTCCTTGAGCATAGGCTGCAATGTCGAGAATGGGGGCCAGGGAAACAGGGGGATGAGGCGACGACATGGTCTTTAGGTTCCAGATATAGCACATGCCCACTGCCGTAATGCACGTTAACCACCAGCCACGGCAGTCCATGATGACGGGCTGTGCCTCAAGAACCATGGCATTGAGTGTTCGCCGGCCTGCTGGCGTCCATGCGTACACTGATCCGTCCTCGCATGCCGCAGCGAAAAAGTTTGTGTTGCCCGTAACCAGGAGAACAGCTTTTGGTAAAAAGTCCTGCCACAGAGACTGTCCTTTGCTTGTGCATGTGAGACGCGTTGGGTCGTGGTCTTGCGGTCGTCCTGTCCGTGATGGTCCACTGGCATTGCGCGCCTCGAGTATAACAGTGTCTGGTATGTCTGCCTTTCCGGTATTGGCATCTACGCCACTCTGTGGTGGCTCGCTGCCATCCATCGTCCGCACAATGACGCTCCTGACTTTTGGTACTGCCAACCGCACCTGAGCAAGACTAAGAGACGGGTTGACAATCGCTGGCCTGAGAACTTTTGGCGGTTCCTGCAATTCGTTACTCTTCGGCGGTGCGGCAGCAGGCGGGATGAGGCCATTCTCGCTGTTTAGCACAATCGCTGCACCCCCAGACTTCACAGATGCAGCCAATCTCCGCTCCACCTGCCTGTCCTCATCGCCTTCAATTTCAGCAAACTTCCTCTTATTCCCAACGAGCATACTGGCGAGACCTCCTTTCGGGAATCCATCATATGGTTTCGAGAGATCGAGAATGTTATGCGGGTTGTCACTCCGGCTTGATGTTGTTGTCGCGGAGAGGAGCTGTGTCTTGGGCAGGGAGGATTCGCCAACACCAGACGAAGACGACATCAACATTGGTGCTATTCGCTTCTTGCCGTCTTTCGTGACCGTCACTCTTTGCTTCAGCTTCTCCACCCTCTGGTCTGGAGGTGGCTCGACGGGTGCTGGTGCTGCTGGTGCCGGTGCTGCAGTGGATCCATTGGTGAGAGAGGGTGTAGTACCGTTCGTTCCGTTGGTGATTGTCGGCGGCTGGACTGCACCGCCGTCGCCCATCAGTGCACCCATCCTGCCCTGGACACCCTTGAGCTCCCCACTCTTACTGCTCTCTTCCAAAAGTAGCGCATCTGTGCCTTCAACAATGCCAACCCTCCTGCCAGCACCAAACTTGGCAAGCGTCTTCTCGTTCTCTGCAAGCGTTGCAGGATATCCCAATTCGCCCGGCTCGAATACCAACGTCATGATGCTGCCGTCCAGGCTGGTTGCGTACAGAGTCTCTCCGTCTGGCGACCATGACAAGTCGGATATCGACTTTCCTGCCAGCTCTTGCGAAATCATAAAAGGCCTGGGAAAGCTTGTGTTCCACACACTCAAACATTTATCCTGCCCGGCACATGCCACTATAGTCACGGTCGGTTGTGAAATGGATCCGTCTTTTTCTGGGCGTGGCGGGTCCCGGTAGAACAATCTGGGAGAAAATGCGGTGACTTCAACCGGCCCCTCATGACCAACAAGACTAATGTCGCCATCCCACGATCCACGCGAAAGGATAGCGACTGAGCTGACTGGCCCATTCGTAGCGTTGGCAGCAGCAATGTGTGCGCCGTCTGGCGACCATGAGCAGCGGCGAAAGTATGTGGTGAGCGGCGAGGTTTGAAAGGGCGCGGTGATTGTGTGGTCTAGGATAAAGTTGTTGACTTGGTCTTGCTGTGAGGCATTCGGCGGCGGGGAATTGAATCGGTAGACTTTGATGGTTCGGTCGTCGCTGGCGGTCGCAAAGTACTTGTTGGCCGGGTCAAAGGTGATGCCCTTGACGTGACTCTGATGGTTGGACAGCGTCTTGAGCTTCTCAAACGAATGTCCTGACCAGACCACGACCTTGGAGTCCAGGCCCACCGAAACCAATATCGAAGAGTCAAACGACCAGCCCAGGTCCTGCACATCATTATCGTGTCCTATGAGGCGGCGGATGACGCGCCAATTCTCGACGGGCGGGGGCTCGTTCGATCCTGCGAGTCCATCAGCCATTGCTCCGGTGCATTCCACCTGTACCCACCAAATGCCGCGTGTGTCGGCGCATTCTTGTCCAGTGCATAGACACATACTATCTTGTCGTCTGCGCCGGATGCCAAGTATTTGCCGTTGGGAGAGAAGCGGACGGCGTGGATGGTGCCCGAATGATGGCTGACAGCAGCGAGCTGCTTAGGCTTCGCATACGTGGGGTCGTTTGAGTTGAGGATGGCATCGGTGGACCATACGCGTACGTATCCGTCTATATCAGTGCGTCAGCCATGTCCTAGGAGACGCACCGCGTGCGACACTCGCGAGTGGGTGAACGAACCTCCGGCGGCCGTGGCCAGGCGCGTGCCATCGGGCGAAACGTCGCAGCTGTATACTTCAAAGTCCTTTTGTTCGCCTGCGGTGGCCGCTCGTGTTAGCAAGATGGAGGCAGAAATCCAGGTGCAAGTGCATGTGCCGAGGAGAACCAACCGGGATGTGTTAACCACTGCGGCTTGATGAGATGCATGGTCGCGTAAAGATCGCCAACAGCTCTTGCATGCTCTTACGCGACCATGAAAAGACGGGACTCGGACACGGAGGGCGGGGGGGGGGGGGGGGGGCGATGGTAGGCAGAGCGCACGTCTTGGTGGACCGCGACAGTTGTCTAGCGCTGGCGACGCGAACTCGCAGTCGACACTACTTGGCAGACGTTTTGGCAGGGGTTTAAGGTTTAGGTGCATGCGCCGATCGGAAAGTGGATTAGACGAGCAGCGGGAATGATGGGGAACTGAAAACGAGGCAACTCTTTATGAACGCCTTGTATTTGCACTAGCGCTGTGGCCCTGAAATAACACTATCTGGAAGTTTGGTAGCCAAACGTCCCTGGCTCGGCCCATTGTTGATGCTCCTGCTTTGCACAAGTCCCATTGGCCATTGCGCATCCTCACGTCCATCTTTCCAACACCATGACTGGCATAGCTTAATACTTACCGTCACCCGGCAGCAAGGCGACTGGGAGTAGAACAGGATAAGCTGCCGTCGAGCGCATTTGAGCGCCTAAGGCCAGTAATTCCAACTGTCTCAAAGCGTCTTTGTCATGCTCATCGACGCTATCCGAGATCATACACGGAACGGAACGCGTCTGTGCTGGCCACAGTGAATTAACTTCATCGATATCGTTGTCGATGAGACCGTTCATTTCGCCTTCTTTCGTTTCTTGAAGACGACGGCCGGAGCAGCTGGTGCATCCTCTTCCTTCTTGATCGCCACAGCCTCTTCTGCCGTGGGAATGTCCTTTAGTGTTTTCGCCTCGGTGTCGTCCACTTCCGCTTTCACACCGTCGCCCTTCTCCTCCTTCTTCACCTCAGCCTGTGTCTCTGCAGCTGGCTTCTTCCCAAACAAACTTTCAATATCGTCATCACCACCCTTGCTACCCGGAAAGCTCTTGAATGTGTTTCCCCAGCCCTTCTTCTTGGTGATCAACTCTCCGGCAGCCTTCTGCTCCTCCTCGTCCTCGTCTATTGGCCTTTTCCGTACGCCCTTGTTCAGAGATGACGCCTTGAACTCCCCGTCCTCGGTGACTTCCCCAACCACTTCTTCCGAGACAGTCTTCCAATCTCCCGCCATTGCCAGGTCGCCACGAGCTGATGCAGGTAGCGCAACCCCCATAGCTGCTAGTTGCTCCCATTGCCGCTTTCTGTCGTCCAACGTCGCCTTCTTCTCAGGGCGCTTCTCAATTGTGGGCTTGCCGCCTACGCCAGTCGCGACTGACGGTGCTGAAGACGAAGACGAGGGTACAAGGCCGTTCAGACGCGCAACTTCGGCCTGCGCACGTGCTTGATTGCGCTTCTCATTTTCCTGCTCGCGATGCAGTCCTTTGAGACTGCGCTGGATGCTGCCTTGGTGGCGGCCGGTCGCTTCGTGTTGCGCGCGCTCAAACTTGGTATCCTTTACATATGTGGAGCAGAACTTGCACCAGTATTTTGGCTACAGAAGAGTTAACTAAACAGCGCGCAATAATCCTGCTCATACTTACTGTTGACTTCCAGTATTCAGCCATGTTGAGTGTCGAATGGAGAATGCGCTCTCACCAGAAAGCCACCGGAGGTAGGTACGCTAACAACGCACGGTCCATGCTCGGGGGTCCGCAACACGGGGAAAGTTCTCCCAAAAACGTCATTTTCAGTTATATTAATCAGACGTATTTCCAATTCTTCGTCCCATGATTTTCTCCTGAGAATAACCAAAGAGCTGTTAGAAGAGAAAAGGTAATCCGAGATGCTCCAGGAGTAAATATTGCTGCCCTTTTTTATTGACAAAGATAAAAGCCGATAAGATATGTGATAGGCCTTCTATGGATTCTCCTGCTGAAATGTAAAGAAGAAGCTGTTGCTTCAGTGAATACTTAGCTACTTTTCTTTCATCTCTATGAACCCCTTCCCTTTCTACCCGGACGGATCCCAGCCAGGTCCAACACCCACCCTCACAATCGCAATCGGCTTCCACCAAAAGCCCCTACAAACTGACAGAAAATGGCCTACAGACCCCGCATAAAAATATGCCATCGCCTTCTAAATATCACATACTCTGCCCAGCATTACCCTCCTTCAATGGCACTGATTTAATACATTCCTCAACTTCGCAAGCCCACAATCCCGCATCCATCCCACCGCCAACTACCGTCGCAAGATCCTACTCATGATCCCAGCACATCACCAAATCCTCCTTCCACGGCATCTGCAACCCCATAAAATGGCTCAAACCGTGCGTGCATGTACTGTTGACTTCTGTCCTCATTCTTCCCTTCATCACATGATCTCGTTTAAACGCCGCCAAGCCACTACTACCAAAGTAATCATGGGCAAAGCCGCAGCCGTATCAGATACGCTTGTTCAAACGGCACATACGTAGCTCCCCCCAACGGCCACATCACGGCACAACCCCCTTTGTCTGCATCACAAAAGCCATGCAGCACCTTACATGCCATTGAGTCATGGGCTTTTTTTTCCTGCATTCCACGTGTCCCCCCCCCCGCATTCCAGCCCGATTCTGTCGCGTTGGAATTAGTTGAAACCCAAAACGGCCGCAGAAGTACCTGCGAAAGAACCCGATACGATACGTACATACTTACAGAGGGAGTCGATGCGCTAGCCCGAGTGCGGAGCGAGATGCGAAAAACATGGCTGCGAAACGACTGTACGCATTGGACTGCTACTGCAATCTCTAAGCGACCGATCTGCGTAGGTACTGGATTTCTGGTTTCTGATGTGTGTGGGCTCTGATGCATGGTGGTAGGAGCTCGTCCAGTTTGGCAATGTGTTGTTACTTAGTTATGATGTTGCTGGTCGCTTTCGATTCGCGTGCAAAATCAATACAGCGGTATACAACATAGCCTCCGATTGCACAGCAGTATCTTGATCGGCACCAATTTCCAGTCTATACACCATTAGGGTCGTGTAATTAATTCTTAGTCAATCCCCCTTGCATGTGTGAGCCGAGCCGAGTCTACAGCTTGAGACATGCTGTGACGTGCCATGACATCCCTGCCGCATGTGCTCGGCAATGTTCTAAATGGACCATCCTCACGACAACAAGTCATTCACTCACAGCAAAGCTATCCTGATTGTGGAACGAAGCAATGATCAATACTATTCCGAGTATTTTTCGCGCAACTGGCGCTTCTAGGTCCTAACCGTGTTACAAACTTTTGTAGACTTGTACTTTCGCCAAATACACCCTTCCATATCGTACAGGAGGCGATGTAAGAACCCCAAGGAAAAACTCCAAATAACCAAACATGCATAGCTATTTCCCGTGACATTACTATTTTTTGTTATAAAAACAACCAATCGGTAGCTTAAAATTTAACAGGATACTTGTGCCTGATCGTCTTGCCATAGCGAGACAGCAACACGGGTATAGGGATAAAAGCAACGGCCAAGAAACCCAGGACAGTGTTTCTCCATCCCAGGCCCAAGGCTTCTGTCATGCGTGGCCCGGCAAGTGGCAGTACGGCGCCAAACAAGCAGCGGAGCGCCGTGACACCGCCAATGGCAGAAGCAGCGTACTGCGGGAAACAGTCGATAATGTACGTTTGCAGTGCGCCAAAGATGCCCATGAAGCCGAGACCAAAGGGGGTAAGGGCAATAATGGGGACGATCCAGTGGACGTGGTATTGTGCTGACCAGCCATGACTACACATGTGTTAGTATGAGGCCTAGAAAAAGTAAGAAAAGATGTATTCTTACAGGAAAAAAGCAAGCGGGATCAAAAGACCAAAATACAGACATAGCGGCAAGCGCATCTCAGGCTGATAAACTCCATTGTTCTTCTTGGTAAGCCGGACAACGGTTGCGTCGCTGGTTCTCGCCACAATGGTGACGCCAATGGCATTTCCGGCGCCGATGCCCAGGTAGGCAAGACCGGTGAGTTCGGGGGTCCAGCCGTAGGTTTTGATGAAGACGGGCGTGAGGCTTGTGAAGAGGAGGAAGAGAAGGCCGAACAGGAAGGATAGGTACAGCGAGCAGAAAAACACAATGGGCGAGGTTGCGAGCATCATGAGCGGACGCGTGATGCCGGTGCGGAGATTTTGCGAGACAGTCAGTTCCGCCGTGTCTTTCTTGTAAGTCATAATGTTTTGCAGTTCGGGGCGGTTGAGCTCGCTACGGAGCCGACGCGTCTTGCGGTCGAGCAGAACGGGGTGGTAGGTTTCCTGGCTAAAGGCGAATAGACTGGCTGTCAAGATACACCCGCCGATAAACACGACCCACATGTTCCACCGCCAGCCGATGCGCTGCGCGATGAAGCCGCCAAAGATGGGGCCACAGATGGGGCCGAAGAGAATGCCTAGCGAGAGAATAGATACCGCAAGGCCGCGCTGCGCTGTGACAAAGACGTCGGCAATGACTCCGGTCCCGATGGTAAGACACGAGCTTCCGGCCACGCCGGCGAGAAACCGTAGGCCGATGAGACTCCCCAGGCTAGGCGCGAGCGCGCATGCGAGAGTAAACCCGCAAAAGAAAACACTCCCCGTGTTGAGCACCCAGTACCGACCGTAAATCTCAGACAGCGGGCTGAGGAACAGAATGCCGACTGAGAAACCAAGCACATAGACACTAATGGTCAGCGATGCTAGGAGCTGTGACGTGTTTCCGAATTCTGCATTGATAAAAGGTGTAGCGGGTGAGAAGATGGACGAGCAAACGGGGCTGAGAAAAGTCATGGCTGAAACCAAGCCCAGCAGCACCCATTTCCTGGCCGTGGAGAAGTTGCGTGGATTGGCGGGGTCATCTTGAGAGTCCCAGCCGACGAGGTTGTTGTCGAGGTCCGAGAGAGGGTACTCTTCTGACGTAAGTTGATCTATCCGGATAGTTTCTTTTGAGGCGTTTTTCTCGGGGTCTTCGCTTAGAGTGCTGTTGCTTTGCTGGTACTCCTAGATAGTGTTAGCCTTGGCTTACATGGGCTGCATACTCGGTCCGATCATGTTGGCGCACCACACTACCAAGTGTAGCTGGCTGCATCATGGGAATATGAACATGAGAGCTGCATACTGATACAATAATTGATATGGTTGTAGTAGTGATAAACCCTTCTTGACGGGCCTGGGGTAGCCCGTGTAGACTAAAATTGCACTTACCTTTACTTTGACCACACCTTCTTCCTGCTCCGAATCCGATACATATGTATCTGAACTGTTCACATCTGAGACGTATGCATCTTCGGATGCAGTGATTGAACCACTATGTGAGTGAGCATCTGAGCTACTCTGTGAATGCGGCCGGGGCTCTTCGGCGTAGGAAGCCATTTCAACAAATGATATAGGACTTTGGCAGCGCTACAATATCTAGCCTTTGAAAGTCTTGGGTAATATGACAGACTCCGAATCGTCTTTTAAAGAGCTGAAAAGAGGATGAACTCTCAAGCAGTCCTTCACACGAACTTCCCCCAATTCATACTGCTCCCATCTCGAGCAACGGCCTCTTTCAGGCACCGAACTTGCTCCCATGCATGCCTGTACACTCGCATTCAGGGTTCAATTGAGCCCGGAGCAGTTCATGAGGCAAACCAGGTTAGGTTGTATTGAACATGCTCATCAAGGGCATGCATTGTGAGGTGGTGCAGCAAGTTGGCTGGGGTTCAAGGCCCGTGACGCTCCATTCTCGAGATGCTGTTTGGCCGCCCACCCATGCGAGGAAACGCATCATGTCGGGGACGAGCACCAAAAGTCATGGCCAGTAAAGCCTTTTTTTCATATCCCCGGTGGCTGCCGAGTTGCATCCGTTATTTGCACGTATCAGGTGTCACAACAGTGTAGCAACTCGGGCACTCCGTATGCGTAACGTGCTGGGTTTGCTCGAATGGGAGGGCGGTGCACGCAAGAAACTGAGCCGTGCCCTGACCAATGGTACTAAGAAAAGGCGTGTTCCCTTGCAAAAAGGTCCGCACGTTTCCTGCTCCGAAGACTGATACTAGATGGTAGGTGTAAGGCTGAATTGTTCGGCATTGTGTCGATGGGCAGGGTCTGACCATGGCATACCCATGTCGGCTCTAGAATCGAAAGGTTCTAGATGTCGCGGGCTTTGCGAGATTCTCCCGTCAGACCAGGGCCTCGGATCCGTTCTGCTGGGATTACCGGTGGCTGAGGACTTGGCCACTGCTGCTGATGCTGATGCTGATGCTGCTACTATTATTGCTGCTACTACAACTTTGGCAGCTGCTACTACCCGAGCCATTGCAATTGGCAGAAAAACCTCCAACTTGGGAGCCCATCTAGGTAATACTTACGAGTGCAGATCGGTGTCGGTGATAATTCCGGGGCATGTGGGAGGTGCGAGCATACCCCAGATACCAACCGTTGGCCTGTGGCATTCCTGATACTCCCGGAGGCTGAATCATGGGCATCGGTATCAACATTCCCGCCGGTGACATTTTCGATACATTTTTTACTTTGGCATCTGCATGTAAGCGAGCTCGTGCATCTCCCGTTTTATCTGCGGCGGTGCTACTTGGCACATGTCAGCACGGGCATGTTCTAGACGGAGATAGCCCAGCCAAAAATGCACTGGGGCCATTTTCCGTGTAGTCTACCAGTACCTCATTACTGCGCTCGTCGTATTTTACACTCAACTCTTGGGCCATTACTTGTCTGTTTCAAATCATGCTACTCTGCAACGCGGTATATACTATAGTCTACCGACAATCCCTCCAAACTTCCCAGTGGCTGGAATTTTGTCCCGTATCCCGATCCATGTGACTTATCACTACCTCCGGAATCGTTAGCCGACGGCATAGATCAAAGGCCTACTTGAAGGCGTATTATTGCGAGCGTAGGATGTTCTAGTCCCTGGGCATTGGCTTTTTCTTAACTCTTTGATACCGGAGCCGCACGCTGCAAGTCCATTAGTGGAATAAAAGCGTTGGGACAAAGGCGGTCTCGGTAATAACACGTGCTCTGCTTGCGGCTCGAGCCAGCTCCATCCATCAACGAACCAAGCATTTACCGCGACACTGTTCGCGTTTGAGATTTGCATAATCCAGACGAACAATCCAAGGGGGTTTGTTTTGAATGTGGACGGAACTTTTGTACATGTAGTCGCAACACCCCAGTCATTACCCTTTGCAGATACTTGCCAACACCGTGGATGTTACAAACACACAACGCATGGAAAAGCGTCGATCCGAGGAGCGGTAAAGAACACCGAACCACCAGCGCCTAATCAGCAAAAAGCCGCCCGCCCGCTGTCACTTCTGACATTGCAAATTCTTACTAGCCCGGCAACACAAAAAGACCATGCGTCCTGCACAAGTAGACTCTATCCACTGAGAAGGTCCTTCACACTCATACCCCTGCCACCGCTCCAACTTCGGCGGTCCGTATTCAGCATCATCAAGGCCTCGGTAGCCTCCTGGTCTTCGCGATCGGCTTGCGGCTTAAGGGCTGGCGATGTGAGGGAAAAGTGTACAGATCCGTGTGACGAACCCGGTGCAACCACTGCTGCTGTGCTGACAGGTCCATTATGGAACGGATTACTGAAATAGGTCGCTGATGGCGTATGAGCACTGAAGGCGGGCGAGGGGTGGATTGATGGGGATGTCACTGTGGAGCGACATGATGTTGCGGCAAGCGAGTAATGATGTGGGTCGGATGGGCGCAACGCGGGGGAGGGGTTTGCCGAGTACTGCCCGTTATGGTCGTGGGGCATAATGGCTGGGGACGTCGTTGTGGAGTGGGTATATGCACTTCGATCTGACGGGTAGATGGCAGGGGAAACAGTTGCAAAAGAGAATCGGGACTGGGATGAGACCGGCTCCACATATGTCGGCGATACAGCGTCCTCCATATCTTCATCTTGCTCTCTGTCATCCTCCTCATTGTCGCGCATGTGTCTTGTGGGCGGCGGTGGCAGTTCGGACGTAGTTGACGATGGCGAGTCGCGTCGCGAGTTGGCAGCCTTGAGATCAGCGACACACTGCTCCAGGTAGCGCATGTACTCAATGGACGCCTTGAACTTGTTAGCGCATACAAAGTCGGGCTTAAAACTACGACCGCCTACCTGCAGGATCGCGAGCTTATGCATTTCTTGGCCGCGGCAAGCTGGGATCATGTCTTTCAACACACCAAACTCCTCGTTCATTTTGGATCGTCGCCTTCGCTCAATCAAACTATGCGCCGTCTTCCTTGCAATTTTGCGACCCGCCGCAGTGGTACTGCCCGCCTGCTTCTTCTTACCACCCACGGCAGTTGCGGGTGTGGCCTTTGCATTGTGTGTTTGCGACGAAGGCTTGGGTGGGTCCTGCGCGTCCTTTGGCTTCATCTGGATGATTTTCCGCGACCGAGTAGGCGGCGGGGGGAGGGAGTAGTCGTCTTTGGTCACGACACCCTGTTGGACAGTGGCAGAACGCTTGCGCGAATGGCCAGCCTTGGACGTCGCTACCGGGGACGCTGGAGACGGCGGTGTGTATGAGGAGTCGGAGGCATTTTCCGAGGGGCCTGACGAGCTGGCGACACTTCCTCTGCTGCCCAGGGCTGCAGGCGGTAGGTTGAAGCTCGTCTCCAATTGAGGGGCATTGGCGGCATTCTTGCCTGTGATGTCCGTCGACGGCTGTGGGGTCGGGGGGAGGTTTGGGCGAGGCATCATGGGATAGCGGCACTCGCTCACAGGAGGGCTTCAGGAGACGTCGAGTTTGTGACGGGACTCAGAAAGTACCTCGGAGCGGGTGGGCAGACGGTAAAAACAATGTATGGCGGGCATTCTCACGGTCGGGGGGGGGTGTCGCGTGGGCTGTTTTGTGTCGCAGCTCGAGAAGGACCACGCGGTGTCCTGCTCTCCTGTGATTGGCCAGTCAGAAAGCTCGATAGATGGCGCTGTTCATCACACCTCGAATGAGGTCGTTCCAAACAAAGCGTGGGCATCGCGGCCACTGTAAGCTTTCGCAGAGACGCATCCTCTGGAACAAGTGGGCCTAATGCTGAGGTTGAGCGAGTGACGGTCGACGTCTATCGAGCCTCCAACTGTAGCACGTGCTCGCTGCTCCCCTCCGCGGGAATGCATTTGCATGTGCCAAACGAGCGAGGTTTAAGCGGAGGCAGAGCAGAAAAGAATCGGGCATGCTACCACCCCCTCGACAAAAAAAAATGGCAGTGGTCTGTGCTTTTACTATCAAACACATCGCTATAACAGAGCAAAAAGTCTATATTTTAGATATTTTTTAAGTCTCCTATTACTCTTAGTACTAGAGAGACTCTATATATCTAAAAAGATTTATAGAATTCTAATGTTGCGCTGTGTTATAGTGGTAGGTTACGGTAGACTCCTGCTACTTAATTTGTTGAGGGGGTGCTACTGTAACTGTACGTGTACATCTGGCAGATGCCTCGATAATAGATGCAAATGACGAATTGGGCGTGGCTGGGCGTGGCTGAGCATGGCGGAACGTGGCGGAGTGTGGCGGTGTGGCAAAGTGTGGCTGAGCTCGGTTCGCATGTGGAAGGCCGTCGAACCCTGATGGCGTTGCTGAAATGCAAAGGCATTGCCCCACCAGAGCTCGTGAGCACGTGGATATCTGAGTCAGCTGACAAGCGTGTAATGGTTTGTACGAGTCGCAGTAAGTTAGTCGTGGCTGGGAGTTATACGAGGTTACTCTGTGTTCGTATTCCTGTCTTTCTCGTAACCCAAGTTCAGTGTTGCATGAGTCGCAGCGCTGCATGTTTGTGGGATCACATGACGCGGCCAAGATCCCAGAAGGAAGGGTAGCCAAGAACTGATTGTCGACTATTCAAGGTATACTTGTTGAACAATTAACACTATCCATCTCTCGGTTCATCCCTGGGATCATTTCCACACCATCGTCGTTTTTCTTTCTTTTGATTTTTCTAAAACAAATATTATCCACGCGCATCCACTCGAAAGACAACATAGACCTTGCAGGTAATCTACAAAGTCTATTGAATATAACTATCAAGTGAGTGCCACTGCTATAAACCCCCCATTTCTTTTCATCTACGCGAAATCAGCCCTGAAACAGGCTCTTCAATATACAAAGTTACCCTACGTCATAGTTTTCAAATCACTAGCGTATATAACTCTGACCTTGGTGAAATATACAGGGGATCCCTTTTCATCAGTGTTAAAAGTCAATGCTGCATGTGTCCATGGAAAATACGAAACACGAGCAAGAAGCCTGACGTCATGCATCAATCCAGGAAAGTCAAATCACAGGAACAACATGTTCCACAGCATCTCCCTCAAAGTAGTCCTCTCAATCGAGTATTTCCGCACTGCTATGCAAAGCATACCCAGACCGCGAGCAAAAAGCTTACTTGCATCTCAGAATTGATACAAACACTATTCTGGCCCCACTACCCCGCGACTCAGCCCTGTCTGACCTCTATATGTGATGAAGATACGCTGACGAGGCACGTCCATAGCACTCTGACATATATGCGGCTCGCGTATCGGCGCCAGCCCTACTGCATATCTGAAACAAGTTCAGACGGGCTTATAATACTCCAGAACGCTCGATAAGAGGCGTAAATGTACATGGCAGCCCTAGTACATGTCGTTTCGTCAAGGCAAAATTTTGCCATTGAATATCTAGATGCGAGTTTCCCGGCCTTGTGGAAATTTGAAACATGCATATCTTGACGAGCACTTGGCTGTAGTACATACAGGGATATAGGGTTTGGCTCTCTTGTTTCCGAGACAGCCATCTGGTCGCCGAAACTCCGACATCAGTTATCCCGGGTCCGATCTCGTATAACTCGCATAGCACAAGGTCAACCCGAGAGCTAAGCCGAGAATTTAGTTTCAACGCTTTATGCCCTCTTTCTGTAACCTAAAAATCCGCCACTGGGGCTTCAAGTGTAATCATCCCCTTGAGACAGTACCAGGGGAACGTGTTCGACACTCTCTTCTCGGACTTTTCAATCTCATCAAACAGTCGATAATGTGATTACTCTACAAGTCTTTTCTGTACAATATAGCATAGCTGCAACAGTCCGAGGCCTAGGAAACAAGGGTTTCTTAGCTAGATGAGCGATACCATGACAGCCTTAGATTTTCAACACAACCAGCTCTTACCAATGCTCCCACAAAATCTATCTTTTTTGCTTTCTTACTCGAATCAAAGTGCGTATCTCTAACCAATTCTATATCGACAAAGTCAACAAGTTCCCGCCACCTATCACTTTCACTAATGCTGCAAACACTGTATACACCTCTTCTACTGACTGAGAAGATTCAACCAAAAGACTATACGACTTTCAATCGCAAAAAACAAGCCAAAAAAGGTTATACACACAGTCCCTGGCTTCCAGCGACTCCAGCTCACACGCTAAGCACAGCTTCACTCTACCTTACCTGATGCCAATACAGTAGAAAAATCTCAACACGTCAAGGCCAAAACTCGAATATCCCTGGACATTACCAAATATCTGATCTGAAGAACGACCTTGACTAGTATACGCGCAAATACCGCATGCCCAAATAGCGTCTTTGAATTGCCACGAGAGCCACGGAACATGGCGACTTGCTTACCCATCCTTTCCCTAGGCGCTTAAACCAGGGCCGGTTTAATACAGTTTTGATTGCATCAATGGGGATATGCGAATTGGAGTTGCTGCATCATTCGAATCCTCTTATAATCCAAGAAACGAGACACATACATCGTATTTACACCACTTTGGCTTTTCTAAGAGAACATGGTCTTGTGCACGAACACTCCAAGTAAACCAGACAATGAATATAGAAGCAGAAGCGCAGAGATTGGGTATGCGCTGGATGTGCATGTTCTTCTCCTCGTCGATTTATATAACGTCTACTCAGAGTGATAAAACTATCTTCTTCTCCTCCTCCTCCTCCTCCCCCCACGGATCTCCACCAGCACCGGAACCAGTACCGGAACCAGCACCGGAACCAGCACCAGCACCAGCAACCCTCCCAGTGCCATGCGAAACCTCACCTGCTCCAGCTCCAATACGACACCATATCTGCACCGTCTCCCCCACGCATAAGATAACGTCTCCATACAAAGATGCAGCATACGAAGAAGTAAGTACTCCAGAGAACTCAATCCACACACACACACACACACATCTGACACCAAAGTCTTTCCATCCTTTCTGCCCATTCCAATCTCCATCCCATCTTTTTCTCTTTCCAAGAAGAAAGAAAAAAAACAGGTACAGCATACACCGCACAATCTCTGTCCAAGCTAGATTTTTTTTATCTCACAGTACATACATAGCTCACACAGAAATTCACAGCAGTAAGCAGTGAAGAGTCAGATATTCGCTACCTAATACAGCTAGCTAGGTTCGCACCTGAAACCAGTCTCCATCCATCTTACATATGTATCATTTCGGTTTTCCAGGTTCTGCTTTTGAAGGGGAAATAGAACGTGATATGCACATGATATGGAGTGCAGTGGAAAAAAAAAAATTTTTTAAAAAAAATGAATGCATAAATGAATGAATGAATGAACGGAACGGAACGGAATGAGGATGAGGACGAGAGGAATAAAGAATACACACATATCTAGACCGGCAAACACTCAACTGAAAAGAAGACCGAGTAACTAACTATACCCCCTCCCCTGTCCCCACGTCCCCTCCCCGCACATCCTTTCCAAAGAAAGAAAAGTTGTTATTTCCATTTCATATTTACGCTTCAACTTGAATTTGCAGTACTTACCCCTTTTGCTATTCATGTCCAAACCACCTGTTTGAGCTAGTCAAGGTCTTGATACTTGGTCATATTCCAGTCGCACTCGATATCAGACCTGCCCAAGTCATATATGTGTTGATGATGCAGCAGATGTGGAGACGAGGTATATATGTGTAAAACGCAGCGAGGCAGGGGAGCAAGCAGTGTGCAAGACTCAAGGAATACGAATACGAATACGAATACGAACATGCGATATGTGGGAAAACATATACAGCAGGAGGGAGTCTTTTTTATTTTTAGCAGGTAGACTCGATCAATCGAAATGTACCCTGTTATACCTAGGAGGGGGGTCGTGAAGAGGAAGGGAAGAAGGGGGAGGGGGAGGAGAGCTTGGGTGCTGCAGAAAGGAGAGAGGAGTTGGCGCAGAGGCTGGTGGGATAGGATGGGATGGGGAAAAGCAGAGTGTTGGAATGGTAATTATCACCTCATAGTTGAAGATATATGTGAGCGCAGTACTAGTTAGAACAGACTGGGATATGTCTTAGCATTACTTTATTGCCAACACCACGACTTGTGTGCGATGCATTGTTCGGCAGACTATTGATTCAGGTATCCAGAGTGACTTGGATGCTGAGACGGCGGATTTCAGAAGGTGGTCATGTACGTTGATGGCTGCAGTCACCAGCACATAGCTCGTGTGCTCGCGGGTTGACGGCCTTTTACTTCGTTGATGGAAGATACTTGCCAGCTACCACGACCCTCACCTACACGGTTCACGTCCGCGAACTGACCTCCAAGCAATGACAATCAATTCTGCTGCGAACAAGCAACCCAACCAAATCACTACAGACTTTGCACTTGACCACTCCAGAGCCAGTGGCAACGACAACATGGCTCCCATTATTGATGCCCATGGTTATTAGTATTACATAAGAACTACCAACATACGCACCTTACTCACCAGCTTCCCAGCCATCAGACTACCAAGCGGCTCCTATACCACACGTGCAGAGGTGGCTGTACTCTAGTCAAAAGCAATAATGACAGTTGAAGCGTAACCATGGTCCAGCGATATGCAAGTCATACTTACATGGCCACGAAACCCGGGGAAAGGAGGAGAAGACCCAAAAGCCACTACAATTCCCACAAACCCAATTCCTGAATGACAAATCCTGGTTATTTCTCACGGATAAGCCAAGAAACCTTCTCTGTTAGGCTGTTGAAAAAGAGAGGGCAGAGAATGTGTCCCAAGGTAAGTGCAAACAAGACCAGGTAGCTTTCAGAGCATTGTTGGACGGGTCCTTACAAATAGCGCCAGCATCAAATGATGACTGAAGCGAACGGACTGCTTATGTGTGTATGCCCAGCAATTGACCATGAAGCATCGTGCCGCCCTCTAGTCCACGTCGTATTGAAAGTGAAGCGTCGACATGTAAGCCCATTCATTCTTTGGTATACCAGGCAGTGCGTGCCCGCCTAAGCACCTTGAATTGAGTCATGTGGTTAGCACTGACATGCCGCTATTGCAGAGATCGCCGTTCCGCCCGTTGCCGCACACGAAGCGGTGTAGTGCCGTGCTTTGAGATAGCAGGAAACCGTTGTGGATATCTCGGTACACGCATCAAAAGATTGGTATACAAGAAAGAGTGAGTAGTGAGGCGTGATATGCGAGGTACGCAAAGTCCTGTCGCCCCTCCCTCTCCCCACAATACCGCCTAATGTCAGCTGAGACAGGCGGTATTGCCGTCAAGTGAGGCGACAAGAAAAGATTTTCACCATGGATCCTAGGTATCGTGGGTTCGGCGTTATCCGTAATCCATCACCCACTGCTTGGCACGTGTGCAAAAAAACCGGGAAACTGGTCTTGTCGCGATATGTTCCAGGCTTTTCTGTGCGGGCAAAAAAGCAAGCAGGCTGGACAGTGTCAGCTAGCATAGATGGCCAAAGTAGAAAAGGCTGGTAGCATGGCAGCGGGGTACGTTAGCCGGGATAAAGAAAAGAAGATGACCAGAGCATGCAGGTCGGAATTTTGCTTAGTAGATGTCTGAAGCTTACGGCTCCGCAAAGCGATCGTGACGAGCCATGGATTCCAGATGCAGCGCCATTGTATCCCTGCATTCAGCCCGAACACTGGCTTTGGGATAGTAAGCCACACTAGGCCGTCTTGCGCATTGTCTCTTTGCCATATCTGTGGATCCACGAGCGGACATGTGTGAGGCGGCCTACATGGTGAGCCCTGGTATATATGTTGGGACAAACGTAATCAATGTCTGCTTTTGACGCCGACTAGGCTTTGTCTTGTAGTCCATACTCGATACATGCGTCCAATACCACCTGATTATAGCCTCTTGTCGTGGAGCGGATCGGCCGTTTTGTTTTGGCTGGTCTGACTTACCGCCATCCCCCGCACATGTCGTTGCGATTGGCAGGCGGTTGTTGAGGTGCGTTCTAGTCAGCCAGTACGGCATACTGGAGCACTGTCCCTCTCTTGCCGCTCAATTGCCGCAAAAGGAACCATGGCCGTTTTTGCGCAAGTGTGCGGGTAGGGCGATCATTCATGTCACGGGAATAGGTGTCGCTTCACTCGAATTGGGTGAATGATTGGAGAGGTAAAAAAAAAGTCGACTACGGCGTAACAGCGTAGCGCGGAAGGGAAGTGGGAACAGCCGCCTCGGGTATCAGCGAACGAGATGCAACGGATCTTGGCCTCCTCACCGTCTTTGTAGATTGAGCCTTGGAGCGCGGCAACCGACGCTGCTACGCGTTGCCGGAACGACGAGTGGAGCGAACGGACTTTGTTGATCCTGGGCGGGCAGCTTGTAGAGCCTCATGCATCATGCATGTTTGCTTGGAGCTTGCGCGCGAGGGGCAGAGGGCGGTGGGCGGCTATGACGCAGAAAACAGAGTGCATTTCTCCAAAAACTGCTTGTCAATGCGTAGAGCTGCAGGGTCTTGGCCTGTTGGGCTTGTACTCGCTAGACGAACCAGCTTGTTCCCTATAACATGACTCACCGCTCAAGTGGGTGGTATTTTTTTCAAATTCAAATGGCGGCTATTGACTGGCAAGGCGGCGGGGCTTTGGCAGGCCAGCTCTAGCGGATATAGGCAGCAGTTTATGGGTTTGACGGCGCAGGTGATGAGGTCTCGTGATCGACGGTGGTTTTTTGGGTGATTTGAATTGTGGCGAGCGGTGCTGGGCGTTTCAGGCTGGCTTGCTCGTGTGCGACCGAAGCGGTCAAATGGGGCATCAGTAAAGCCGCCGGCGATGACCAGGTCAATGGATAGCGAGGACGCGCAAGGCAAGGCGGGCCCAAGATCATGACGAGGTTGGCCGGGCGTTAGGCCGATTGCGAAAGAGTGCTGACGGTGGGGATGTGTGGTAGTGGTAGTGGTAGGTGAGGAAATGCAAGTGTATTGCGCGTTGCGCGCATTAATTCGTCCGCGACGCTGAGGCGCAGTTTTCGCCACAGTAAAAAAAAAGGCATGGACGTTTTCGCTTGTGGCACCCCTGGTGGGTAGATCATGGCTGGCCAGTGCAAGCTGCAAGCATACTTGGACAGGTATAGGTGCAAGCATGTGACTCGGAGCGCCCATGCCAAGGGTTTGCACCGCCACACGTGGTCCCAGCGCGACGTGTCCGGAAGCGTGTATCAAATCCGGAGCAGGCGAGCCACTGGTTGGGCTCGGTGGGATATTTTGGGTGGTGCGTCATGCAGCTAGACAGCTCGCATGTAGACGACAGCTGCACTCAGCCTGTCGTGTCGTGGCAGGCTAACGCTGCTGTCCAACGAAAAGACAGCCTCGTTGTGCGGTGTCTGCAGACGATAGGGCTGCGCAAACCTGAGCGATGCGTCATAGCACTAGGGGTGGATAGAAGGCGGCGCAGGCGTGGTGTGTGTATTCATGGCGTATTCATGAGAGTGAGCGTGTGTGGTAGGGTATTACAGTTGGGCCTAGCCGGGGCGGCGGTTTGGAGGGGTCCCGGAAGCGTGGGCTTGAGGCCAGGTGGTATGTATGTATGCGCTATGTATGTATATACCATGATTATTAGCATGTGTGCGTGTATTCACCCGCGCTTTGCACCCACGGCGGATCCACCCGGAGGGGCGGCGGCGGCGGCACTTGGACGTGGACATGAGGCCATGACGACGACGACGGTGGTGGTGAGAGCGGGCGTGGTAGAGCAGTCGTAATAGACAGTCGGTTGCTGTGCGGGCCCTTTTTGGCGGAGTCATAGCAACGCATGAGGGGTGGTGGGTGCGAAGGAATACGCACGGTGAGTTGTCTGGCTGATGGTTGGGTGGGCCGGAGCAGAGGGCGATTCGCGGGCGTGGGAATTTTGAGCATGCAAAAAGCTGTGTGCGAGGGCTCGGTTGGAACGCAAGCCGATGGGCCAGCAGGATAAGGGCCGAATGCAGCCAATAACGAGTCGTTGTCGAGGCCAAAATGCCCGTGAGAACTGTGTGCCGAGAGATTGCAAGGAGCGTGTTGACGGGAGAAACGAGACAATGTGCGACCAAAGCGTTGACCGTGATGCGCCCCACGGATATAGGCGTTCCGCATTAACCACTCACAGGCGGTTTAGGCTGCGAACTTGCTTTATCGAGCCGTAGTGAGGGTGCGCGGGGAGAGGCAACCATGCTGCCGCGAGCAATTGCTTTGTTGTTGACGGATTGCTATCGAATCATCGAGGGCGCATGCAGCCGTGGTGGGCCCACGGCCTCGAGTAGTATGATATATGCCTTGGAAGAGAGTGCAGACACCGACGCTCGAAAGTAGCGGTAAACAACCTCGCGCGCCACACAGCCAGCAGTCGAGGTAAGCTGTGTGAGACGTGCGAAAAATTTTCACAGGCGGGAAATTAGGTGTAGGCTTGGGGTTGTGTGTGTGTGTGTGTGTGTGTGCGCGGCGGGCGAGTTCGAGAAGGGATCCGAGCGAGCGAGTGCGGCTCTCAAGCGACGCCAGGGCCTCCCCAGCACTCTGATAGGCACACGCACGCACACACTTTTTTTCTCTCTCTCTCTCTCTCTTTTACCTACGCACACACCCGCACACACCCGCACAAATACACACACCCACACAGCCAAGCGACGCGGGACGACGACGTTGAATTGGGCGCGGGGCCTGTGGGTGTTTCGCAGCGACGCACTCGAGCCAGAGGAGCGGCGTGGGCTGCGACGAGGCGGGGAGGGGAGGGGGCACGGTATAGGGTTTGTGCTAGGCGCGAGAGTGTGTACCAGATATACTGCAGCAGCCGAAGTCGTCGCGAGCTGAAGACGGCGGCGGGCAGCAGTGGCGCAGGTTGATGAGAGGGACGAGGGCTGGTCGGTCAGTGCAGCATTGGCTGCGTACGACAACCATGTGGGAGTACGGGCGCTGGAGCCAGGCGGCGGCCGGGCACCACACAAAGGCACAGGCACAGGCAGCATGGGCCCGTGTTATCGCTGCACCGCGCCCGACGAGCCATGGCGGGCCATGGCATGCCCGCCCTTTGTTATTGTCATTGTCACTGCGCGTGGTGTTGAGCCAGCATGAGCCATCGAGCCATCGCAGCCATCGAGCCATCTCGCCGTCGCGCCATGGCAGCCATCCGCACATGCACTCGCAGCACAACGGGCTGCGCGCGCGCACAGAGGGGCGCGGTGCTGATGGCGGCCGGGATTACGGGTATATAGGGCGGCCAGCATAGGTTTTCCCAATATTACCTGCCCACCTCCCAAACAGAACAAATACAAAACAGGCCCAACGCAATGCCGCTGACGCTCTGATCAGGCATCAACCATCGAGGCTGGGGGGGCTCTCTCGCTCTGTCGCATGCAAAAGGGGGGGCGCGGCAGGCGAGTGCAGAGGCGGGCTGGCGGGCAGGCAGAAGGGAGGAGGGAAGGATGGAGGAGTGGGTGGGTGGGTGGGTGAGGGGCGGCGGCGGCGGGCGACGTGGAGGGTTCGGGGCTAGCTGCCCAGAATACTCTCGTGGGCAACGCAACACGGCAGCGAGGCACTGCATGTCAATCTGACCCGTACATGAGGGATGGTGCCAAAAGCCCGGGGGCCCTTGGCCTGCGCTAGTCTGGTGAACGGCGCGACAGGGGTCGGCGTTAGGGTGGATGGGCGCCCGCTGAGGTCCGCGCGCGGAAGGAGCGACGGACGGCTCTCGTCTCAAAAGCAGGCGCAGCCCGCCGTCGCTTCCTGCTCTGCCTACCCGTACATCACCACCACCCATTACCAAGCACACGCAGACGAACCCTCGTCTCCATATCGATTGGGATCCAAGCTCGTCTGGATCCTTCTGGCACTCTCTAGCATCCAACCCAACCCACCACCCAATGTGCAGTAGACAGGCCCGGGCATTTCCTCTTCTCCCCTCCGTCGCTGCACCTCCCCTCTCCTCGCCCTGCCGCCACCCTGTGCCAAGAGGCTCGTTTGCTCTGCATATTCCCAGGTGAAGAAGCAGGCACCGGCCTGGTCTCGTCCCCCCCCCCCCACCAACCCTCCGCATACGAACATCTAGCCTCGACCCCGACCCCTCGTCGTCGCCCGTCGAGCGCCCACGCACCTCACGAGTCCACCGACTCGACCACCACCACCACCACACCCACACCCACACCCACACGCAGACATGTACGCTCCTCAGTATCCCACGCCTCCTCCGGGCTACATGCCCTACGACTACCACCGCACCACGCCGCCCATGTCGCCCGGCCCCGGTGCCAACTACTACTCGCCCCGCCACGCTCCCCAGATGGCCACGCCGCGGGCCAGCCCAAAGGTCGCAGGCCACTCTCGCCGCGCCTCGCACGCCGTGCCCTCGACGCAGTACCAGCAATACACGGCCTCTCCTCGCGGAGGACCCATGCCTCCCTACCCGGGCACTGCTGAGTTCGCCTCTCCGCGCCCCTACGCAACGCCGCGAGGCACCCCCGAATATGTAAGTTATTTCGGTTACACTCTTCCAAGTCGGCATCGCCGCGACTCAGACGCCCCGCCTCTCAAGCGCACCCATCGCGAGAGGAAGCGTCGCCCGTCGCAGTCGGCACGCCACGTCCACACCAGAGTTGTCTTCGACGACCGAGGCTACGGCTACGAATGCGACTACGAGATGCACGACTATCCACCGCCGCCGTACCAACAGTACGCGCGCCACGACATGTACCGAGGGGATGCTGATCGCTATTACTATGATCAGGTCCCAATCTATGACCCAGAACCAAAGTCTAGCCGCCCGCGACGTGCCTCGGCCTCGACCCGACAGCCAACCGCCTCGCTCAAGAAGCCTGCGCCCACGACCAAGACGGCCCCCAAGGCCACCGAAGAAGATGCGCGCCGTGCCGGCATTCCCGCCGGCTACTCATACAAGAACTGGGACCCTACAGAGGAACCCATTATGCTTCTAGGCTCCGTCTTTGACGCAAACTCGCTCGGCAAGTGGATCTACGACTGGACCGTCTTCCACTACGGCCCCGCCACCCCCCTGGCCGAAATGGCGGGCGAGCTCTGGCTCCTCCTCATCCAGCTCGCCGGCAAGGTCAAGCGTGCCGACGAGACGATGCCCAAGATCCGCAAGAAGGAGAACCACGAAATGGTCGAAGACTTCCTCGAGAGCGGCGAGCGCCTGTGGGTGCGCTTCGCCAAGCTGCTCAAGGTGTGCGAGGACTACATGTGGAAGGCCGCCAAGAAGGAGAGCGGCAAAGAAAAGCCTGTTTCCATGGGCAAGAACAGCGGCAAGGAGTTTGTCGAGTCCATTTTTGGGCGCGACCGCGAACTCGAGAAGACGGAGAAGCTCATGACCGGTATGCGCCTCTGGTCGATGCGCTTCGACGCCAACTGCGAAGACATCCTACGATACCCATCCGCCTAGGAGTCGTCTGTTTGACGCGTTATACCTGGACGCTTTTGCGCTGGCGTTTTTTGTGTCGGTATACCCTTTCCATTACCGTGTCTGCTTTGGGCATGACTTGACATTACTGCGAGATACCCTTTCTTGCTGTTACTAATTGTTAATCCTGCGTCATCATTTTTCAGTTATTTTTTTTTCGACATGTACAACATCACTGGGTCTTTCCGCATTTGGGCGAATCACAGGAAAAAGTCTGCTTTCTACTATGATATCCCCCTCCCCTTCTTCATGTACTTTTCAGCCGGCTATTGTTCTTCTTTTTTTTCAACTGCTTTTGGGGGTCTTTGGGAACTTTTTTTTCTATTGATTGATTGGTTACGGTTGTTTGTATGCAAGGTGTTCAGGTTGTTTAGCTTGTCAGTTGGTTTGTGGCACTGGGCCTGCCACGAGAATTTTGTCTTCTAGGTTGGTCATCTAGATTTGAGAGATTTCTTCTTCAGACGTCTCTATCGAAAGATTGGTACCTCACGGTCAAAACTAGAATACCCGCCATACCACTCTATTGCTATGTATCCATTTTAGTAGTTATCAAATCATGTTGTTGCCTTGACTTGACTGGTCTTATCCCCTGCACGGCTGAAGGCAATGTGACTCATACGCCGTTTTTCTGCTGCACCAATCCAAACCACAGTTGTCGCATTGCCTCGCAGCCGCCATGACAGGTGGTGGTGAGGGGTGGCAAGATAATTTTTTTTTCTCTCTTTGGGCTGGGCATCCCCCCTTGGATGCGGCACGTCCAGCAAATGTGAGACAGCAATGGACCTATGGGGGCCGTGGGAAGGGGGGCGAGGGCGACAGACAGATGCTTTTTGCGTCTCCAGCAATGTCACAATCTCACACACAGATATGCGCGCGCACTCCGACTCACACACCCGGCACGCGTACCTTGTCGTTCGGTCAAGGTTTGCGGCCGCGAGTTAGCTGTCGCACTATGATGACTCGTGCCCTTATCACAATCAGCGACTGAATCACGACAACAAACGACGCGGCCTCCGTCGCAAACCAGAGCAGGTCAAGCGGGTGCAACACCAAGTACCTACACCAACCAACCGTCTTGGCCTCCTCATTCGTTGCCTGCCTACCTACTTACCCATACCTACCTGTCAGCCTCAATCATCCTAGAAGCGCGGTGCATGCACATGGAAGCCTGCTTGCTGCAGGCTCGGCCAAAGAAGAAACCATGTACCCATTTGCTTTTTTTTCCTTTCTTCTCCTCTCTTCACATGTCTCTGTTCCCCCCCCCCCCCCGTCACCGCTACCGCTGGCCCCTCTCTGTCCGTCCGTCCGTCCCTCCCTCCCTCCCGTGGCGGTGATGTAATGCAGGCGCGGGAAGGATTCGGTCAGCCACTCACGACCATGTGCGGTGGCGAATGCGTCGTGGCTGTGGTGATAGGCCAGTGTAAACGGTGAAGGGCAGGCAGACGGATAGATAGGCAGCCAGGTTTGGGCAGCCTACACGTATATTCTGGCGCCTGCGCCTATGTGAGTGTGTGTGGGAAAAAAGAAGGGCGCCAGAATCAAGGCATGGGCGATAACAATAAGAGTGAGATTGCTATTTTCTGTGCCTGTCGTGCATGTGCATGTGCATGTGTGTGTGTGTGTGTGTATCTCCGAAATGTGAGTGGTGAGGCAGCCTAGAAGCCTTGGGGGCCGCTGCCGTCGCCGCCCCAACCTCCCTCTCCCCTCTTACCCGCAACCCCTCCACCACCCCTCGTCAACATTTTTTTTTTAATTTTTGAGCAGCACCTCACACACGCACCCAACCCCCGCCCCGCCGCCCTTTACAAGTGCAAACCATGACAATATTTCCAGCGGACCTGCAAGCCGTGAAACGGTACGCGCAACGACGGCGGTGATGCCCAGGCTGCACCCCTCGCGACTTTTCTTCACGCTCATCCTCAAGGGGTCCGTTCGCATAGATGCATATTCCATCCGGGATAAAGAAGCTTGATTCCCAGGTCGCGGCCGCATATGCGGCGCCGAGTTGCCCCCCTTGGGCGCGCCCTTTCAGCCTCGTTGCCACCGCCGCTCGTCTATCCTACCTACCGGACTCTCTCTCTCTCTCTCCTCCCCTTGCACGACCTACGTCGAGATGACGCGCGCGCCGGACCATCATTTGTGGGAACTCTTACTTTAGGAAACACGGCGAAACTCGGATTTTTGCAATTGGCGCCGCATTCACTACATACCTACTTTTGCCTTGGAAGGGGAAGGGGGGGCATATATTTTCGACACACGGCGATAATATTGGGTGCAAGGACATCCTTACCGCATGCCAGGCAGCAGCACGTCCAAGTGTCGCAAGAGGAATAATTTGCGTTTCGGGATCGACAGGAACACATTGCAAGGGGCTGGTGGGGGGTGTGGCACAAGGGAGGACTGGGGTATGTGATTATCGAAAGACATTTGTTGACGGATTGATTGACTGCTGCCTGCCTGACTGACTAGGTCGTCTAGTGAGGTTTCACCAGCTTCGCTCGCTGGAACGCGCTTGCGCTTTGACAATCGTGTCCCTTTTTTTTGTTTGTGTGCGAGATGGCGCGTGTCACATGCTGATGTGAGCCCGTTGGGTTGTCTTTTTACCAGCATGATTGGGCTGCTCGGGACGGCGACTTTGTCAGTGCTTTTCTGCGGCTGAATGCGATGATGCGGCCGGGGGGCTCATCTCCCTCTACGATTACACGACTACCTACCACCTTACCCCCCTACCTATCGAGGCGCATCCATCACGGAACCCGCTTCCCGTCCCTCGCCACCCACATGACAGACGGCCCGGGCAAGCAAAGGCAAGGCGCATGTGTGTGGTCTCTGCGACCTCTGTGGCCATGGGTCGGGGCTATTGGGTACCACGACGCGTGCGGTCCAAGGGGCACCATGGGCACGATGAGTGGCAAGCGGCGAGCGGCACGACGATTACCTGATGCCTGGGCCAGGCCAATGCGAACTCATCTAGGGTACCGGAAACACCAGCAGCACTCTCCATATTCCAACGTTGAATCTACCACCCGTTCATGCAAGCGCGCCCAGGCCCCGCGCGCGCACGGGTGCATGAGTCGCCAGTCCGCAATGGGACGGCAGCCGCCTTTGCCCTGGTGTTTCGAAACGCGTGGCCGGTGCTTCTCGCGCGTGCATGAGGCCGCTGCTCTCCCAGACCCCGCGCCTTTTTCTTCATGGCTTTCCACCTATTGCCCGCCACAGCAACCCAACCGAGCTCCCCCCCCCCGACACCTCACCCCGCATGTCACGCCCTCCGCGCCAACCGCCTCTGCCCACGGCTATGGCCATGCACATGCGCATGTACACCTAGCCGTACCATGTACATACGCCATGTCACCGCACGGTTACGCTGTTTTCCCCTCGCTCTTCTTCGGCATGTTTGCTTGCCACAGGCAGCCATTCCCGAGTACACCGTGTACAACCTGTGCGGGGTCGCTGGTCCATGTCCTCTGAAACCGCGGCACTCTCGCTTTGCTGGCGAGGCTGGTGCGTTCCCTGGTACATACCTGCCGGACGCCCATACATCATCGATCACAAGATCCTGTCTTCTGTTTCGTCATCCGTCGATGCAAGACCTGTGCATGCTATGCGCGCATCGCGATTGCAACGCCATCCTTCGTGTCTGGCATGGGCTGCCCATCGGCCTCTTCCGACTCCCTTTGCATGCACGTGTGCGTGATGGCGCAACGCATGGAGGGGTGAAAACGGCATCATGTAGGACTTGGAATATGCATGTTCGGTCTCCGTCATGTTTACCGCCTACATTGGCGAATCGATAGCCCCAAACCGCATGTCAGCTGGACATGTCTTGTTTGCTGTTTGTTGGAAGGGTGTGCTCGGGCTGCCAAAGTCGAGCCTCTACGCGCTACATGCGTGACGGTTATTGGACTTGTTTTTTCCTTGCAAAGAAAAGCACTCCATTTCCCACCACTAAGTGATAAATCCGAGGTCAGCAGTGGTGAAGAAAAAAACTAGACGTCTGGTTTTTTTGGTTTGGGAGGTGGGGGGTTCGCAGCGTTTACCGCATGCCCCTCATTCGACGGAGCATCCCCCTCCTTTCTTATTATCACTACTACTTTCTCAGCACATCACACGCACACGCCTGGCCAGAACATATGCAAGGTTTCGGAGTCCTCCGATACATACAAGCCACTGCCTTCAACAAGCATACCATGTCGTCGTATACTTGCTTGCAAGAGAGATTACTCCATGGACCCAGTTGCCATGGTCGTATAGTCTTGGTCTCAAGTTGCCCTCCTCCACCTCCAGCTCGACCTACGTCACCCGACGCACGCATAATCCTGCTCTAGCCCGTTCCAGGTCCAACCTCTCCACCTCCACCTCCATTCCATCCAAGAGAACCCATGAACCATGAACGCCACACTCAACAGCCTCAGCCAAGGAACTTCCCGCTTTTTTACCTTTTGGCCTTTGCCTCCCTCCCACGTGCCCTTCCCCCGTCCGTTCCATCCGCCCGCCCGCTACACACCGACTTGGTTAAGTCCTTTTTCTTGTCGTTCATGATCTTCTCTCTTCCACATTGCCGCTGCTATCACATTGCATAAGCGCCATGGCTGATGGAATAGCCCCCCAGATGCAGCCCTAGCCCTAGCCCTAGCCCCCAATCCTTCCTCATCACAGTGTAGTCCATGTAATGCTCATGTCATCTGCATGCAATGCAAGTCAGTCGGCTTCAGGTCACATTCTGGCTTGCACTTCCCACTTGACTTTTGCACTTGTGCTTGTGTTTGTGGTTTGCGCGCTTCCAGCTTCCCAGCTTTCCCAGCTTCCCCTTGGTGATGGCGCCATACACCCACATGCCCACCCACATGTGGCGATCACAATGATAGACATGCATACATACACAACCTGCATATACATATGTACATGCATGCACCGTCGTATCGACAAGGCTGATCTGACCCGACCTGACCTGACAGCAATAAGCGCCGTAGTGGTAGTGTAGCTGCACCTACACTACAGTAGAAGCTGCGAATGTGGGGGCTGCCAGCGCAGCGGGTAAAACAAACATGGCAGATGGCAGATACATACTTCGTGGTAGAGAGTGAGCATGAGTAAGCCAAGTCCAAGTAGTGGTAGTGGTAGTTGTAGCGGAATCCCCACGAATAGCTTGGTGGCATGGCTAAAGATAGATTTGCTTATTCTCACTTGCTTTTGCTTGCTTACACTTGACATACTTGGTTCGCTGGTTGCTTACGGTGATGGTGATGGGAATTGGGCATGATTGGATTAGTAGATGTGATACTGATAACTGATAGTGATAGTAGTGGTAATAAGCGTGAACCATGTACGTACAGCGTGTATGCGAACACCTCTTCCTCTTTCTCATCCTTCTCCTCCTTTTCTCTTTTCTATTTCTGTTTCTCATCCTTACCACTCTTGTCCCCCCCCCCACATCTACCCACTCCCCCTCCCTCCCTCCTCTTCGCTGTACGTATAGTTATAAAACCTCCGAGTCTAAGCGTGCCACCTTTTTTTTTGTTCCCTAGCACTAGCATATACCCCGACCCCGACTCTTACCCATGTACACGTGCATAACTAGATCATGTGCAGCTAGCCAGCCAGTAACCTCTTTCCCTCGTTGGTGCTACCCCCCCCCCATCCACCTTTTTTTTCATGCAACAGCGATTAGTTGGTGCTACTTTTCAATCCGTTGCACCTGAGACTGTTATTGTGATTCTGATTCTGATTATCAGGACTGCCTCGCGCCGTGCGAGCGCAGGGGCAATACCCGTATACCAAGCGGGGTGCACAAAGCGGGGGAGACGGAGAAAGAGGGGTGGCCAATGTGAATGCAAAGATATTCATGCGGCTGACTTTCCTGTGCATGACTTGGCTTGGCTTGGCTTGGCTTGGCTTGACTATCATACTCCTGTTCCCCCTCTCTCTTTCTCTCTTTTTGTTTTTTTTACCATGCTGGAGGGGTGGCCAAGGGGGAATAGCGCGTCTGGCGCTGGGTGCTGGGTTGGAGTTGTGTAGTTGGGTTGGGTTGGATTTGGTGCTGGGGATGGGGATGGGAGGTATAGTTACGTGTATATGGCTATGTATGTGCGTATGTGCGTATGTGCGTATGTATGTAGCTAGAACAACGAGTGCGTATAGCTAATTAGTTAGGTAATTAAGCAGCTTATATATATATACACATGTACATATGCATGCTAAGCGTCAAGTGCTATAGCACGATAGTAGGAATAGTAGCTCAAGTAAAGCGTGTAGAGATATTGGTATATGAATAGAGAGGTTGACTTGTACTTTGTGAATATCCCACATATATATGCGTGTGTGTTTATCAGGACTGGAGGGACGTTTGGATAGTGGGGGGGTTTTTTTTAGTAGAGATGGACGGGTAGAGAAAGTAAGAGGGGGGGGGGGGTATCATTTCGCGGAATAAGTTCGAGATGGGAAGTACAGATTCACAATGTTTCATACAGTTTACATTTGAGAGGTACGGCGCTGATACATGGATGTGTCGGGAGGATAATATATCAGTTATTATTGTGGCGTTGGTACATAGATTCGAAAGAGTAGTGCCAAGTGTAGAACCACGGTATCGCACGAACTTGAGGACATGGTAACACAGAAGACTCGGTTGATGAGATTGAAATTAAGAGAAGTGTGAGGAAGGTACTCCAGTAAATATCTTTTCTTCCTGGACATTTTAATTTCGTTGATATAGTATCCCCCATGCGACACCGAATAAATGGTGTGCTTGGATACTAGGAATGCAGCAATCGTGTTTATCTTACGCAGACTTCTCGCCTTCATCCCTTTGAGCCAAAAAAAAAGAAGCAACAATAACCACTTTTATATTTCGGATTCCACCCTGCAATCCCGAAAACAGCACCCCAAAAGAGGGAGAAAAAAAGGCACACATACAAGGAGAAGAGAGGAAAGAAAAGAGAAATAGATGAATGGCTTGGATATACCGCGTGTTGAGATTGGATTGGGTGTTGAATATGTATGTATGTATGTATATAGGAAGTAAGTAAGTGAGTGAGGGAGTGAGTCAGTGTTGGACATTGCACAACCTCTCAAAACACGACTTTTTTTCTCTTATGCCACGCGACTAATTCTGCATTATGCTATGTAGCCAGATTGTACGCATACGCACATGCATACATTCCCATTCCCATTCACAAGAGTCCGCCTACCCATCCAAGCGACCATTCATCTCGTCATTTCACTATCACAAGAGCAAAAAAGAGCAAAAAAAACACCCCCCCATGCACATGCACATGCACGTACTTGATCACGCTTTTCAACAATCTATTTTTTCATTTGAGTCTAGACACACAGAGAGATACACACACATACACACAAAGAAAAAAAAAAGAGAGAGAGAGAGAGAGAGAGAGACAAAATACACCCTGATTGCTACGATTGGGATCCCAAAAAAAGACCCAGCAGCAAGCCAACTAAAAGAAGAAGAAGAGGAAGAAGAAGAAGGAAAAAGAAAAACAGTTGGCATTTAAGGGGGTCCCCCCATTTCATCATGTACACATCCATTTTTTCTTTGTTTCAATCCAGAAGGGGGCTCGCATGATTAACCCTCTCTCCCTCCCCTTTTGCCCCCCGTCCACTCATTTTTTCTCTCTTCTTCTTATCTCTTCAGCCCAACCCATCATCATGACACTCGCCCAACGAGATTCTTGCTAGTCGATAATTTTCTTTTTCACGCAGCACAATCGCGTAACCGTTGTCGTTCTTCCTCTGTGAGCTGGTTGAATTCATCTGCAAAGCCCGGCGTAGTAGCGGCACGCTTGAAGAAATCCACAAGGAAGTTCTGCGTCTCGTCGTCACGTTGACGGCCGCTGCCTCCCGGCTCTTCCGCTGCAAATGCCATGAGTTGCTCTTTGGTGAAGCCGCTGCCAAGATCAACGAATGGGTTGGGCTCGTCCTCCCAATCGCCATCGTCTGAAGCCTCATCTGCAAGCTCGGCGGCTGCAGCTGCATCAAGAGGTGCACCAGAGGCAGATTGAAGCTCGACTATAAGGACCTTGAGGATTTTGAGCGGGGCGGGTACTATGGTATACTTGTCAGGATCTGATTCCCCGTCAGTGTGTGGACAACTGAAAGGGGTTGCAACATTGATTTATGAGAATGGTGCAGCACCGTACACCTCTCCATAACATTCATGGCCAGACATAGATACTAGAGAATACTTACTGGCTTTTGCGCGACTCCTCGTCATGATGCGGCCATCATTAGTCGGTATCAAGTCGCCCTGCACTTGAACCTGTGCAACCCGCGAATCTTTCAAATCGTACAGTTTCGAAAGAGCAATGACACTAGAACAAGTCAGCAGCTAATCACAGAAACGCCATGGACTAGGGGAGAGGTGTTCAACTTAAGTCGCCCGCCTCGCCTTGCCCATATATCGAAAGCGACTTTCGGGTTGGCAACGTACTTTTGTCGGATTTCGTCGTAGCCAGCGAAATTGATCGAGTTCTCGAGCCACTTCGCAAGCACGACTTGCAACCCATTTTCGCCCTCGATATCTTGACTAGCCAAAAACTCAACTACTTCAGAAGCATGGTTCAAACTCAGACGCGCAAAAACAAGCGTCAGGCTTTGGATAAAGTTGGCTTGCTTAGCCTGCGCGAGACGGACTGCAACACTGCGCAAGAGCTGCTCCAGGTACGGACCAAGCCGCTCATGGCCAGCCTTTTCTACCACCTCAGCAGCGAGGGCACCGACCTCACCAGCAGCGTGGTCACTGCACGATGACAGCAGACGGGAGACAATGATAAGAGTGACCTCTAGACCTGCCTTGCCAGTATCATCTCGCCACTCAAACAGCTGGTGGTGATCATGTGAGATAATGTTCTTGACCGCAGTCGTGGCAGACTTGAGCAGTTCCTCGTCGGTAGACCCGAGCAGAAGTCGGGTGAGCTTGGGCATGGTTGTGGCGACAAAGCCAGCAGGAAGCGGCTCAGGTCCATGCTCAGCAAGCACAGCCAGGAGATCAGCAGCGAAATTGCATAGAGCATTCTCCTCTGTCAAGCTGCCGACATCGAAAGCGCCCGTGAGGGATGGAAGAACCCTTGTACAAAGCTGGATGTATGCATCACCGCCCATGTGTGCAATGCTTTCTGTCACTTCTTCAAAAGCCTCAATCACCAGCATGGTCAGTTGGAAATTGGAGGCTTGGTGGCTGGCCACTCTGAAGAGGGTATCAAGGCCGTTGTCCGTAATGCATATCCGAGTATCAATAAGGATAGCGTCTCTAAGGGTCTCGACGAGCGTGATCATAATATCGTCGCCATCATTGAGCTCCGACATATCTTGTGCAGCGAGGTAGTTGCTGATGGCTGCCATGATGGGGTTTTGCAGAGGCTGAGTAATGGAGTGTGGGAGTGCCTGGAGGTAATGTTGTAGGGCTCGGATACAAGAGACCTGGACAACGTCGGAGTCATCGGACGGAATGGCTTGCAGGTTGGCTTCGAGAAAGGACGTGGCTAGTTGTTGCAGAGTGTCTCCAGATGTTCTCGTCAGGCTTCCAGCGACCAGGTAACCTCGTGCTCGAAGGAAGGCGTCGGGCTGCTGCATTGCATAGCGAATGAAGTCCACGTAGCCAGTCGCAGCCTCTGGACTGATTTGCTTCTCGACATCCTGAAAGTCGCTCAGCAGTTGGTTAAGGACGTATAGCGCAGCTTCCTCCGCTTTCCAACCCTTTGACTCCGAATAGAGCGCCCGTGTGTAGGTCAACAAGCCATTGACGGTGGGTTCTGTGAGCCACTCGCCAAGCTTGATAACGAGGTCTCCGCAAGCCGTTCGGGGCGTGTAGTTGGCGGTAACGCTGGTCTCCTCACTCAGGAAGATGTTCACGTCAACGTCCCAGAGTCCCTCCTCCTCGGTAGTGATTTGCGCATAGGCGACCGCCAGCTTCATGACCTGAGTGACCCAAGACGTTTCCGGTGCCTGGTTCTGGAGTTCCTGCTCGAGCTGAGTGCGAACCGGCGGTGCACGAAGGCAGGCTTGCATAAAGTCCAACTCTTCAAGGATGAGGAAATCCAGTGTGTATGGCAGCCCATCGGCATCTTCCAGCCTGCTCTGGCGGTCTTCTTGTATGTACATGAGAGAGTATGCCGGTTCAAGTAATGATAGTTCCTGCCAGCATGCTTGGAAGAGAACAATACTTTGCGGCGAAAGGATAGCGGGGAAGACGGACCGTATGCGCATGAGGACCTGCAGAATATTAGTACCGAGACAGGCGTGGCGCATTATCAACAAGTATCTACCTTGACAACCTGCAGTTTCAAGGCAATCTGCCCTTTGTACAGCGCAGCATTGGGGGTATCCTGCTCTTCTTCCTCAATTGAGGGCGGGTCTGGTAACCTTGTGTTCAAGACGTTGATGAAGAAGGGCATCCAGTCTTTGAGCACCTCATCTGCAAAGTTCTTGACCATGGCCTTGTGGTCCTCCATGACCATCTCGAGTATGTCGAAGCAGCTGTGGAACACCTTGCAGGCCAGCGCCCTCAATGTCGGCTTCCTCTGGTCGTTGGTGGCCACATCGTACAAAATCTTGATCATCTGCGGCGCCACGCCAAAAAAGGTATTCTCATTGAATGAATCCTCCACCAGCTCACCGAGGACCCTGAGGGCACCGTGTAATTGGCCGTCGTTCGCATTGGGTATCAGGTTGAGGAGCGTGTCGAGCAGTTCGGGCCATTCGATGGGGTAGTCGGCGGCGGCAATCTTGCTCACAACGAGGCCGGCGGCGGCCTTGAGCTTGCGGTCAATGTGGTCCGAGGTGGCGAGTGCGAGCAGCTGCTGTCGCAGTATGGCCTTGTTTTCGTCTGTGATCAAGACCTGGCCTTTCCACCCCTCGAGGCTATCACTCCATCCCGCCAAGACCAGATTCTTCAGGGACAGCAGGGCGGCCTGCCGGATATTGAGGGGCACGCTCTCGTGGCAGGCGATGCCGATGAGGCCCAGCGGGAGCTCCTGGTGGCCATAGAACGAGAGCAGCTGCTGTTCAGCCTGTTTGCGGGTGTCCTCCTGGGCGGTTTGGGTTGCTGAAAGCAGCTGGACTAGTTGGTCCTCCATGGCAGACGTGGGGCAAGCGCGTACAAAGCTAGTCAGCACGTCTAGCGTTGCCCAACCCGGTTGGCGAGAGGTGCTGTTCGACGGGTGACGCGTTTGTTGAAGGTGTAGCTGGGCGACTGCGCTCGAGGGAAAAAGAAACGCGCTCGGGGATGCGGGGCAACTCCGTGAATCTTTGAGCAAGTAGTGGGGGTGGCCAAGCAGCTGCGATAACTGACTGAACTAGAGCAATAATCCGCCGCCTGGGCCTGGAGGGCGCGAGTTGAGAATGGCGGGATGAAGAGAAGGGAAGGCTGGCGGAATGGGTGAGAGCTGGGTGAAGCGCAGTGCGGGCAGAGCCAGTTGCTTCACTCCGCGCCTGTTGCCGTGTGCAGAGGGGCGGCCATCGCTTCTTCCCAGGCAAGCAGGAAACGCGACATCTGCCAAACTCACTCGCCCAAGCACATGGATTGCCTGCCACGTTGCTGTCCTCAACAGTGCCAGGGGCCCTCGACACAGCATGCGCACGACAGTCGCTATACAGGACCGCCACGGTAGCACCAGCCTGAGGGACAGGCGCCTATCGATAGCCTAGCGGGCTGGACACGCGACGAGACGCGTCTGCGTCATGCCCCCCCCCCCCCGCCTGTCTGCCCACGAGAAAAGCATCCAGGCTGTTTCAGATATCTTCTGGGCGCATCACGTCATACCCGGTAACGGTTACACTGCTTCGCTGCCACATGCCGGCCCGCCATGGCGCTGACCTACCTCGAAACCCTCGCCCACTTCACCACCTTTCTCACGGCCTACACGCACACGCTGCTCTACCTCCGCTCGCTCTATCCCCGCGCCTCCTTTGTCCAGTCACGCTTCCACAATACCTCTGTCTACCAGTCACGGCATCCGCTCGTGTGTGAATGGATAACCGATGCCGTCGCCGCCGTGCGCGAGGAGCTCTTGAACGGGAGCGTCGCCAAGATCGGCATTGTCATATTCAGTTATGGGGCCGATGAAGGCGCGGCGGGGAGTGCGAAGATAATGGAGAGATACATGTTTGATGTTAGCGCATTCCCAGTCGTGGACAAGGGAGATCGCAACATGGAGATCGAGTGGGAAAGCCAAACACCCGAGGTGTCTGATCACGAAGACGAGAGAGGAGGCGTCGCGAAGAGAGGAAATGTCAAGGCGTTGGATGTCGACGTCGATGTCAATCTCTCCGAGCAGTTTCGTGCTGCTTTGATAGCCCTGACGACACGCACTTCGATGCTCGCGCCTCTACCGCCCAACTGTTCTTTCAACATCAGCATGGAGCTCAAGGACGAGGCCCATGTCGATCCACCCGTTGCACACCCGCAGCCGTGGATACCTGTACAGCCTAGCCTGCAGAAGACGGGCAGAACACCAATGATGCGAGATGAGTTTGACGAGGAAGAGTTTGAAGCTGGTGGACGAACAGACGAGGGAGGTGATCTTGGTGGTGCCAGAGTAACGCCCATTCGCAGTGTAGAAGCAGGTGTTTTTAGATTTGAAACATGGATAGAAGAGGGCAAGGCCAAGTTCGACAATACGCAAGGCGATAGTACCAAGACGAGCTTTGCAAGTTCTGTTCAGATGTAATGATGACCTGATATGCGTCCCCTTTATTTGTTGAGGACGTTCTAGCATTGTCTTGTGGAGAAGACATTTAGAGTTTGGAGAATAATTTTTTAAATGGGTATCATGCTATCAAAATCAAGAAAAGGGACATAGGTATGGCCCATAACTACATATCAGCCAGGCTTCATAACCACATCTACTTTCTGAACAGAGAAGTCCCACTTCCTACGAGCGGGTTCGGCTGAAACTCCATATCATTCCCACTTGCAAAAAGCGGTTCCGTATCGTCGTCCACCTTACTCCTGGGCTTGAGCTCCTCGCCCCTTGCAATCTCAATTGTGCTGATAACCGGCAGCACAAGCAACAGCAAAGGAAGCAGCTGGCCAAAACTCCAGTTGCCCTCGCTGGGTCCCACAAGGTGCACGGCTTCCGGCGGGGAGCCAAAAGCCTGGGACTCGAGCACTATGCGAATGGTTGCGCCGATGCCCATTGCGAGACAGGCGAATAGACCAATGACTTGCACCGTCTTGAGCCATTTGGGGTTCGATCGATTGTGCAGGTACCATGTTGCGAAGCCGAATGTGATGACTTGGCCTGCTATGACGGCAATGGTACCGGCAATACTGAGGGCAGCGTTTTCCGAGGCGCCTTTGCTTTCGACTTCCCAGACGCATGCAATGGGCAGTCTGGGCGACATGTTCTTCAAGACAGTCTGCAGGATGAAGACGCCCGAGAGGATACCGAGGAACATATTGACGAGCATGAGGAGCTGGCGTATCCAGCGGAGGACCCAGTCGCGCTTGAAGTCGTTGACGAGGGCGAGGAGTGTGGCCAGGTTGGTAGCGGTTGAGAGCAGCGAGAGGAGCCAGATTATGAAGAAGTGGTAGGGCACCATTGTTTTCATTTTGGCAAGGCCCACCGACTGGATGCCGATGCCTGTGAGGATCTGCTGGTCCGAGAAGGATTGTAGCAGCTTGCGTGATATGGGTGCCGAGGTGGACTTTCGCAGGCCAAGGAGGATGATGGTGGCAGAGAGCAGGATGGAGAGAACGTTGGTGATGATGAAAGACAAGAGGGTCTGCGCGCGTGGGTTAGATCTCATGCGTAGGCTATTGCGACAGTGATGGGTCTGGTGGTGAAGAGGGGGTACTTACGCCCGCACCCGCAACTCCCGCATCAGTGGTTGTCGTGTCTGGGATAGTGGTGCAGTTGAACGGCATTGTTGCTTGAGATCCTTCTCTTCCCTGACCCGCTGTCGACTCTTCTTTCGGCTCCCGTGCAAGCCGAGTCAATGGTTGTTGAGCGACGTAGCCGTGGCTATACTGGCGGGCAACTTCAGAGCACCCGCGCGCGACGATGAGAGATGGGGATTTCAGGCGACGGCGTCAAAGTACTAACAAAGGGCAAGACACAAAGAAAGAGCGTGAGACAGGGCAAGAGAGTGAAGGTGCAAAAGTCAACCACCAAGTCGCTGGCCCTGGAAACGAAAGCGATGCACAGCCTCAGCCTATGTCATCACCAGCAGCAAGCGGCAGGATCCGGCATGCCTCAATCTAAATCAAGGTCTGTTGGCGAGGGCGCGACGCCCAAGAGGCCAGGGGCAGTGATCGACTTGGTGAAACAAGGCAGCACCGCAGCCAACAGACGGCCTGTGGATGGTTGCATCTGTGGCGGAGAAGCGCTTAATCTGCGGCATTGCGCGATTAGGCCCAATGCACGGGCAAAGAAAGCAGCCAGAGCCGATGTACCTGTAACCATTGGACGCATGGCCGAGGGTTGCAAACATCAAGTGCATGGATGACAAGAGTGAGAGCACAATGCAGGGTCCAACGGGGACGAGCAATGTTGAAGCCAATCATCGCATGCAGCTTGAGACGAGCGGCCGCCAAGGCGCTAAGGAGCCTAGCCTGGCTTGCGGCTCTAAAGCGACACCATGCGCCATCTCGTGATTCAACCATCTCGAGGCCATGGCACGAGGGGCGACATCTATCTAGTACTTCACTATGGGTAGCATCGACTTGATGCACACAGCCTTTGACCGTGTGCATGCAATGCGTGCAGCCATGTTGTCGCAGTGGCGAAAGTACCTGGACTGGGCACAATTGCCACACCACTTTCATCCAAGGCCGACATGACCAGCCTCGGAGACGTTCACAGGCTGAGTCGACTCAATTCTGCAAACACCCATAGTGGCTTCAGTGGGGCTACACCACTCCTGGTGCATCACCACCAAGCATCATCATGCCCCCCCGTCCATGTCGAGTCACCATTGCATGTGGCAAAACGCATCTTGTCGTCCCGCAGTGGGAGCTGGTATCTCTACCATGTCGTCATTTTTGGCTCTCGTCTAGCGACTGCTCATAAAGACGTCAAACCGTGAACCGAGCCCAAACCCTCCGTCATCATCATGAATACTCTTCGTCAAATGGTCATCAAAACGCCCGTGGCAGCAACTCCTTTACAGCTTCTGCATGGCAACAACGTCGGTAGACTGGACGTGGTCCTCGTCCTCCTCAATCTGCTGCTGGAGCTCGTCTAGCGACACCTTCTCGTCCTCGACGACCAAGTTGATCTGAAGCTTCTTGATACCGAAACCGACAGCGACCAACTTGGACGCACCCCAGACGAGGCCATCCTTCTCAATGGCGAGCACGTTCGCCTTGAGCTCGTCCATGTTTGTCTCGTCATCTGCAACTGGTCAGCATCCTCACTCACCTCGACATTCTCACCAACTTACCCCATGGCTTGACGTCAAGGGTGACAATCGACTTGGCGGCAGGCTTGGTCTTGCCGGCCTTCTTCTTGTTGTACTCGGCCAGACGCTCCTCCTTGATCCTGGCAGCCTCGGCATCCTCCTCCTCGTCGTCACTGCCAAACAGGTCCACCTCGTCGTCGTCCTCCTCAGCCTCCTTCTCAGGAGCCTTGGCGGGGTTCAGGGTAACCTCTGACGATTCGGGGCCGTAGGCAGTGAACTCCTTGGTTGGGTCGCCAGGAAGCGAGTCAAACTCGCCCTGGAAGGTGAGGATGTGGTTGTACCAGCGCCATGCGTAGGGGTACTTCTCAGGGGCGGGGACCTCCTTGATCTGCTGGAAGACCTTGACATCGGCCTGCGATGGCGAGTAACTGTGCCATGTTAGCCCGTGACTCTGCAGCGATGCCTGAGAAGTGCAGCCGAAGCAGTGACTAGATCAGAGTTGCGACAAGCGCTTGGGTTTGTATTCAGATAGCGGGGTCTTAAGCCGCCTCATTAACACGGACCAAATGTTCTCATCATTCGAGTGTGGGCAGGGTTGTATGCAGTGCAGTGGAATGGACACGGAGCGGGCGAAAAGTGCGTGGTGGGGTAGCAACTTACCCAACAATGTACGAGCGCGTCTTGACGTAGTGGTTGAGGAGGGTCAGGCCCGCGTCGGAAACGAGATCGGTGAAGCCCATGTTTGCAGGAATTCAATGTGCGTAGGGAGAGCGAGAAACGGAGAGGTGTGGTTGAAGGAGGAGTCAAAGTTTTTTTGCAGAGTTGGGGCTGGGAGGAGATTGCTGCCGGGCGCACGGCCCCGCGCTAGTACGTGCTCGACCGTGTTCGAGGGGCACCGTTCACCCTGCTCCCCAAACCACTCGAGGCCTCGCATGCAGCTAGGCCACGGCTGATTCTGCCCCCCCCCCCCGGCCTCACTTTTCCATGCTGTTCTAGGAAACCCGTCTGGAATGCTTCTCGTGCCGCCGTTTGCCTGTCTGCCTGACGCGCCGCCCGGAGACGTAGAAGGTCATCGAACCACCGCGCATTTTCGCCCAAGCTCGTAGTCGCACCACCCATTGCCAATATAATCTACCCTCTTCATCTCTTGCTCTCGCGAACTTCCCTCGTTTTCTGACCCCCCATATCAAAATGCTGACCAGCAGAGCACGCATAGCCGCAAGGCGCATCGCATGCCCGTCCTCCATCTCACGCGCACTGCCCGTTCGCACATCGCCGTTATGCCTGACCACATCCGTAGCACGGCCCTCGCAGCAGCAAAAGATTCTGAGGCCGCTTGTGTCTTCCCGGGGGTATGCGAATGGCGGGCGCCCCCATCCTCCTGGTGGAACACATCGCATGAACCTCGGTGGTGAGCCAGAAAAGCCGGCGTTAGAGCAGTACGGAGTCGATCTCACAGCGCGCGCGCGAGACGGCAAGTTGGATCCAGTCATAGGACGAGATGGCGAAATACAGCGCACCATCCAAATTCTGTCCCGACGAACAAAGAACAACCCCGTCCTCATCGGCTCCGCTGGAACCGGCAAGACGGCCATTCTCGAAGGCCTGGCACAGCGCATCGTCAAGGGCGATGTGCCTGAATCGATACAGGAAAAACGCGTCATCTCTCTTGACCTCGGCTCCCTCATTGCCGGTGCCAAATTCCGCGGCGACTTTGAAGAGAGGCTGAAGAGTGTGCTGAAGGAAGTCGAAGAGGCCAACAAGGGCGTCATCTTGTTTGTCGACGAGTTGCACACCTTGTTGGGCCTGGGCAAGGCAGAGGGCAGCATTGATGCCAGCAATCTTCTCAAGCCCGCTCTCAGTCGTGGAGAGCTGCAGCTCTGTGGAGCGACGACACTCAACGAGTATCGGCAGATTGAAAAAGACGCAGCGCTTGCGCGACGATTCCAGCCCATTGTTGTTGGCGAGCCCACGGTCCAGGACACTATTTCCATCCTGCGTGGTATCAAGGAGCGATACGAGGTCCACCATGGTGTGCGTATTACCGACAATGCTCTGGTGGCTGCCGCTTCATACAGCAATCGTTACATCACAGACCGCTTCCTCCCCGACAAGGCCATTGACTTGGTAGACGAGGCTGCAAGTGCACTGCGTCTACAGCAAGAGAGCAAGCCAGATGCAATCCAAGAGCTCGATCGCCAAATCATGACTATCCAGATCGAGCTGGAGTCGCTCCGCAAGGAAACCGACATTGCGAGCAAAGAACGACGCGAGCGTCTTGAAGAAACATTGAAGCAGAAGCGAGATGAGGTAAAGGTGTTGACGGAGAAGTGGGAGAAGGAGCGAGAAGAGCTCGACGCAATCAAGAACGCGCAGGAGAACCTTGAAAAGGCAAAGCTCGAGCTTGAAATAGCCCGTCGTCAGGGCGACTTCGCCAGGGCTGGTGAGCTGCAATACAGCAGAATCCCGGAGTTGGAACAGAAACTTCCCAAGGACGAGGAGGTGACGGCTGGAGCCAACCGACAGGGCTCTCTGCTACACGACTCTGTTACCGCGGACGACATTGCCGCCGTCGTCTCCCGCACGACCGGTATCCCACTATCCAAGCTCAACTCGGGAGAAAGTGAGAAGCTCATCCATATGGAGGACACCCTGCGCCAGTGGGTCAAGGGCCAGGACGAGGCCTTGACCGCCGTTGCAAACGCCATTCGTCTCCAAAGAGCTGGACTTTCTGGCGAGAACAGGCCCATCGCCTCCTTCATGATGTTGGGGCCAACTGGTGTAGGAAAGACGGAGGTGTGCAAGAGACTTGCAGAGTACCTTTTCAGCACACCCCAAGCTGTAATCCGGTTTGACATGAGTGAGTTCAGCGAGAAGCATACAGTGTCGCGTCTCATCGGCTCTCCTGCTGGCTATGTCGGGTACGAGGACGCGGGTCAACTCACTGAAGCTGTGCGACGAAAGCCTTATGCTGTTCTCTTGTTTGACGAATGGGAAAAGGCACACAAGGACATTTCAACCTTGCTTCTTCAAGTTCTCGACGAGGGCTTCCTTACGGATGCACAGGGCCACAAGGTGGACTTCCGCAACACCATCATCGTCATGACGTCCAACCTTGGAGCTGATATTATTGTCGGTGACGACGCCATACACTCGGTTAGCAAGGATTCGAGCGAGATCTCACCGGCAGTACGCAGCGCTGTCATGGGTATTGTTGCTGCCACATACCCGCCCGAGTTCCTCAACCGTCTCGACGAGTTCATCATTTTCCGCCGTCTATCACGAGAAGCGCTCAGAGACATTGTAGACATTCGTCTGAAAGAGCTTCAGCAGCGACTAGACGACCGCAGAATTATTCTCGAATGCCCAGACGAAGCCAAACAATGGCTATGTGACCGAGGCTACGATCCAAAATTCGGCGCCCGGCCACTGAACAGGCTCATTGCCAGAGAAATTGGCAACGGCCTTGCTGACAAGCTGATCCGTGGAGAAATCCGCACCGGCGATACGGCCAAGGTTTCGATCAAGAAAGATGGCACAGGCCTTGATGTCGCCGCAGCTTGATGCTGCTGTATGACTAACGACGACATGATTGTATAACAGATTGTAAAAACGTACCATTACATGTACATAATGTAGCATTGTCGGCGTTGTAGGTAAAATCTCTTCCTCTTTGTAGGCAACGATAATGAATGATATCACCTCTTTATGTTCTTCATCGTGACAGGCAGATGCTGGCAAGCGCGCTTCCGCTACTTCCCTTTTTGTGGCCAAAACCTCTCACTCTCTCACTCTCTCGCATTCACTCACACCGCCGTCAAACTCACTCACCTTCAAGGTCATGCCGCGCCAACCTGCTTTCAAGGTCGCTTTCCGACCGAAAAATAGTCGCAGCAGCGCATCCTCAAGCAGCAATCGCCGTGGAAAGACTCGTCGTGCTACTGCCTCCACAAGCACTTCGCGTCGCTCTTCCGTCCACTCAGCTTCAACTACGCATGCAGGGCTAAGCAGACCACGCGTTCAAATTTACAGAGGGCCATTTCTGGACGATACATCCACTGAAACGCCCTCTGAGGTGAATCAGCAGGCTGATGAAAACGACGACTTGCTCAATGAAGTCATAATGGCTGTCGACCTGACTTCACGCGGCACGGTAGGCTGCTGTTACTATGTAGCCAGGGAGGAGAAACTGTATTTTATGGAGGACATGCAATTTGGGAACGCGGACGTGGTTGACTCGTGTAAGTATCTCTTTAGCTGGCACGCCGCACTCTTGCTGACCACGATAAGTGAGAGTATACATCGATCCTACAGTCATTCTGGTTTCGAACAAGATCGATGACAAAGTTATTGATCGTTTTGACCCAGAGGCGAAGAGTGGCGGGTCTACCAGCAGCGACAACGACCAGTTTCGCCTTCCGTTTCTGCTCGAAGTGAGACCTCCCAGCGAATTCAGTTACGATTCAGCAAAGGTAAAACTTGTGAGTCTTCGCCTAGGAGAAGACAATGGCACCAGAATCGAATTCAATATTCCAGGAGAGCTTGCCACAGTCGGCCATCCAGGGGAAGAGCATTCGGTAGGCCAACAGGGAGAACTGCTCCGTCTCGCAGGCTGGATCGACTTGGAGAGTCGCTCAACGGTATGATTTCGTTTCCTGTTGTTGTATCCTTGCTGAATCTTAACAGGTGGGTTGTGCTGGGTCGCTCATCTCGTATCTGCAACGCCGACGTGCTGCTGCGTACCTTCCTGGGGATCGTTCAGCAAATCTCATGTTTCGCATCGCGATACTCGAAATGTTCAGTCTTCGCGAGACCATGTTCATAAACACTGATACCCTTCATTCACTGCAGATATTGGGTGCCGAATCGCATCCGCATTCGCACAACAAGGGTCCGACCAAGGCCAGCTCGGGCGAAAAAGAGGGGCTCTCTGTATACGGTCTATTTCATCATCTAGCACGAACACCACAAGGAAGGCTTCTACTGAGACAGCAGTTTCTACGACCCAGCTTAAACATGGATGTCATCAATGAGAGGCTGAATACTGTGGGCGTGTTCACTCGTCCGGACAACGATTTCGCGCTTCAAGCACTCGTACAGAACCTCAAGCATATCGGTAACATGCGTGTCACAATGACCAACCTAAGAAAAGGAGTCAGTGGCTCGACCGGAGGGGCTGGAGGATTTGCCAAGAGCATCTGGACGTCCATCCGAGCCGTATGTACAAGGGTCTGGTGTCATCGGCTTCGCGCAGTGATCTGACTATTCCAGTTTGCGTTCCATGCTCTCAAAATTAAAGACACACTTCAGGATGTACTCGGTGGAGAAAATTTGACCATCAGAAACAAGGTGAGCGCTTGTAATAGACACTCGAGGGAGATGAGTTTCCGCTCAGACTGATGAGCGTCAGCCTAGCCTCGTTACTGATCGATGCAGGTGTTCGAAAAGCTTGAAGGCTACCACTTGGCTCAAATCGGGCGTAAAATCAGTGAAACCATTGACCTGAAGGGATCAGTGGAGCAAGGCCGGACTGTCATCATGCCCGGCATTGACGAAGAGCTGGACCAGATGAAGTTAACTTTAGACAGTCTTGATGATCTCTTGAACCAGGTTGCGAGAAAACTTTCTGAGAAAATGCCCGTTAGTTTACGTAAGTGGGGAGAGGCTACTTACGGTTATGCAATGATTGAATGCTAACTAGATTAGGGGCCACTCTGAATGTGATATACTTTCCTCAAATCGGATTTCTCTGCACGACCCCGATCAATCCAGATACAGGCAACGCAATCTACAGTGGCAGTCTAGACCGTCCCTGGGAGAGGATGTTTGTCACAGAAGAGCAAGTATACTTCAAGAACAGCGAGACAAGAGAGATGGATGACCACTTTGGCGACGTTTATGGTATCATCTCGGATCGCGAGATTGAAATCAGTCATGAAGTAGCTCAGTATCTACTTCAATATGAAGAGCTGCTGATCACCTGTTCCGATATCTGTGGGGAGCTTGACAGTTTGCTTGCCTTGGCCCAGGGTGCAAAGATGTATAAGCTTTCTCGTCCACGTATGACAAACGAAAACATCGTACACGTTGAGGGCGGACGGTAAGTCGAGACTTTTGAAGCATAGGATTACTGCTGACATTGACAGTCATATGCTCCAAGAGCTTTTGGTATCTTCTTTTGTCGCAAATGACACCACACTGAGGGGAGGTGAAGGCCACCAGGGTGCAAACGAAGATCGCCCACATTATGGCATAGGAGAACAGGTGCTCACCAGCTCAGCGCCTTACCACGCATATCCCCACAAAGACGCACCGAGCATACTCATCTTGACTGGCCCTAACTACTCGGGAAAGAGCGTATATCTGAAACAGGTTGCTCTAATAGTCTACATGGCGCATGTCGGGGGCTTTGTACCAGCAGATACTGCAATGATTGGGCTGACGGACAAGATCCTCTCTCGAGTCACAACGCGTGAGTCGGTTTCTCGATTCCAAAGCGCTTTCATGATTGACTTGCAGCAAATCTCGCTTGCTTTGAGCTTAGCCACACACCGAAGTCTCCTCCTCATTGACGAGTTTGGCAAAGGCACTGAGTCAAGTGATGGAATTGGTCTAGCTTGTGCTGTCATGGAACACCTGTTGAGCTTAGGAAGTGAAAGGCCAAAAGTCATTGGAGCTACCCATTTTCATGGTATGGAAGAATCTCCTGCCGCGATATGTTCTAACAAGCCTAGAAATATTTGAAATGGGTTTGCTTCAACCTCGACCTGCACTTGGACTTGGATACATGGAAGTACGCGTGGATACTGAAGCTTCTGAAGTTTGTGATCAAATCACTTACCTATACAAGTAACGCTGGCCATTCAACATGATATCTCAGATGCTAATGTGGCCAGCTTCCGCCAAGGACGAAGTAACTCAAGTTTTGGCACATGGTGAGTGTGTAAATCACTTGCCGCTGTCGATGTTGACAATGAGTTAGCTGCGCCGCCATGAATGGCGTTCCTTCTGAGATTGTGCAACGCGCAGAAAACCTTCTGCTCCTCTCAGCACGAGGCGAAGACCTAGTTGCAGCATGCTGTCAGATGCCAGAAGACGAAATAGCTGAGCTTGAAGAGGCAGTAGGTATAGTCCTTGTATTCAATCGTGCTATCTAAACTCATCCAGGAAAAAATCGCAAGGAACTTTCTCGAGGCGGACATATATCACGATCCAAAGACAACACTGGAGAATGTCCTTGCGGCCTCCATAATCACAGACTCGTAGTGAAAATATTTCCTAGCTACGTTGGAGCCTGATGTTTGAAGATATTGCAGAAAAGGGCGCGCGAATCAGGTATGTATTACGCCACAATATAACGATTCGGAAACATGACAGTCCTTCACATGAGAAGGATGATGGAAGGACCATACCCTAAGATCCGATTTCGGCATAGTTATTGGCATTCTATCGCCTTTCTTACCCTGCATCATTTGTACAATACAGAACACGATCATGTCGCCTTGAATGTATACATCCACATACAGGATTCGACCCAAAAACTACGCCCCTAGCCCCCGCAGCGGAAAGAAGGTAGTAGACCGTTTGCCGTGCCGTCGGTGTTCCTTTGAAACTCGTTCCTGGAACTATCATGGCGCCAAGAAATCGCTCTAAATCCAGTCCACCTTGCGTCATTGGACGGCCACCATGCTCCGAACCGTACGGTATGCACACTACTGTGCATCAAGATTCAGTGGTCATCTAGCACATTTAGCTAGGTTTAAACGAAAGCTCGTTTTATTTCAAGAGGTGGATCAAGCCGAGGAATAAGTTTGCAGTCGAGTCAGGGCGCGCGGGCCCGTATAGGCAGGACGGATCATGCCACGCATTAGATGCAGTTTTGGCCCCAAGGATTTGAAGCTCTACCTCTGTGGCTTTGGCAGTATGCAAGCGGGTTCCTGAATCATTTTGTCGCATGTCAGGAGCTCGAGGGTCGAAAATTGACGAATGTAACGTCACGCTACTTAGCGGCCAAGCCTGGAGTGGGCGGCTATGCGCATGCCGTTCCTAGACTCGATCTTTTATCCACAAGTCGCCCCAATATTTTCTTGACATGCCGCTCCCTGCGCACTCTTTGCCTAGAACGTACGAAGCAGGCCACTGGGCAGGTATTGCACAAGGCCTGATGCGCCTCGGAAGGTCGCTGCGGACAGCACCATAGCCTCAACGACACCAGACTCTCGGTGCTTTCTGCCTTGCCTGACGCGGCTGAGCATAGGTGCTGCCTACATTATAGCCACAATAGAGCCAGCCCATGTACGAGATGACCGCATTGCAACGGCACAACACCAGACACTGGATGTCGCAAGGCCAACAATGGTGGAGCGTATAGGCTGTGTCTGTGAGCAAGAGTGTAGCAGGCAGTGATTCGCACAATCGGCCCGCTCGAACAAAATCTGGTCAAGGCCTGCTGTTCGATCCCTGCACTAGTTATTTGAAGATCCCAGGAATTTCACTGTCTTGGTTAGTCTTCTCGAACAAGGCTCCAAATAGCATTGTGGGATTTTGCTCGTTCCCTGGGTCACGTCCGGTACCCCAACGAGCGCAACGTCTGGTATGACTTGTCCTACTTATCCCTCAGCCCTAGAAACCAGGAGACGTTGCCTGACGTGCTCTTGTGTAGCGGGCACACCGAATGTCTTACCAAGATGGCTCCCAAGTCAGATGCTTGATGCTACGCTGCACCTGCGGTAGAGCTAGCAAGCGCTGTTCTTTTTGTGTAGCAAGTTAAACAAGCTAAGTCAGCACTAGAAATGCCCGCACCCATTGAGCAATGCCATTGAGGACAACTGACTGTGACATGCAGTAGGGGCTGAACCGAAAGTTCTGGTACGGTGCTGCGAAGCCGATGCAGCTATAGAACGCCGAGGCAGCGTACCTAAGCGACAGCCCACTTGGTGTAACCCTCGTGGGTGTGATCTATTCAAATCACCCGGCTATTCTCCTCGCTGCAGTCCCAAGTGGCCGAGCCTCATCATGTCCCGCCAGTATGGCACGGTACAGCCAGCTTGCAGAGTCTTGTCGATCAAACCACATACTCGTTACAGTAAGGCCCCTAGGAACCGGTGTCGACAGCTGCAGACGTGTAACCGTCTGTTGAGGACCACGGACACGATGATGCAACCGTCATCTTTTCCCTCTTCACGACTAGCGATCCTCACGTGTTCGGTTTTGCATCCTTCCTGGGTTGCACTAGACTGAATCGAGCATGCAGATGGCCATGTAAGCCTTCAGCCCCATCCAAAGCACGTCCACCCTTTTTGGCTGCACCAATCCCTGCCCCTGTGTGCTCCCAAGCATCAGCTTGACGCCTATCCTCCCACCCACCAGTCCTGGCCCATGTACGCCTCCTGCACGCTGGCCCCAACTATGATCGTTTCCACTTCCATCCTAGTCCACACTGCAGTTCTTCGTTCCCAACCATCGTTATATATAAAACGACCAGCTACGTGATGACTCTGGATACCCCATCCCCCGGTCATACTGCCATCGACACACAATGCTGCCCCCTTCAATCCAGACTTTTACCCCGCATCAACTACCATTGCAGGAAATGGAAGACATCACTGTCGTGCCCGAGACCACCATGGCGGCTACCAGCTCGAATGGCGATCCGAAGCCCCGGAAGATGAGAGCCTCATGCGACGCTTGCTCCCGTGCCAAAGTACGCTCTGTCCCAAGACCAACAGTCGTCATGCCTCTAACAAGCATAGGTTAAATGTGACAAAGTACGACCGACCTGCCAGCGATGCGGGAACATGAATGTCTGCTGCAATTACTCCCCGTCTATGAGGTATATTCTCTATTCACCTAGCACGAACTTGCGCTTACCGCGCACAGATTGGGTAAACCGCGCAAGCACAGAAACCCAGACGGAACTCTCAAGCGCGAAGTGTCGCCTGCTGGCTCCTATGGACCGCTAGGAGCTAGATTTGATCTCATCCCACGCACCGCCGCCTCTCATACCTATGAGAGTTCGCCGGAGCCAACGGACCCGTTTTACTTTGGCCCCAGCACACCGGAATTTCAATACCAAGATGCCTTTGTCGGCAACAACTTCAGTGGCAGTCGGTCGCCAGCATGCTCTGAAGGTACAGTCTCTCTCGTCGGCGCGTGGTCCAATGACGAGCAAATCATGTTTGGCAACCCGGCGGACATGTTTGTTCAAATGCCACACTACCTCCCGCAACAAACTCCTGTCCACGGGCATATCCGGTCCACCAGCACACAAAGCCAACCAGAGCTGTATGCATCACTCGACTCGCAACACCCCTCCCCAGACTCGCGACCACAGTTGCTCGACATGCAACAAAACATGTATCTGCCCCAAGAAAAGACTGCAGACTCCCCGTCCCCAATGCTATCAGCACCTCTACCCACGCCCCCAGCTTCCAGCAGCCTGCCCACCCACGACTGCACGCTATCCGCCTTCCAGACTCTCAACAGCCTGTACGCACCATCAGGGGCCCTGACACCCGGCGGCTCTCCCACCCTCGAATGCATCCTGTCCACCAACAAAGCCGCCGTCGACACTCTCTACGCGCTACTCAACTGCGACTGCACATCAACGCCCCACTTCTCCTCGACCATCAACCTCGCCATTATGAAGATCCTCTCATGGCACCAAGCCATTGCGCGCGCCCACGATCCACGCGGGCTCTTCTCCCCACATCTCGACACCCACACTGAAGTCTACACTGCACCACCACCAGCACCACCATCACACCACGCCTCTCCCGACACCACCACCAGCAGCGACACCGAATGCGCGCGCCGCACAAACCTCGTTCTCTCGGAACTCTGCAGGATAGAAAAGCTAATCGACAGGTTCGCCGAGCGCTACTGCCAGTACATGACCGGCGGTAGTAATGCAGCCGCGAAGCCAGATAGCGCGAGCGGCGTCCATCTCGCCATGGAAGCGTCGCTCAGAACACGCGTCAGAGACACCTTTCGCGTTACCATGGCTGTGGCACCCGAGAGCGTCAAGAGGCGGTTGGCTGCTGCGTCGAGGACAAGCACTACCAGCACCAGCAGCATGACGGCAGTTACTACAGCAGGGGCGGCGGCCACAATGCAGAGTCGAGTGCGTGTGAATACCGTGTAGACTGTGTTCCATTCGGGTTACTTATGTCGATATGACTATCTCACGCTTTTTTTCTTTTCTCTTTCCCTTTCTCTTCTGTTTCTTTTTTTTCATTTTCTCTTCCATTTCATCTCATTTTCATTCCCACTTTCTCCGCTGAGCAAGCGTCTCCCCCGCTCCTGAGATTCCTTGATACCATAGAATTATTTCCTTTTCCAATTACACACACACACACACACAAAAACGACTCGCTTCACGCCCACGGAGGGGGGGGGGTTTTCCCCTCCACCATTGTAGGCTATCTATCTACTCTACTACATAGCTACATGGCATACAAAAGTACCTAGACATTCTGTATATCCTGCTCGCACAGGCTTGCAGGGGAGTGTAGTACCATTACATACACACGCGAATACATCATGTCTGTATGCACTTTTTCTTTCTCTCTTTCTTTCTTTCTTTCTTTCTTTCTTTCTTTCTTTCTTTCTTTCTTTCTTTCTTTCTTTCTTTGCCCCGTCTTCCCGGTAGCGACGCCATGTTTAGGAGCCGACATGTGCCCTTGTACACATGTACATACGTAGCGTAGCGTAGCGTAGCTATTCTAATCCACATGTCCTGTAGTAATTGCCCTCTCCCTCTCTCCCACGCATAAGCCACATATCCGTGCGTGTGTGTGTGTGTGTGCATCTAAGTACGTAAGTAATTTATTCTTATTTTTTTTTTAGTTTTACCAAGGAATCTGGAACCAAGGCATTTGCCGAAGTACTTAGCGAGATTACGCGCGCTACGTATGCTTTTGCATGTCCAAAAAAAAACTTGCTCAAAGGGGGAGGGGGGGGGGTGTAAAATTCCCACGGTAAATCATGGTATTCCAAAAAAAAAGAAAAAAAAGAATCACCGCCCCTAAGTACTTACAGTAGCTTAGTTTGGTCTTGTTCTTGCTAGCGAGAACCCCCGCAACGAATAACAAAGAGAGCGCCCACACATACATACGTACCCAGATACTGGATGATGTATGTACGGGATCTATCTTTGCATATGTACATATGTAGCCATGTATGTGTGTCAGTATGTGTCACGCAAGCATGCTTCCTTGTGTGCATGTTCGCTATGCATTACCATTTCTGGGCCGTGGGCCGTGGGCCGTTGGTCTTCCGTCTTCCGTCCTTCCCCCCCCCTCTCTTCCCGCGTGCGTGTCTTGGCCAGTGGCCCCCCCCCATCCCCTGTCTTGAGCACCAACCAACACCCATCGTTGGCTTTTGTTTCGCTCGACCATTTTACCTGTTATGTAGGCTCTGTCTCTCCACTTCCCGTCGCCGTTTCCGTGCAACGTGCCACGGCGAGCAGCAAGCCCACGCACACGTATCTGATGGCGATCCTAGTACATGACCCTCCACACCCACACCCACACCCACAGACATGCACCGCTGTAAAAGAGAACTAGGTGCTGACGGCTCTAGCCAGCGCAGTCTCGGATGCGTGTGTAAGGAGTACAGCAATGGCAAAAAAAAAGAATGCTTATGTGATGCACGGCTACAAGACCTCGAGGGAGCACGCTTCCGAGGAAAAAATAAAAAGAACCACTTTTATGTGGCAGCCATTGGGTGCCGGTGTGCTGGGAAAATAAGGCGCCCCGACATGTGTAGGCAGGATGCAGGCAAATTAACAAACACGTAGGCTGGGTGTGCGGCCTGAGATTTGTGATTGTTTTTACCCGGCACCGTGGGCAAGGCTGCTTCGGGTCGGCAGATGGCGTGCTGTGATTGATGAGGTTTGTGAAGTAGTTTTTTTTTTGAGCGGGCGCTTGGGTGGAGGGGCGACTTCCCAAGGTACTAGTCGCCGCATTGGGTCGGAATTGGAAATGGAGCGGGGGGCTAGATTGAGGCTGTTGCTGGACTAAGTGGCCAAGGTGAACGAGCCCCAATGAGGAGTCCTGGTTGTGTAGCCCGTGGTGGGTGTTGCAGCTCGCCTAAACGTAGGGGTTGGTTGTTGGTTGAGGTGATTACGAGTTAGTTGATGGGTCCTAGTCGCCGTAATCGTCAGTCTTTGGCAGCAACTCCAGACTTGTGGGCTAGATGGTGGTCAAGTTACAAATCATTGTAATCACTCAAAGGGACCATGACGGCTTGCAGGAGGGACTTTCTCACCCACCCACACGTCCCCATGCTCGTCCTCCCACGTTGTCATGGTAAGCCCAGAGATTGTGCTTCCCCGCCATCCTTCTCCCACGCCGTGATTCAAGCTTTTGCAGCATGCGCGGGTGGCTCCGCGCCACATGCACATGCTAAACATAGGCGTAAAGATGACCTCGACAGCGTTGGCAAGGGTAGGCGAGGCGTGTGCCAATGGCAGAGGCAGGGCCAGGTGGAAACGGCGGGTTCCAGAGGAGAAGGATTGCAGAGGCGCGGTTCCTTACTGCCTTCCCGAGTGGGATTGGCTGAAAGTGGCTGAGACAGGCGCATCTGATTAGGCCGGCAGGCCATTTGTCCGATATTCCGAGTTGGCATTGGGGGGGGGGGGGCGCCGCACGGGGGGAAGGATGCGAAGTGGGTTGCGTCCATGTGTGTGAAAGAGAAAAGGGTGTGAAAGAGGCGTCAAGGTGATGAGGTTAGACGTGGCGCCGACCGGAGAGCTGCTAGTGGTCGAACCAACGGGTTCACGCACGACGACGCCTATACGGCCCGGTGCGCGCATCTCCACTACGGCCCGATGCCTTTCCTTTTTCGCCCGCCGTCCAGACGTCGTCTTGCCCACCCAGCTGCGTACGTACGTAGGTGAAAAATAAAAATAAAACCCCCCTACGCGCCTCGTGTTCCAGGACCTCGGGTCGACAACAACAACGACGGCTCGATCAATCCCCTCTGCGCTGTCTCGTCGATCCTGGAAACATGCTCATGTCTTCTGACGCAATCGTCTTCGTATCTCGTCTTGACCTTTGCAGCCTCACCTCAGCCCCCACGCTCGCAAGCCCACCTTACTTGACTCGTCCCCCGGCAGTGCCTCTCTTGCCGCCCGTCTGATGCCTTGAATGGAACACGCCCTGCCTAGTCTGGCAGATAGCTTGTGCTGACCTGCCTGGATCGGCTGGGCAAGGCGTCCCGGTCAGGTAGCCATTGGTCGGAATAGAGTACATGCGTAGAAGGCGTACGTATGACGACTGGGATGCCATAGGCCTGGAGCAGATGCAACTGCAGGTGGTACGAGAACATGGCGCGAGACTCGAAAAAGGTCGTTTTGCATACATGGCAGGGTAGGCCATGCTGCTCTGGTGGGGGTCCCTTAGCAGCTTATGGTAGCTTTCGAGAGCCATGCTGCGAGGCTCCAGACAAGCCGGGTTCCCGGCACTCTGGGTGCGCACTATATGCCGGTGATGATATGAGATCCTGTGCGAGTCTGTGCCGTAGAAGCGCGTCTCGCGAACCATGCCTGTTTCATGGCAGCCTCCTATGCCGCGTGGCAAAGTCCTCATGTGTGGGAAACGGGCGGGTCGTCTGACGTGATAAGCCCGTATCTCGTCAAACTTGCTCGCTTTGGTCGTTTCTTGTGCTGTGCAGAGAGTGTGGTACAAGGGTCACCGTACTTTGAGCCATGTGGCTGCCTGTACGCGCGTGGCAGGAAACCCAGACTGGTGGTTGGGCCTGGTAGCAATCGACTAAGCGGGGCGCATGTGTTCCATGGATATTCCGCCTCCATGGTAAGATAGATGAATAGAGTAGTATCCCTAATGCTGCGATTATGTGATGCAAATGCAACCACGTGACTGGGAATCCGCTTTCAGCCATTGCTAGTTTAGTCAGACTTGCGTAAGATGACTTTGTGTAACATTCTCTGCTGAGGTGGAGTGATGGTATTGTCCATGTACTAGGAAGACTGGTGAAGAGTTAGCTAACCTGCATACGAGTGACAAGCTCCAACACCACACGGCCAGTGAATCCAAGACAAAGGCACTCAGTACAGTAAAACGCTAGGTCCAACTCTTAGCCAAGTTTCCCAGAAGCCCAATTCAGCAGAAGATACAATTGTTATTCCGACCGCCTTCTGTTCTAGTGTACTCACATGATGAAGAAGATAAAGACCAGAAGAAAAGTGGATATATATTTCAGCCGTGTCGAAGAAACGCTCCCCTCACTATGATAAAAAGGATAAGTAAGAGGAAAAAAAAAGAGAAGAGAAAGAAGGAGATGCTGCTGCAGACACAGACACACACACCTCTCGGTACATACACACAGCGATGGACCTAGATATCTACCTAGCTAACCTAGCTTCTTCACCCGTCTGCCCGTCGAAACCCCAACCTTACCCAGCAGCAGGAAGGACATCTGTTGCCGCCAACTCTCCATTCGACAGGATGACGCCTTCATCCTCGGGATGCTCCACCGTGCCTGGTCCGTGTTCGATCTGTTTATCTGTGATTTGCTGTGGCCGCGGGACGATTGGACCCGGGATCATGGTGGTAGAGGAAGGAGAAGGAATTCCGGGCGAAACAAGAGTATGAGTATGAGGAGTATGGTGGCGGATGCCGTTTGTCAGTTGTAAGACCCCGTTTGGAGCGTGTTGTTTGCTGGCCTTTTTGCTGTTTTTGTCCACGCCGATACCAAGGTCGCGGATGGCGCGCTTCATGCTATCTAGCCTGGCGCGTTCGACAACAACCATTTTTCTTGCCAACTCCTTGAGTGCTGATCTGCCTGTTGCGACGCGGTTTTCTTGCCAGCTGGCTAGTTCCTGCGCTACGACTTGCTGTGTGTACCGGAGTTCTCGACCTAGATCCTCGAGTTCGACTTTGCTCTTGTCCATCTTCACTTGCGCGTCGCGCTGGACTCGGCTGCGTGCGTCGTCTAGGAGGCCTAGAGGCCAACGGTCTGAGCGTCGTACAGAAAGGTTGTGTCTATCAATGGCTTTCTGGGCATTGGACATGGAGTTTATGATGGTGGAGGGGCGGGAGAGCGCAGTAAGGATGGCGGCTATTGTGCTCGAGATGGCATGCATCGAGTAGTAGAAACCTGCCATTGGGCTTGCTTCGCTTTGTCTCAGAGTGCTTGTGTAGCGCTCCATCGCTTTGAGGTGTGTGGCTGGCAGAAATGTGAGGGAATGGACAGCGTTGTTGAAGATCTTAGCCGCATCATTGTGGTCCGAAGCTGCTGAGCGAACCTTATTCGCACGTCGAAGAACCGATCTTGATGCGTGGTGGAGGGCTCGAATGTTCTCACGCATGTGTTGTACAAAGAGCTCCACTTCCCGTACATCGAGTATAGGGGCATAATCTTCGCGAAGGCGTTCAACGCGCAACTCAGCCTTGCGTGCTGACCGTTCCGCGAGCATGGATGAGTCGATGTCTGGGACAAGGAAGAATTCCCATACCATTTCGTGTGTTGAGAAGGTAGGGTGCCTGAGCAGAATCTTGAGGAATGCATCGAGTCGGAGTTGCATGTCTCGTAGTATCGACCTTGATGGTCTTGAGGGTATAAGGTACGGCGACGCAAGGTTATCTATGACTGGCAGCCATGATGCAGGGTGTTCTTGCGCGAGCCACCTTGCAAGGTTCTCGAAATCGTATGACGAGCGACGACATGTCGTAACAGTGATGGTCTTGTTGTCGTTGGGTGCTCCGGATTTCAACACGAGGCGTACCGTTCCGTCTTCCACAAAGAAGGAACGAACAACAGTTGTAGTTCGCCCATCGGGCCCAGCCTCATTTGATAACAGCACCAGATCATCAATTCGATTTCGAACATCGTCGTCTTTGGCAAGCTCCACAGCCGTAAGGCCACGCCCATCTCTGTACGAGAGATCCACCCTGGGGTCTTGAAAGAGAACTCGCACCATGTCTGTTCTGCCGTATTTACTTGCTACCATGAGTGGTGTGAACTGCCTGTCATTTGTGGCATTGGCATCCGAGTCGCAGCGATACAGCAACTTTACTGCTAGCTGAGGATCGGTAATGATGTGGAGTAGACTGTTTCCCTTGTTGTCAACATGTTCATCGAGATGTAGCGGTTCCCCGTCGTCTTGATAGTAAGTTGCAGCCAAAAGAGCCTTATCTACCATATCATGGTACTCATCGTGGTCGTATGACCTGCACAGAGCAAAAACGGGCGTCTGGCCGTTCTTGTCCTTTAGCTTCCAAGGAAGAAGATGCCCGATGCGATCAATCAACCGGGGCTGATTGAAAAGGTAATGCGCTACACATCTACCCTTTGCATCCGGCTTCGCTAGATAGTCTCGTAATACGTCAGGGTTTGGGCTGTTCTCCAACATGTAGTTGAGAATCGTGTCTGTTGTTTTCGCATGCCCCCCTTGGATTGCTGCACTCAGCAGATTGGTACCCTCGTTGTTGTAGTCTTCGAAAATGTACTGAGGTGTGTAATATTCGGTCAGACTGAGGAGATATTGTAGTGCTCTGTCCTGCTTGTTCTCAATAGCCATCATCAAGACGGACTCGCCATCCGGGCCTTGTGTCATGGTGAGCTTCTCTATTGAGACATCGCCTTCGATGGCGCTGACACGTGAGTCGAGCGTGGTGCGAGATCGATATGACCGCGCTGAGCCACTTGACATGCTTCTTGTGTCCATGGAGACTGTCTTCTTCATCTTTGGTCTACCCGGTAGTGGTGGCGGTGTCTGGGCCCGCTGAAAGGGGAAAATGTGCGCTAAGGGCCCGTCTTCACGTGTACTGTTGTCGCGAGTTGAACCTTCACGTCCTATCCGTGGCTCGTCGTCCCCGTTCATGGTAGTTCCTCCCAGCGAATGTAGATCCGAAAGGCTTGCTGCAAACCTAACTGGGCGATGTCTCGGCGGCGTCGTGTCGCTCTGGTCCGAAAAGCTGTCCGATTCTGGGTGGAAAGACTTGTCAGGCTCCAAGATACCCTGCATTGTCTCCAAATCGCCAGTCTTGGTTGCGTGCCACAATGCTTTGTTTCGTCGGCTCGCTCTCCGTAAGCCTCCCGAATCTGTCCTCAGATACGAGAGCACAGCTTCAAAAGTGCTCAGCGCGTAGCCCATCTCGCCACTCTCGACATCATCGATGAAGATGAAGTGGCGCATGTAGGACAACCGTGCCTGCAGATGCCGCACAGGCGCCCGAATAACTACAATAAGTAGTAGAGAGACCAGTGTGTCTGCATTGATGGTAAGAAGGGGGTCCTGTTTCTCTGACAGCGGCGCTCCATTCAGCATGGTCCTTTCTCGAGACTCGTCCGGCATGGTAATGTGTTTCTGCACCGCGAGCAATATTTCGAGCATCTCTTGCGGGCTCCCTGCGACTCCCATCTTCTTGAACATTTCGACGGCTTTTGAAATGCGTATGGCCAGTTCTTGCTTCCCTTTGCGACCGTGTCCGATGTCGATGCCAACCTGCGATATGTCGATATCCATCATTTGCCGTGTCCGTCGCTCCAGATCCGCATCCTCAAACTGCCGTATGTCTCGTACCCGCGGAAACAAAATGGTATGGTGTACCTGCTCAGCAATGTAGCGCTCAATCATGCGCTCGACAATTGGCCCTGTCAGATCCGTTGTCGCGCCTAGCAGTGACAGCTGTTGCTTGTCCACCATCTGGAAGAGGTCGATGGCTGCCGTGACGGCAGTCTCGAGCGATCTGCGCATCTGATCCTCCTCGTCGCTGATTTCGAGATTCGAAATGAAGCCACTGGCAGCATATGACAGATTGCTACGCAGCGATAGTGGCGCCGTGTCTGCCGAGGATACCGACCCGCGTCTCCTTGAGCTCATGGACGACCGTCGTGACCTTTGTGAGGGTGTCGCCGGTAGCGGCTTCTGCAGCTCGTTGCTAAACTCCTTGAACAGCCGCTCCAAGCCTGGCTGCATCTGGCGCGCAATCATGGGGAAATGGTTCAAGAGATCGCTAAAGGACCGGACCTCCTTCTTCCGCGGCATGGACGAGCTGGCGCCCGCAGACGAGCTCGCCATATCCGACGCCTCGAGTCTTGCATCCTGCTTGGGCCCGAGTGTAGCCGGTATGATGGGGTTCGGGTCGTAGGTCCCTATGAGGGGACGCGATATAAAGTAGACGAGCCAGGGCTGCGCATCAAACGAATCGGGGTAGAAGATGGTGTCGTTCAGGAGCTGGGCTTGGTTGAGTGTCTTGAAGCCTATGTGTCCGTCAGCGCCCACAGAAGCCATGCCTACTCGTCGCATGCATGCTCACGCACCCTTGTTGCTGTAGACAAAGGCATCTTTGACAATCACCGTCCGGCCGTTTGCCGTCGTGTACTGCTTTGCCTTGCCCCGCGCCTCTCTGAAGCTGCCTGTATCCCTGGGGAGATTGTTGGGCCCTGCGCCGCCTGGTATGCGCAAGACATGGCTTGCAAGGAAATCTTCGGAGCCGCTGAGATCGACGTACGAGGTGTTTGATTCTTTGTCGCGCGATGTCAGCAGAACCTCTGTCGTCGGGACCAAGAGGACCTGGTTTGTACAGCGTTAGCGGCGCCTGCGGTTGCTCCCTAAAAAGAAGCTGGGGAAAAAGAGGGCGTACGTGGTGCTGCGCTGGCTGGCACTGGCTGGGGAGTGCGCTACGGAAGAAGGCCCGTAGGAAGGGGTTTAACACGGGAGGCATTCAATCGACATTAACGGGTCTCTGGGGGAGGTCCGGCGTGCGCGTAGCATGTGTCCAGGGGTCTTGTATCTGGCGCGATCTGGTGGGTCTGCCGCTATGAATCTGCCGTCTTCTGGAATAGGAGCCTAATGCGCAAAGGTGCGGAATGCGGATGACGGTTGTGCCGGCGGTGGGCTCGGTCGGGGGCGTGTTTTGCTGTGCGCGGAGAGGCGGGCTGAGGGCTGTTCTCTGGGGTCAGTCGACGAGGCGGGCGGATAATTCACGGCAAAGGAGTCGCAAGCAATTGCGTCGAGAGCTGGCACCAACGACACCTCCATTAGCTTGTGAAGGTGAAGGCGCTGCTAGGCCCGTTGTCGCCTAGCGGGGAACGCGACTCTTTCGTCATCGCTCCCGCCCTCGACCCAGCTTTGCATTGCTTTCACCATCACTATCACGACGCCACCTTGCCGCCCATCTTGACGCTTTTCCTGCTGCCAGAGGCCACGCCTGCTGCCCATCGCATTACTCACCCCCTGCCCAAGGTATCCAGCCCGACGACGCCTTTCGTCGACGCGGCCACACAAAGACCCCGCCCAATGGTTACATCCCAACACGCCACGCTGCAGAGCATGGTGGTGCCAACCCCCCTCGCCCAGTCGTCATCGAAAAGAAACCATGTCTACAATAGGTGGTTTCATTTAAAGCGGGTGATCAACGTCGCCTAGAGTTTGTGCTCTCAGCTGTCACGCCATCTGCACGCCATCGTCCACTGGCACATCGATATCGGTCGTGTTTGCCCAGACAACGTGATACTCCAAGAACGTCTCCAAAGCACTGTTTGAACCTCCTGATACAGCCCAGCTTCCTACCAGACGCTATAGCAAAAAAAAACAAATCCAACCGAGTTCAGCTCTTCTTACAAAGCTTCGTCCCATAATCCATCACACTCCAGCTCTCCGTTCCCGGCGTCGTCTCGGTGAAAAACACACCTTCAGGATCCCACTTCTGGCGCAACTTCAACAGCCGCGGGTAGTTGGCACCCCAGTACGCCTGTTGCCAGTCGGGTTCGTTGAGGTCGCCCTCGTTGACATAGCTGGCGCCATTTGGCGACACATCTCGCAGCTTCTGGCCCACAACATGCGTGTTGAAGTTCTCGCGCTCCTTCTTGACTTCCCATGACTCGGTGCCCGTCATGAGCACGTTGGTAATGACGAAGCTGCTAGCGTTGCGCCACGCTGGGTGAATGGCGTTGTCTACCTTGGGGTAGGCACGCCCTGGGTTGACAATGTGGCCGACGTCGAAGCCAAGCTGAGTGGGCTCGGGCATGGCGGTAAACATGAGCGCATCGGCAATGGCGTCACCATGGTTGGCAATGTCGCTTTGTGTGAAGAGACGACCTCCAACGATCGACTGCTGGTTCGGAGGCTCGTCCTCGAACATGTCAAAGTAGAATTCGAAAAATGTCGGGAATGCCTTGGTATGTGTATCGTAAGGTACCTTGGCTGCATCCAACTGCTCATAAAGCGGTGCCATGACCTCAGCCAGTTGCTTTTCATTCATGTTGGGGCCCACAAAGGGAGCAATGTGGAGACGGCCAGGACCAGCTGCAAGCCATACAGTCAGTATACGGAACCCATAGCCTCGTTAGATAGCAGACTTACGCCCAATTTCAAAGTACACAAACATATGATGGTCGCTGTAATGATTGGCCAGGTTATGGAAAATACGAACGCCCTTGGCAAACAGCTCCGTGTCGTTGGTATGCGTAGAATTGATATTCAGAATCGTCCCCGCAGTCGGTATCTCAGGAAAGGTCTTGACAGTGATACTGACGACGACAGCAAAGGAACTAGGACCGCCGCCCTTGAGCGCCCAAAAAAGATCCGGGTTCTCCTTTGCATTGGCAGTCACGTAGTTGCCCTGCGCAGTAATGGCTTCGAACGAGAGCACGTTGTCGGCGCCCATGCCGTACAAGCCTGTCAGCGGGCCATGGCCGCCGCCTTGGATGTAGCCGCCAGCCCAGCCAACCGTCTATGTTCACGTCAGTATGAGAAAAGAGGAATTTAGCAGGCATCCGAAGACATACTGGACACTCTCCCCCAACAATCACCACCTTGGGGCTCTGATTGAAGCACTGGCGGTACAACTCACGGCCTTGCACGCCCGCCCCCACAACCGCCGCACTGCCCGTCCAGTCTCCCGGGCCCGTGTACTTTTTCAGGAACTTGACGTCCTTGAAGCTGTGCGTGTTGATAATGAGGGCGCCGAAGCCCGTCGATCGACCCCTTTCCGTGTTGTTAGCATCGCCTACTTTCCCGCCAAACTATGTTTTGCACTTGCGTACATGAAATCGTGCCCGGTATTCCGGATAATCAAGCGCAGATTGCGGTCGCGTGCGAAATCCACGCCGGCTTTGATCTGCGATTTTGTCGTGGCCAGAATGACGTAGCGTCCGTAGAAGCCTCGCGTACAGGTGCCGGAAGGGTCGCTGGTGGGCATGCAAGTGTTGTTCGTCTTGAAGGGCCACAGCTCGCCAATGGGGTGGTCGGTCCTTGTGCGGCTGTCAGTATGGGGAGGTATCGGGAGAATGGAGTCGGTGGGACTGACATCCATTGTTCGCTGCCCCAGTTGGCCTGGGTATCTGCGCACTTTGCGGCATCGTAGACGTTGGTCTCGTTGCCCAGGCTGTTGTAGCAGACGGCGCCTGGGGGGAGAGCGACTTGCAGCGCCCCCGATACGGTTTTATTTAGCTTTGCCCAGTCGCTAGTGGTAGGCCAGCAGGAATTGTCCGAGTAGCATTTGCCTTTTAGTTCGACATTAGCATGTGCATGTGCGTTTCAGCGAGATTGAAATGCACTTACACTGGTATCTGGCACCATCTACATTCTTGACTTCGCCAATCCATTTGGCGCCCAAGACACCGTTGGCTGCCAGAAGCAAAGACGCGACGACTGAGAAGCGACCCATCTTGGAACTGATGCTGATCGATCTCGCCCACGGCATCTCCGGGTCTGCTATCTATTTATTTCAGACCTTGCCACTGAGCCGCATACTGTTGCTAGCCTAAGGTCTAGCACCTCTTGGCCTCATGCCTACCGAGTATACACCCATATTGTAGCTCCTGCATTGCTCCCAGACCCCATTGCTGCACTGTCTCATGGGCCTATAATTGAACCAGTAGTACACTGAGTCGCCCCGCTGGGCTATACACCGGTTGCTGCTTCGTACATGCTACCGAGAGTGCCCAGGAAGCTAGCATTGAACGCCACAGGCCCCCCGGATATGCGTCTGCATTGAGCGGTTTGTTAGTGCCAGACCGTCCCTTCGGTTGCAGCCGCTGTGATCTGTCAGATGGGGTTCCTTGCCTGTTGGACCCCTATTCACCCGGCTAATGTAAAAATATGTGATTAGTCGGCAAGCAAGCGACGCGGACGGGCGTTCGATAAACTTCCCGGTCCGCCATGGTCGAGACGTCCTAGGAATATTCGCATCTCATTTGAGCCGCCCAGTCAAACCCATGGTATTGGGAAACCTGCCTAGCGAGAGGCTATAGACCGCTCTTATCCGTATGTAGATGAGTCTTCCGCGTCTAAACAAACCAGCATTCTGGGGGCCGTGTAGGACCTGAACAGCCGGTCAGTGTAGAAGCGGGGCGAGAAATCCTGCACACGATATTACTGTACATATTGCTCGACGCCGAGCAAGCTTTCCAATCCAGCTCTTGCTTAGCGGCAGAATTCGCCCTTTGGTTGTTGAGGACTTGTAATCAAATAAGCGCGTATATGCAGAGACCCGCCCGTGGACCTACAGCCGACCTTGTCTCGATGGTCGCCGCCGCCAGGGGCCAGACTGTAAGTAGTAGGTCCATAGATCTGCAGTCGGAGGCTATTGGCCCATACAGCGTCAGGGTATGCAGGTAGTCTTGGTTGAGGGAACTGAGTCAAGAAGGCGGCTTGACAGAATACGCCGGCGTATGTAGAGGCGAGTCAAACGAAGCCACATAGGTAGAAAAAAGCTACCCACAATTTGATTTCGAGTCAGCAATTCCGCTGCGCACAGACTTCTACCGGAACATTCCCCATGATCCATCCGCTAATCCACCTGGACGACATGGTGCAGGGTTTCAGCGGCGCGCTTCCCGAGACCCGTGGCCCAGCCACCGTGTATGCGCTGCGCATTGAATGCTGATGCCTCGCTCATGGACATTTGAATATGTAAAGCCTGTCGGTAGTTGCCTCGGGCATACTAAGGGATACTAGTAATCAGTGGATGCAAGAGGGCTATGTCGATCAGTAGCCCGGTGTTATAGTTCCGACATGGCTCACATCTGTGCCGTCCTTCCAAGGCCGTACTATGACATAGTTTTACGCCACTTGAAAAATACCTGTGCTGCTCTCATGCTATGCGTACGATATCTGCCAGTCACAGCAAGTATTAACGGATCGAGGCATGCTTGTGTGGATTGATGCACTTGAGTGTTGCATGACGCATGACGAACGACATGAACGATCTGACTTTTTGCTGCTTAATTATCTATACGCAGTTCTCTGCTCAAGATGTAACCAAAATTTACTCAATATAAAATCTCTCGAGACAGGCGGTCTTTGACGCTGATGCTGGTATCGCAAGACAATATATCCAGATCTGGGAAATCAATCTGAAGCTGTTTGCGCGTGACTCGTAGAGCGGTGATGCGAAGAGCCCCATTCTTGTCTTCGGTGACTTGCTTTACGAAACACTGCTGTCGTACACGCTCGACCTGGCTAACCTGGAGAAGAGACTGGCCCTGGTCGGGGTCCATATCGAACATGTCAAGCATTTCATCATCCACTGTTTCCGTAAAACGGCCCCAAACAAGCACCTTCAAATGAGGGCACGAAGTATGCATCGATTGGAAGAAAATGTTAGCGAATGTCGAGGTTTGTTCCCAAGGATCCCGCTCGCTCGGCTCAGCATGGGAAAGCCTGACGCGATCCTGGTAGAGATGCACGATTCTCAGATTTTTGAGCTTTCTAATAGACTCCTAGCACATGTCGTCAGTTCCCTCGTCACGCCAAGAAGATATAAATGCTGCTCACCAAGTGTCCAAGGACGTGTGTATGTATTTCTGCAGCGTTAGTATAGTAGTGGCCTTCGTGTTCCGGGACCCGCAGCCCAAGCTGCTCTAGAGCGCCAAAATCGTTACATATTGCGTCCAATTCTGACTTGGAAGGGAACTGCACACTGCGCTTTATTGTAGACATCATATCAAGAAGCGAGAGGGTCTTCAGATTGCGACGTAGTGGCCAGAGATATGGAGTAGTGTCGGCGCCGACGTTCAATAGATCTTCGTCACCGATCACTACAGGCTCCAGGGACATGGCTGCAAGCGAGAAAATATGAAGCGATAGGTGCCGAAGGTCCTTATTCCGGACAAACATATCCCGTAGAATATCACTGTCTTCCTTGCGGAGAAGGCCGTCGAAGAACTCCCAGTCCCTGTGGAATGTGTGCCTCGAGTCTCTCGAATGAAGGTCAAAATGCTTCAGGTTCCTTAGATCAGGTGAGCTGGCGAGATGGTCTTTCCAGCTCCAGCAGTTTACATCAAAGTCGTACAGGGCGAGTTTGGTCAACCGGGACAGGTCGAACAGGTAAGGCAGATTGTGATAGAGTTTCTCGGGTAGAATGCCATCAAGCGTAAGTTGGTGGGTCGCGATCCTTTTGGCTGGTAAGTTCTCTTCGTACCCATTTTCACCCCACCAACTGGACGCTATTTCATCCACTCCGATTTTGAAAATGAGGGACAGCGACTCCAATGGAGGTAATGACTGGGCGAGCTTTATCAAGCCGTCAGTTGCTTGGTGGCGATGAAGAATTCCGGCTGTCAAGCGCCGGATGCTTGGGGTTATGAGCTGTTGGAAGTCTCCACGGGTAACTTGGGCATTGACGAGGGATTTCTGTTGAGACTCCAGAAGGCTCATGACAGATGGGCCTAGCTCAAGTCCGGAGATATGGCTACGAGTCTCGATTAGCTCAATAATGCAATCGATATCTCTCCAGCGGTGTAAAGAGAAACCAAGGAACGTGAGGGAAGGGGCTCACCGGAATGTGACCAACGTGTTTGGAGGGAACGATCGCAATATCCTCAATATTGTGGAATCTTTCCTGCCAATGTGACGTGATCTTGGCCAGCTCAGGTCGAAATTCATCACAAAATCAGGAACGTCAAGCAGACTTAGGCTGTGTGCATACTTGAGGTGCTTAGATGCGCCAGCGTCCAGGCTTCTACAAAACATTGGAAGCTCATCGTTCCAAGTGCAAGTATCAAGTACAATGTTCCTGTACAAGCTTTTGGTCGCAAGAGAGTTACATGTCTTGGATGTTAAACAGAGTGCCAGGAGATCAGGGTAGAGGTGAATCTAGATTGTGGATGTTAGTATGATATCCACGGCTATCACGCCAGTAGCCGGATGCTGCTGGCCAGAGCGGGGTATTTACATTATCCAACACCATCAACAGGATATCTGTAGGAAGATTCTCCAAGAGGCTCGGAGCGTCGGGTTCAGCCATGACTTGAGACGGAAGATGGGTGCAAGTTGCCGAGGGCCACCGGAGATGGGGAGAGTGGTAAAAGTAGTAGGTTTGTGTATGGTATGATGTATGACGTATATGTAAGTGCAGCGTACGTGTGTGCAGGGGCCATGGGTCGGTCTTGGCTGGATGTGCCCGGCAACTCCACTATGCATTCAAGCTATTGGGGGGCTGGGGTGGCTGTCGTGAATCATACACCCTGCCTGAACATTAATACATTCAATATGTGCCACTTAAACAGGCAATCAAACGAAACGTCACAGACTGAATCAACGGTGGCTTGAGCATTTGATGCCCAGACTATTGGCACTGGGCACGAGTTCTATGTACGTCGAGGAACCCACCCATACGTAGTGTCATTAAATTAATACGAATACTAAGTAACTAAACACACTCGACCTACTGCGCGTTCGGCCTAAACGCTGGCATGCCGTTCTTCTTTCCCCAACCCCGGACGGTTCTGTTCATATCTGGTGCTATAAACCACCAAGCAATGACCGATACTAGTGCCCCTATCGCATCAATGAGCCAGTTGTTCTTCTCGCTGCCAGACAAGCTACCCCAGCGCATCAAGTGCACAAGCCAATTGGTTGGTGTCATAAAGTGACCTTTATCTAGGCCGTCGAGACAGGATTGTGCTGCCTCGAGCTCTGTCTGCTTTGGGTCTGCAGATTCCAACTCCATGCTAACGGGGTGCTTTGTCTTGTTCTCCTTCTCAAAGCCTGGGGACAGGATGCTGCCTGGGAACACGATGTGGATGTTGACATCGAACGGGGCGGGTGTGAAGTCTGCCTTGACATTGGAGTGACGAGCCGCGTTGTACAGCTGGACTTCTGAGCGCAGGCCATCAGCGAGCGAGCGGAGGGCGGCTTTGGCGGGAGAGTAGGGCGAATAGCCGGCAATATTGACAAATGCAAGCGCAGACGATGTCATGATGAATTTTCTGGGTGATTCAGGAGAGGTAGGTTTATCGCGTGTGTGGTAGGGGACTTCGGGATATAGCCAGGCCTGCAGCGCCTTCTGGGCCATGTATGCAGTCGCAAAGTAGTTCAAGTCCATCTGTTGCCTCAGCGTCTCGGTGCTGGTTTCGACGAACAGGCCAGGCGTCGAGGATCCGGCCACACACCACACAATCTCGGGCATGCGGCCATGGTTCCAGGCGGTTGCTTCGCGAAGAATGCGGGCGTTCTCCGCCTCCGACGTCACATCGGCTGCGATGTAGGTGAAGCGCTGGTCGGCGGGTTCCTTTGCACACTTTTTGGCGCGCTGAACAGTGGCCTTGAGATTCTTTTCCGTGCGGGCAACGAGCACGAGATTGGCACCGCGCGCTGCGAGCAGACATGCAATCTCGCCGCCCATGCCCTGCGACGAGCCCGTAAGGATGACAGTCTGCGGAAGGTTAGCACCACGCGTCGCAGAAAGCGCATAGCCCAGGTGGGCCTACCTTGCCATCGACCGGAAAGTGGCTACGTCCTCCAAAGCTAAAGACCATGATACCAGTTGTCCAGAGTATGGCGAGAACCAAGATGACAGCCCCAAGGGCGAGCGAAAGAAGCATGAGCATGAGCGGAGTTAAATTTTCAGCTATGCCGGACCTGCCAGAGGGAGGGATCATGTGGCGTCAGACTGCCCTCACTCATCAGTAATCAAAAGGCCCGGCAGCCAATGCAAAGATGTCACATACCTGGGAGGTGATAGGAGTTCCGCAAGCGGGCGGGCCATTGCATATATGTATGGCTAGTAGGAATTGGGTTGGGGCCGGGCCCTGCAGGTACAACGGTGCATAGTAAGCTCATCTAACGTGGGGGTGAGTGGGCCGGGCCCGATGAATGCCCGCGGCCAAGCCAAGACCACCGAAAAAAAAAGTTGGCGCCGCGACCACCTGCGACGACGACGACCGCCCATCAAACACCAGCAGCAGCGCAGTCATGGCCAAGAAGAGAAAGGCGGCGGGTGCGGGCGCGCCCAAAGCGCCGGTCCAAGAGGACTCGCGCATGAGGATTCATACGTACGAAGATGTCGCCGACTCCGAGGACGAGTTTCACATGAACCGCGACAAGGTGTTGCTGGACGAGGGCCCCGTGGCCAAGAAGATGCGGAAGTACCGGGAAGAGGGTTAGTTTCACGGACGCAAAACGCTTTGTTTGCGCGCATTCGGCTGACGCTATGTCTAGACAAATTCCTGCAACCTTCAGATGAGGAAATCCTCGACGCTGGCAGCAGCGACGACGACGACGACAACGAGGACGAAGACCTTGACGACGCCAGCGATGTCTCCCAAGACGAAACCCCCGGACTGCGCAAGCCCGCCGAGGAGGACGACGAGCAAGAGCTTGGAGCGTGGGGGGCCTCGAAAAAAGATTACTATGATGCTGACGCCATCGAGACGGAGCAGGATGCCTTGGACGAAGAGGCAGAGGCGCGGCGCATCCAGAAGAAACAGCTGCAGGCCATGACTGAGGCCGACTTTGGCTTCGACGAAGACGAGTGGCTCGGCGAAGACAGCCAGAAGGATGCTGCAGGCAGCGCTGTGGTCACCGAAGTCTTGCCCCAGCTCCAGATTACTGACGCCATGTCGGATGAGGACAAGATGAAGATCATGCGAACGCGGTATCCCGAATTTGAGCACATCTCCAAGGAATACTTGCGACTACAGCCGCTGCACGAGGAACTGGCCGCTGCCGCCAATGCTGCCCAGAGGATGCTGAAGGCGCAGACGGAGCACAAGGACAGGCCCGTTCCCACGCCCATGGTCATCACAAAGTATCGGGCATGTGCCGCCTACCTTGCTGCAATGGCCATGTACTTTGCCATTCTTGGCTCCACGGCTACGGACGATTCATCTCAGGCCGTCGCCATGGACCCTGCCCAGCTACACGAGCACCCCGTGATGGAAAGTTTGCTCAAGTGTCAGGAGATGTGGACGCGTGTAGAGGGCCTACCAATTGCTGATCCCATGGTCGAGGCTGAAAATGGTGATAACGTTTCGGAGCACGAGGCTAGTCCCGCCGAGATCGACGCAGCCGATTTGGCTGTCAAGAAACCTACGAAGCAGAAGAAGACCAAGGCGCAAAGAGCGACGGAGTTGGCACAGGCAGAAGCAGCAGCACGGCGTGCTGCGAAACTGGCCAAGGCTGAGCAGGATCTTGCATCGCTCGACACGCTCACAGATAGGGCCGCGCTGAAAAAAGCGGCACGGAAGAAGAAGGTTGCTGATCCCAAGCTCAACCTGCTCAATGCAGATGACTCAGATTTTGGCGAAGAGACGTCTCTCACAGCTCACGAAGCTGCTGAGAAGGCCAAGAAGAAACGATCACTGCGCTTCTACACATCGCAAATTGCTCAAAAGGCCAACAAACGCGATGCTGCTGGCAAGGATTATGGCGGTGATGCCGATATTCCACACCGCGAGCGCCTAAAAGATCGACAAGCCCGTCTTCAGGCTGAAGCTGAGAAGCGCGGTCAGCAAAAGGACGCCGGTCCAGGCGTAGCTCTCGGCGATGATGACGGCGCATCCTCTGCTGATGAGGCGCCAGCCAACAACGGCGACGACTTCGAGGACGAAGACGGCTACTACGACATGGTTGCTGCTCGCTCCAACGACAAGAAGCAAGCGAAACTCGAGCGCGCAGAAGCATATGCCCTGGCCAAACAACAAGGTGCCCAAGTCATTGAAGAAGAAATCATCGGCGACGATGGCCGTCGTCAAATCTCTTACCAAATCCAGAAGAATAAGGTATGTTATTCCACCCCCAGCTTCCTTTGCTTATGCACCTGAATCGCACAACGCAGATACTAATATCAATCCACAGGGATTAACACCACACCGCAAGAAGAGCGTAAGGAACCCCAGAGTAAAGAAGAAGGAAAAGTACAAGGAGAAGCAAAAGAAGCTCAAGAGCATGAAGCAAGTCTATGACAAGAGCGCTGCAGCCAAGGGAAGCGCTAGCTACGGTGGTGAACTGACGGGTATCAAGAGCGGGCTGGTTAGGAGTAGAAAGTTATAGACGGGAACAAAAGGCCCGAGTCTTGTCTTTTTTTTTCTTGCATACGACCAAAATACCATTTTTTATTCCCCGCACTGTACATAATCAAGGCTGTTGGGGGAAGCAGCACAAAAGCGAGAGAAACGGATCACGATGTCCATGCCACAACGCGTTATACTTGTCTTCTTCATCATCACCAAATCCCATCACAAGACCAATTCAAAAGCAATCCTGTAACCAGAAACATTATTCATTCATGGAAGGGCAAGGCCAGACAAAAAAAATCTCATTGAAATCTTCTCTGCACATACCCCCCCCCCTAGTTTTTCTTTCTCTCATTTTTTAAAACGCCCTGCAGAATGCTACATACGTATGTGTCGATAGACTCATGAACCCCGCCATCGAACAAAAATCAGGTGAAGAAAAAAAAACAACTGGTATAAAGTGATCTACTAGCACCACAACCTCAACGTGCCATCCGCACCGGCCGAGACGCACCACGGTTCCCTTGGATGCCAGTCCAGGGCCATGACACCCAGCCTGCTCTTGACCTTGTGGCCCTTGAGGACCTTGAGGGGCACAATGGTGGCATTTTCCATGAGATCGCCGACGACGTTGCCGTGGAAGATCTGGATGGTGCCGTCATCCGAGGTATCCGCGAAAAGGGGGAGGCCGCCCTGGTGAAAGCGGACGGAGCGCACGGCCTCCTTGTGGAAGCGCATAGTCTTGTAGGGCTTGTTGGAGAGATCCATGTCCATCCAGAGGACGCGCTTGTCGTAGCTGCTCACAATGAGGTTGTCGCCGCCGGGATGCACGTCAATGGCTGAGATCCATTTGGCGCCGGGCTGCAGGATCTTGACGAGCTCCTGCTTGGCGAGGTCGTAGCTGCGGATCGTGTTGCGGGTGGCGACGAAGAAGATTGCTTTCGAGGGGTGGAACTGCGCCGTTTGCGCGATGCCCTTGAGGCGCCGGAAGGGGAGCTGCGTGAGGTGCTTGGATACGGTGTGAATGGCGATGGCGGTGCTCTGGCCGCGCGGGGACACGGTGGCGAAGTAGTCGCCTTTGCGGTGCCAATTGAGGACCTTGACGGCAGAACGCACTTCAACTTGTACGAGGACGCCCTTGTTTTCCAGACGCGAGCCCGGTCGACTCCATTTGCCTGGAGGCTGCTTGGGGACCTCGCCCTTGGGCGTAGTGGAGCCTTTGGAGGCGGCGTAACCCCAACCTGCGTCGAGAACCTCGCGGCTGGCTTGTTCGACGTCGGGCGAGAGAAGAGAAAAGGGCACGATCAAGAAGACGTTCTCGCCACAGGCAGCGGCAACCACAGATGCGTCCTTGGTGGGCCTCCACTGAACAGCATCTACAGCTTCCTCGTCGGACAACTTGGCATTCCATACTTGGCGGCCAGTCAGGACCTCCCAGATTCTCACGTAGCCGTCATCGCCTCCGCTGGCAACAAAAATGCCGTTGGGGTCAATTGAGACGCAGCGCACTCGTCCTTCCTGACCGCGGAATATCGCAGCACAGGTTGTGGGGAAAGGCTTCAGCTCATCTGGGTTTGGCAGCTTAGGCAAGAGAGATTCAGGGTCGATGTTGAGTCGGTTTCTTCGTATACGAGGAGCCAGATATAGGTCCAGACTTCGCTCGAATCGTTCCTTGACAAATCTCTCGTAGCCAGGAACCTTGCGCAGCGCCTCGTAGTTCTTGGGTAGAAAGTCTCTCTCCCGCTCCTCCTCGTCTGCCTCCAACCACGCCTGCTCCTCAGCCTTGTCGGGTAGATACTCGGGTGGTGGGTGGTAGCTGGCTTCGTAGCCTGGCGGTGGCAGCTTGGGGGCGGGGATGTGCATCGTGTTGTCCGGCCGTGGCTTTTCGTCGGCCCATACATCAAAGTTGAAGTCATCCTGCTCTTCCTCCTGTTCTTGCGGGGGCCTGTAGGGCTTGATGCGGCCTTCCTTGATAGCCTTGACAAGCTTCATGACACGCTTCGCTTCGTGCTTGGAGGGGATGAATCGCCGCTTGGGCTCCGGCGCAGCGCTCAGCGGCATAATTTCTTGCTTGCCAGAGAAGTAGGCAACCATCTCTGGGTATGGGTCGTAGCCGTCCTCGACCACTTCGTTCCTTGTGAGCCTCTTGAGCACGTCCAGCTCCTCATCGGACAGGTTCAGCGGCTTTCCTGTCTGAGGATCCGTCAGACCTGTCCAGCCCTTGGGTATGTCGATGCTGTCCAAGAGCGCATCCAGAGCCTCGCCCTTGGCTGGGCGCATAATCTTCTTTCCGTTGATGTCATAGCCAATGTGTGGGTATTCGTCGTAGTACTTGAGATCAATGTTTCCGATTGTGTTGGTGGCCTCTGCATCAGAATCGTCCGACTCGTAGATTGGATCAATCTCTTTGTACAGGTAGCGCGTGTTGCCGTGCGCATCGGTGGTTACGGTGTAGTTGGGCTTGAGGTTCTCGTCGTCATCTAGCTCCGCATTTGCGCCAGCGTCGAGGTCCATGTCATGGGCCGATGTGACTTTCTTCTTGCGCAAGGGACCGTCGGAGGTGTTGAGGTTGCGCATTTCCTCGCGGATTTGCTCTGCGTCGCTATCTTCCTCTTCCTCTCCCTCTTCGTCCTCTTCATCCTCGTCCGAAAGCCCTTCAATTATGCTGCTGGCATCTGTCTCGACATCTTCTTCTTCTCCATCTTGGCTGTCGTCCGAGTCGTCTTCGGAATGCGACAAGATGCCGTCCAGCAGCCCGTCGGCCAATTCGCCCTCTGAATCGCTGGGCTCAGGCGCCGGGCGCGTGACTACTTTTCTCTTGCGCGGATTTACAGACATGTTGGGGGGGAAGATGAGTTTTGCGTTCACTCTGGCCGTGGATGGTCGCAACCTCCCAAAAATTATCCCTAGCGCCCCAAGATTTCGGTTTTAGCGCGTCGCACGTGCCAAGCCACCATCAGCCAAGCCCGGCCGGGCCCAGGAATTCCACATGTTTCTGGGGGGTCGCAAACATCCCCATACACCTCCAGTCGACGCAATCGCACCCGCATCGCCCTCGTGTTGCTGCCTGAGGACGCTGGACTGCGCTGATTGCACACAGTAATACCACCGAATTTCCAAGATGGCGACGCGCCACGCTGATTCCTCAAGGTACGATGACCGGGATCGTCGTCGCTACAGCCCGCGCCGCGACAGATCCAGAGATAGAGACAGAGACAGAGACCGACGGGGAGACCGCTATGGGGGAGAGAGCCGCTTCAGAGATGACCGTGACCGCCGAGACCGTCGCGATCGCGACCGTGACCGCGACCGCGAGCCCTACTACCGCCGCTCGCGCTCTCCTCCTCGCCGCCGGGATCGATCCAGAGACCGCGGAGACCGCTACACCAGACGAGACCGCGACGATGATAGGGACAGGCGTCGCCGCTCCACCTCACGCCGACCTGGATCGCGCTCGTCAATCACCCCTGCGCCAGACAGTCGGCGTGACCGGGTAGATGCTGCCCCGCGCGACGACAGAAAGAAGGACCCCGAAACACAGGCCAAAGACAAGCTCGCCGAACGCGCAGCCAAGCTGGCCGAATGGAAGAAGCGCAACGCTGAGCGCCTCAGCAAAGAGAAGACGGACACGCCCGGCTCTGGTGCCTCGCCAGCTGGCACTGCGCCCGCAACGCCCTCTGCTGCCACCGCGACGCCGCCGCCCCCGGCTTCAGCAAGTGAGAACAAGCTTGACACTGCTAAGACCAAAGTTCCGCAGAAGAGTGCTACTGAAAAACTCAAGCAGAAGCAGCCCGAGAAGTCTACCTTCAGGCTGGACGCTTCTGCTGCAGCCCGCCCGTTGGATATGGCTAAGCCGGCTGGCAAGACAGTCACTACCGCCAGCAGTATGTTTTCCGATGACCCATCTTCGTGTAACTACAAGCTTACGCATATAGACCCTGCTACAGCCAAGGGCAACGGCAACATTGGCTCTTTCGGCCTCAAGGCCAAGACGGCCGCCGAAGCGGAGGCTGAGACCTCGAGGAAAGCGTTCCTTGACGAAGAAGGCCCAACTCGCAAGCGCAAGCTCCAGGCTCTCCCCGAGTTCACCGCCAACGATGAGCCTGAACCCGAGGCTGACGGTGCCGACGACGACGACGCTGCCATGAGCGGCATCGCAAGTGACGACGAAGAGAACAATGCGGAGCTCCAGGCTCGCCTCGAGAAGCGCCGCGCTGACATCGCCAACGAGAACAACCAAGACGCTACCATGGAAGAAGCACCTGCCGTCCAAGTCCCCGCCGCCGACAAGATGGACGTTGACGAAAATGCAGGCGCCCAAGAAGACGAGATTGACCCGCTCGATGCCTTCATGGCCGATCTAACCGAACCGCAACCCAGCCGCGGTGCGCCTGCGGGCGAGGCCTTGTTCGCCGATGACCTTGAGCCTGTCGAGACTTCTGTAGAAGCGCAAGACCTTCTCGAACTCCGCGCCGCCAAGAAGAAAAGGAAGGAGGTTGCAACGGTCGACCATGATAAAGTTGAGTACGAGCCGTTCAGAAAACAGTTTTACACTGAGCCACTCGAGGTTTCTCAGATGACGCCAGAAGAAGTCGCCGATCTCCGACATGAGCTCGACGGTATCAAAGTGAAACCAGATGATGTGCCCCGTCCTGTCACAAAATGGGCTCAAATGGGCCTGCTGCAAGCAACCATGGATGTTTTCGCCCGCGTAGGCTACAAGCAGCCCACTTCGATCCAAGCACAAGCCGGTCCCATTTCTCTTTCAGGACGAGACCTTATCGGAGTCGCAAAGACTGGCTCCGGAAAGACGCTCGCATTTGGTATTCCCATGATTCGTCACATTCTTGATCAACGCCCGCTGAAGCCAGCTGATGGGCCCATTGGACTGATTCTCGCCCCGACCCGAGAACTGTCACTACAAATTGTCACTGAGCTCAAGCCGTTCCTCTCAGCTTCTGGTATCACTATCAAATGCGCTTACGGTGGCCAGCCCATCTCTGACCAAATTGCTATGATCAAGCGTGGTGGTATACACATTCTGTGTGGTACACCTGGTCGTCTAATTGACTTGATGACTGCGAATCAGGGACGTGTGCTCTCTTTTAGGCGCATCACCTATGTCGTTCTCGATGAAGCTGACCGCATGTTCGACATGGGCTTTGAGCCGCAAGTCATGAAAATCCTTGCCAATGTTCGTCCGGATCGTCAAACTGTGCTCTTCTCTGCAACCATGCCAAAGAACATGGTGGCATTGGCTCGTAAGGCCCTGAATAACCCGGCAGAAGTGACTATCGGCGGTAGATCGAAAGTGGCTCCTGAGATTACGCAAATCATCTCCATTGTTCCGAACAGCTATGAGAAGAAGATTAACAAGCTACTACTGCATCTTGGACAGCTCTTTTCTGAAGACGAGAATGCCCAGGTATTGATTTTCACTGAGCGACAGGAGACTGCCGAAGATTTGTTATCAAAGCTCTACAAGGCCAAGTATTTCTCTGTGAATACCATTCATGGAGCTAAAGACCAAACAGATCGTAACGAAGCGATCAGTGACTTCAAGCAAGGTATTCTCTCGATTCTCATTGCTACCTCAGTAGCAGCACGCGGTCTTGATGTTCCCGGACTAGCACTTGTGTTGAACTTTGACTGCCCTACTCACTGTAAGTCACCTCCGTCTACTTGTGCACAACAGTATGCTGACATGTTTCACAGTGGAAGACTATGTTCACAGATGTGGTCGTACTGGCCGTGCAGGTAACAAAGGCACAGCCATCACACTCATCGAAAACCCTGGCCAAGAGCGCTTCGCCATTCACGTTGTCAAGGCATTGAAGGAGAGTGGTGCCGAAGTTCCCGAGAAGCTTCAGGAAATGGCAGACACCTTCCATGAAAAGGCCAAGGCAGGAACTGAGAAGTACTACGGTGGCTTTGGTGGCAAAGGTCTGGACAGACTTGACGCAACTCGTGCCCTTGAGAAAAAGCGTGAGAAGCGTCAGCTTCGACTCGAGGGTATTGAGAACAGTGACGACGAGGAAGAGGTTGTACCGATCGTCAAGAAGCCAGAGGTTGCTGGCCCAGGTGCTGCTAAGGTTGCCGACGGAGCTGCCGCAGCAGCTGAACCAGAAGACCAACCACACTGGATGAAGCTTCTGAACAGCAAGATTGTCGTCAACAAGACGGAGCGACCCGAAGCCGCCGCCTCTGGCAAGCCAATGAGTGCAAGAGAAAGGGCCATGGCTGCCGCCTCCAAGGTTGACGGCAGGCTGAGCAAGAAGGGCATGATCCACGCAGGCCAGCCCATTGACAACAAGGGCCCTGATGCTGGTCTTTATCACTCCACGATTGAGATCAACGACTTCCCGCAAAAGGCTCGATGGGCGGTCACGAATCGTACCAACGTGGCCAAGATTCTGGACCAGACCGGTGTATCCATCACAACCAAGGGCAACTTCTACCCGCCTGGCAAGTCGCCCGGTGAGAATGATCTGCCCAAGTTGTACATTCTTGTTGAGGGTGACACTGAAAACATTGTCACTCAGGCAATGATGGAGCTTACGCGCCTCTTGCGCGAGGGCACCATTGCAGCCGAAGACGCGTCCTCGAGCCGCACAGCGACTGGAAGATATTCTGTCGTTTAAAATGCGGGTTCCAATCCTCATATTCGTGGTTTCTTTCTCATGGGCGTTGTTTCATCTTTCAATGGCATCTAGTTGGAGAAAAGGAGGGGCATTGCATCTCAGGGAACGGAAGTGGACATGTTAAACAAAGGAAAAAACATGCTGTTAGTCTATTAGAGAGTCGGGCGGGTTTCAGCGACATACACATGTTTCAGAATGTAAGTGTGGATCCGTTGTTCAACCACAATGTGTCTACCATGATTTACACAACCCCGTCGCAGGTCTCCTTTGCTTTGAGCCCTCCGCTTTTGCCTCACGGGTGCCGTCGTGTCATGTGTGTGCCACTCGACGTCTTTGTACCGTGCATGAACAAGCTCGAGGCTTGCACCACTTGCCGATGGGCAGCGCTGAGGAGGGGGGAAGGGCTGATCATGGGTCTCGACTTGAGTTACCCCCTCTTGCATGAGACCCACATCGTGTGAAATGCCTTGACCGACTTGTAGTAGATAGCTCGCCCCCACACATTAGCGTAGGGTCATGTACGTAGCCCAGCGTCGTAACCCACACTTGCATACAACAAAAATGGAAGCCAAGCTGATTCTTTTCACGTGCGCCAAGTTCCTGTTACATGCCCTCTGCGCGTACACGGGTCCAACTCCGTGGACCGGAAATGTATGTAAGATGACCTGCGCACCAAGCCACCAACGTGCATGCATATCGTGACGCAGATGCAGATGCAGATGCACAAGCAGCAAACGTGAACGTGCGTCCAACACCCATTCTCCTCTCCTCCCACATGCGTTCGGTTTATTTTGGGATGGGCCAGCCACTCTCAGTCTACATACAGGCAAGAAGAACGCAAGGGGCCAGGACCACCACGAGGCTCGTAAATGCGGGATATATTGCTCACAGACGGGCGATGACGAATTAAACAAGCATGGCGGTGGTGGTGCTTGCTGCTGTGACCCCATGTAGCATACACGTGCATAGCCTTGCCGCCACGCCCAAGCCGGATGCGGGTATCCCTTTGTGAGGACATCTTGCTTGCAGCCTGTCCATGGGCTTGGCGACCCCAATGCCGGGGCGAGAAAGAAGAGCGAGAGGAAGAGGAAGAAAAAAAGTGCCGCAGTGGGTCAAGGGCACGTGAGGAGAGGCGAATGTGCCGCAAGCAGCGGTGCATGTGTGGTGATTTGGGGGAGGGGGGGTCCACTTTCCGTACGCGTGTGATTTGTAGATTCTCCCGTTGCGGCTGGGAGGGCGTTGTTCGCAGGGGCTGAGTGTTGCAGCCTCTCTTTTTTCTCCTTGGAAGCGAGAAAAAAAAGATTTTATCCAAAGTACGCTGGAAATCGGGGAATGTGAAGGCCATGTATAGATGATGAAATTGGTGTTTAGCTTAGGCGTTGAAGATAACCTTGAGCGATCAGGCGTTCGACATCGCCCTGGCGGACGTAGAATTGTGAGTTTTTGGTCAGTGTGATGGAGCTAAGGCGGGAAAGGAGTTGATTGGTTAGCTCTTGTCTCCTTGCCGCACTTCGGCATGCCGGTATTCAAGGGGGGGGGGGGAGACGTTGACATACCCGTACTCGGTTTGGATCTCACCGGCATCCTTGAGGACCCGAACGTCGATGAACAGATCGCGGGGTGGCTCGAGGCTGCCCGTTAGGTCGATGTCGGTCCATTGGCCCTTGTATGCGGCGAGGAGATCGCTGTACTGTCTTACGTATTCCTCCTCCTCGGGACTCAGACTACTTTCTTCCCTGCCGCCCCCAGCGCCCAGCGCGCTCCTGCCAGCCTCTCCGCTGTGGTCTCTGCTTCCCTGTTGCTCGAGCACATCAACGCCCTCCCAGCAGTACTCCTCGAGCTTGTCGCTTCGCACTCTATGATAGGCTAACAGGCATCGCTTATTCCGGCGCATACAGAGGTGGTTGACGAGGAGTGCGCAAGCCGTCTCTGGAGAGGCGCTAGGGTTGAAGGAACCGCCGTAGGGAGCGAGGATCGAAGACACATCCTTGTCTAGGTCGCGTACCTCGCGTACAATCGAACGTGTGAGTTCGGTGGCGTAGGGCGGGAGGTGAGGAAGAGCGAGGGTGCGCTTTGCGTTTTGGACCTTGTTTTCTCTTAGCCTTTGATGCTTGGTGGGGGATGAAGAATAATGTTACTAGCTTATTGGCTGCTTCTCCGTACATGACCAACGGTGTGTGACCTGGGTAAGCGGGAGACTGTTTTGAGTATGAATTGTGGTGACTTTGCCCAGTGCGGTGTGTGGTGTACTAGTCTTGTGAAGAGTGGCTTTGGCCTGGTCTATAGCAGTGGTTAGTTGGGCAGATGCAAGCTTATCTGGCTATCTGGTCTTCAAGGGAAATCCAGCTGTTGGGATATGCGGCAAGCATAGGAGGAGTGAGTCTTGCCCGTGTCCCAGCGAGGTGAATGGCTCGACCCCTCATTGGCAGAAGAGCAGGCGCGTCCGCGTCCGCGTCGCGGAGAAGGGTGGGGCACCACCGCGTCTTGGCTTTGTCAAGTTCAACGTCACGCTTCTGGAAACCCCTTACACAAAACCATCGACTCGCACACCATTATTTGACAGACGCTACACGCTCATACCGCTGTACTGCACGCTATTGGTACGATTACAATTCATGCTATACTACGGTCATATGCAACCCCGGCAGTCGAGAGCAGAGTGTCGGCATCGGACACGGACCTCTGCAGGTTCATTTGGTCTACACATATGGTAAAGTCATATCTAACATGCTCCAATCGCAGAAACTTTTAATCAATAAAAATAAACGCCTCAAATGCTACCCATAACGCACCCGGGTGTCCATAAGGCGCTCTCCCAATGGGTATCTAGGTGAACAGCTGAATGATGCCATGCACGGCAGAAGAAAAACACAATCGCTCAAACATGCATCGATTGGCACATAACAGGTCATTGCTCGCCCACCCACTTGTCAAACTCGGACTCTTGCTCCAAGGACGCCATGGTCGGATCGGGCTGCCATGCGTGATAGTCATCATGCGAGAGATCCAGCAGGTTGTCGAAGTTGTGTTGGGTCAGCGCTGCTTCTTGCATGCCCATGTGCCCATTCCGGAAGCTGGTATTCTGGAGAGCTGCAGGATTGATGTCGGAATGATTCCCGCCATATAATGTGAGCAGCGGATCCACCTGCACTTCATCAAAGGGTGTACCGACGTGTGAATGACACTGGTGCAGGATGTCGTCTGCGTTTCCTCCGGGCAGGCCGAGCATCGCTGGGTTCGATTGGAAATGGCTCGAGGGCGTTGGGGTATGCAGCAGCGCCATGTGCGCGTCGTCTGTGTAGCTCGGGCTCAGATGCATGACTGGATAGCCTGCAGACTGAAAATAGGGATTGTAGAGGTCGGTCTGGCCTATCGCTATGGGCATCGGCATCGGCATCGGCCGCCCTTCGTTCGTCATCTCCCATGAGGATCTGTTGACACCATTCGCGTTTGGTCCAAATGTTCCGTCAAAATACTCTGCGCCAACCCCGGTTGCTGGGTAACTGATCGAACGGTCGATGCGTCTCACCTGCCGCGGGCGCGGCTTTCCCGCACCTGGAGCCCACTCGGCATCGTCCAAATCGCTGGGTTCTTCATCGTCCGACCACTCACTTTTTCGCTTTCTAGCTGGCGCGGCCGTCTTGCTTGGCGAGAATTTGTATGTCGGATGCGCATTCTGGTGGTTGATTCTCTCAATCTTCGCATACTCATTGTACAGTTCGCGGATCTCTGGTGGTTCAAGGGGCCAGCTCTCACCGGCGACGGACGAGACGACTTGATGGTTGTTCTGCAAGCACCATGACTTTGCTCTTTCTGCAAAGGCCGACCGGTACAGCATAAAGGAGTTCATGGGACGAGTGATGTATCCATTCCTCTTCTCTGCTTCCCGCCTTCGGACATCTGCCGGTCTGTTCACCCACTCCTCCATGTTCTTGACCGGGATATGGTGCAGTTCCTTTGTCAGGATGCTCAATGGCGCTGTCAGTTTCGGTGTTTTTTGTTTGTCGCCCTTGTTCATCTTCGGTTTCCTAGATTTCGGCATCATCTTTGGTCGTGGACTTGCGTCGTTTCTTCTCGGTGAGTTGGGAGCGGTTGCTGCTCTTCCACTACGGGTAATTCTTCGACTGGGCTCATCGCCGTTTGCGGATCTTGGAGTTGGCGGTGAGAACACGGCTTGGTCGTTCTTTCACCTGTTAGTCACATTACCTGTGACTACTGTTGAAATTCACTTACCGGCATGCCACTGTACGGGACATTATGGTAATACTCCGCCGGAGGCCCATATCCATCCTGGATTTTGGTCAGCATTTTTGTGCGCGGGAGAATGCAGGGGCGCTCACATATTGTATACCTAGTCCAAGCCCACGAGTATGGCTGTCGGCATGTGACGCATGCGAAGGGATAACTTCGTGCGCCACCGACCCAGGGGAACCGTATCCCGGCTCTCCGAACGAATAGCCGCGGTCTGCGTTGTATTGCGCAACTTGGTGCAGTCCAGCCTGGTATTCTGCCCCAGCATTCGGCGGAGTGGGGGGATGTTGTTGGATGAGCGTGTCGCCCCTCATCATAGCGAGCATCAAAGCGCAGTTGGTTGGATCGCCGCGACAGTGGAGATTGGATTCGCTCTTCCCTCTATCGTTTCTTTCTCCCCCTCGGATTCAAACCAAGAGCAACGTCGTTGAGATTTCGAGTGGACAAGGTGCAGATGGGTCGAAACTATGTCTCTCCTTTAAGCGAAATGTTTCAGTGACTGAGGACGGCTGATGAGAGGTTGTCTTTAACCTGAACCTAGTGTCTACTCTAGGTTCCTCCAGCCAAAAGGATGTGTTCCAGTTATGTCGCTGCGGAGTCGTCAGTAACCATGGCCAAAATGTTGCTTTCTGTTGGGTTTGCTGCATCGCAACGATGCATCGCAGTTCGCAAAGCGTTCAGGGAACGAACCTGTTGCAGGCACCCGCCTCTCACCGGCTCCAGTGCTTGAATATGCCAACAAGCAAATCAGATGGACAGACGACACCAAATGGCAGGTCAGACAGGCAGTTGTATGGTCGGAGCTGCGGTGTTCTGGCCCGTTACTCCTTGTGGCGAAGACAGGGCTCGAGCAAGTTGTGAAGGGCAAATCAAACGAGAGGGATCCTTTGTCCGGGGTCAGTGGCGAGATGGTATTTGTAGCGACTACCTCATCTCTAGGTTAACTGCTCACGTACAGTGTAGTGAATCTCTGTATCAACATGGACAAAGAGACTACCGGATTGGTGATGGCTGCCACACCGACGAGTCGGGCTGCTTTTGGACTGCGAGCCTTCCAAACGATTTCGTACGTACGAGATGGCGCACAGCTTAGCCCTCTGGTCCGTTCACGTTTCGAAGTCCCTCTCTTCCCCAGTGGGGTTGGAAGCGGCCCTCAGCCCCTCCACAGCGACAGCTATCGGCGGGAGCTACGCCCAGTTAGGACGCCCTTTCATAGCAGTCACCTAGCTTAAGGGAGAGTTCATCAATGTTGACAGGGATCCACAATGGCTTGCAGTAGTCATGTGCCTTTGGCGCTCGCCATAGTAAGCCACACTTACTGGTATCTTTAGCTGTTGGTGGCACCCTTGGGGTCTTGTGTCCTATCAGATGATGGGCTGCATTCCCAGCACCAATTGTATCCCCGGGGCTAACGGCCCCCTTCTTCAGCAGCCAGTTACTTGGGCGGTACATGGGCTTAAATTCCTCCCCAGCTCGCAGCGATTGGTTCAAATAAATCTGGACCTTCCGTCACTTGGTAGCTTGGGTTGGCGTGCCCTTTACGGATGGTTGCATTTCATCTATGCCAGAACCCTGACAGCTGCTGATACTTGGCAGGGCCGACCACGATACCATGATATCCAGCATCTACAAAACATGCTAACATGCACCTGTGCAATCATCTGATGGGCACCTCTAGACTAGCCGTTTCTCAAACACGATACCGTTGTTGACTTTGGCATTTGCAGCGGCGAGACAAAGGGCGAGCACAGCACGCCCAGCACGCTGGTCACGAATGCGCCACCACAGCAAGGCTGAGCAGCCCGTTGACCGCTCGATTCTCAGAATAATCCCATCACCCCTGCCCGTTCGCGGCTGTTGAGCTCAGGCTCCCTGCGCTCATGGCTTTTGGAACAGGCCAATGAGGATTGTTTGACACTGGGTGTCTTTTGGAGACAGACAGTGGACAGCTGGGCGAGGCGCTGCATGTTGGATGCATGCAGCAAAAATTCGGTTGCTTCCGGTCGATCGTGCCGACAAGCGCTCCCTGAGGACATTTCTCTGGAATGCATACTAATACCATTTCGGCATGTCAACCAAACGGTCTCAACTTTGTGCGACCGGGTTTGGTCGAGCCTCAAAGACAATTTCGATTGGCCTGAGCAAGCACGAAACACGTGTGGATCTTGTTGTTTTTTACACTGCTTTGAATCAGGGGGTTCAACGGGGTTTGTCAAGTTTGAGCATGCATGTTTGGACCGGTACGCCCAAAAAGACAGCAAACGAGCTAGCCGTACAGCGTCTCCCCAACACGGTGCATCACGAGTGTATGCCGGACAGTCCAATCAGCCATGGCAGCGTCAAGGGAGATATCACAGCATTTCGCTACCGTAGGATCCCAGGCTGCTGTGGTCGGCGAGACGCTCCAGGCACGCACGCATCTAGACGGAGTCGTCACTGTCACTGATCGCCTGCACTGGCCTCGATGGAGTCCGCGTTACTCAACCCGGGGATGCCCCATTGCTCGCCACAAGTTGCCGCCAAGCCGCCGTGGCATCTGCGCACTGAGATTTATTCCATAAGAGTGCTAATGGAGCTTCAGGTATGCTCATCACCGGCTCTACCCGTCACTGATTTTGTGCACATATCGCGGCCTCGGGCCGATGGGCATACCACTCTAAATGGCTCGGCAGCACGTAATAGCAATGGATGGAGAGCTAAAAGTTATTCTCCGCGGGAGCTAATGATTGATGTGCTCTTCTTGCTTCGTGGAAGGGTTTAGGCGGTCTACCCCACCTGAGCAGGATGCTTACCATGAAACGTCATCATAGCACGGCAGTGCCGTCGTCAGTCTGGCCGTCGTCACCAACGTTGGTTTGATGCGCTATGTTTTGCAAGCTCCAGCGCCAGCCCCTTTTTGTTCACAGAGTAAAAGCCGCCGCGTCAGGGATAGCTGCTTGGCCCTATCACAGCCAACCAACAGCCCCCACTGCTAAAAATTATATTCCACGTCCAGGCCTGGCATTGGTACACTAGCAGAAGCACTCGCAGTAGGCCAACGGTTGCGGTCGGGTTCAGCAACGATGCCGCGAGGGATTCTCTGCAAACTTACCGCCTGTTACAGTGGAGCCCAAAGATGCAGTTATCGAACCATGTTGTCGATGTAACATCTGTTGGTCGATGGCTACTAACTACTTGGAGGCCGATTCAGGAGATCTGGGCTATGTAACGGTCCAGCCAATTGAAAAATCCCAGGAATGCCGGCTTTTCGGGCCCTATCAAGGTGGTTTACCTACTTAGTGTCGAATTGAAAACGACGGCGGAACACGCGCTGGGCATTAGCGCTCTGCCCGCGGGTAGTCGCCGAGGCCAAGACTGAGGTTAGTGAAGGCTGGATGCAATCTGTCAGCAAACTACACCTAATACTTAGCACGTGCAAGCTTCCCCAAGCTTCGATCTACACTGAACGATCGCGCCATCCAACAGACCATATAAAGCTGGGATTTATGCAATTGCTTCGCCTCAATCCGGACTCCTAATCTATCTCGCACATCCTTCTTGGCTTGGTCTGACATAAACACCCATTCCCTCCAGCACACTCCACTCTTGAATGTGGCAAAACAATCCATACGACTTTTGCCCAGAGTAAGACGGCTTAATAGCGGCATTCGTCTATGCTCAGCCAGCTGGACTTGTGTGCTACACGGTCCCATGGGGCTGGTATCACGCTAGCACGCTACGCTCTAACACGGCTAACACGGCGCTTATTTAGCTTGTCCTTGGGGAAGATACTCCGCAGCAGCTTCCAGACTTGATTTAGGAAATGGTGCTCTTTTCTGGTTAGGTAACTAGACATGTCGGGCATATTCGGACCGCAGCGCCCCTGACCAGATTTTAGTTTTGCCAAGCATTTGCTTCCTCCGCGGACAGAACATGGCACGCGCGTGGCTTGTCTCGGGTGGGTGTTGGACCGGAGGCTATGTCTCAACCGCATGTGTGCTGAAGTTGACAGAACTCTTGGAATGAAGCTGGCTGTGAGTGTGGCTTTTTGCACTGCCATGAGATGTTACCGTAACCCCAACCCCTTTTTGTTTAGGACATGGACTTTTTTCTTCAGCAGCCTGGATGTATTATATCCTCAAATAAAGAAAGCGCCACAAATTCTGGTAAAACCTCGACAATGCATTTGGAATTTTGCTTTCTGCACGAACCATGTGATCCATGTGATCTCGGAAATACGGAAAAGGACTTTGAAAGAATCTCAGTCAAACAATGAAGTCAAAACATGATAGATAACTGGATGTCGCCAATACATAGTCCATGCCTTCGAGCAGCGCAGTTAAAATCGACATTGAATGTGATTAGCCTAGAAATAAAAACACTACAGCAAATATGTCGAAAGAAGACGGTTCTGGGAGAAACAACCCTCCTCCACATGATGAGTCCACACACTGGGCAAACCCAACCCACGAATCTCGGCGAAGGTCGTCAAATATCCTGCAAAGAATCGACGAAGACACAGTACTCCCTTCGCTCGCAGTTCCGCAAAGATCCTACGCAATAGACCAAGACGAAGGCCGGTACCAAGATGCACCGAGGAGAAGATACTCGAACAACAACATCTTGCGCAAAACTACCTACCAAGAAGATTATGCTACAGTGGGAATGCGACCACGAAACAATACCACTAGCTATGCAGCGCCTACTAGAGCTTCTCGGGCCAAGAAGAACGAAAAAGTGGAGGTTCCCTCGTCGGCCGGATGGAATCGCAGATCGAGAGAGATTCCGAGCCGCCCAGAAAGTGCGGCGCTGCAGGGGTCTTCTGCACAGGGGTATTACCACCAGAACAGTCCTGTAATGCAGAGAACGCCGGGTTTTGAGAATGGCTGGAACCAGAGTGCTGCGGGTAGTCAGGTACAGAGTCACGGCGGAGATGCTGGAGATACTGAAGACGAGACGCAGGTTGGTAGCGATGTGGGGGTTATACTTGATCAGTGGAAGCGGGAAAAGGAGGAAGTAGAGGAAGATTTAATTGGTGCACATGAATTGGGGCGGCTGGACCAGGTCGAGCAGCTGAAGGTCGAGCTGGAGAGGTTGCGTGAGGAACGCGATGAGGCGTTGCGACTTACACAGGCACTTCAACACCAACTGGAAACAACTCAGGACGAAGACGCGAGTCTACAAAAGAACGACAAAGATTCGCAAGACAAAAATACGGAGTTCGTTCCTGAATATCAGTCTAGCGATGCTGGTGCTGATGTCCAAGACTGGAAGAAAGAGTACGAGGAAGTCTTGGCCATATATCAAGAACTTGAGGCTGCTGCGGGGGAACATGATGACGTAAAGCGGGAGCTACAATCGAGCAAGGCGGATGTAGAGAATCTGAAACAAAAATACGATGCACTCTTGATCAGAAACCAAGAGCTAGAGGAGAAGATAGAAGCGCGAAATCAACTGGAACCTGGCCTACCGCTCAAGGAAACTCCAGAAATCGAGAACAGGAAACTACGAAAAGTAGTCGTAGAAAAAGAGGGCCAAATTGTAAAACTTCAGATAAAAGTAGGAGACGCACAAGATAAATTGGGGGAATTGAAAGAATTCGCCAAACAAATCGAAGACGAGGCTTTCGATAGCAACAAGAAACTCGAACAACTACGAAATATCGTGCACGACATCAGCGAGGCCGTGGGGCAGCGCGCGCAAACCTTTTCCGGCGACCCAAACATGGATATTCGAGGCTTTGGTGATCTTATGAAGACCTTTGTAGACAACGCTGAGGCTACCGAGTTAATCGCAAATATCGACGAGCTAATGGGAAAGCTTTGGCAGACAAATGTGACTCTGGCACACCAAATGGGGGAAATGAATTACGAAATCTTGAGCCTTAAGAAGACAAAGAGGGACTCGATGCGGGGTTTCAGTCTGCCAAATCCGGGCATCACAAGTCCAACGTTAAGTCCGCGACAGGCGGATAGAGATGGATTTGAGAGTCTGTATAAACAAGAACGGGAGAGGCGCAAAGCTGCAGAAGAGACACTGCAAGAGAGGGATGCTATCGCAGTAAAGGAGCAACATTTGGAACTTTCACGGCAGAACGAACAGCTTCAATCAGATCTTCAACAAGCACAAGAAGAGCTTGCTGATCTACGCAAGCAAGTCGATGAGCTGCACCTGACAGCCGACTCCTGGAAAGACGAATCGGAACAGAGCAAGAGAGAGTTGGAGAAGCGCAGTGATGCATTGCAGAGTTTCATCGTAAAGCAACGGCAAGAAGAACACCAGTACATCAAAGAGTATCACGACAAGACGCTTGATGAATCTCACTGGGAAGTCGCACCTCTCCAGGAGAAGCTGCAAGCTCTTGAACAAGACAACCAAACACTCAAGCAGCTGTTTGATCGTAGCCAGAGAAAGGATATACAAAAGGAGCAAGAAATGATGAGACTGGCAGCAACGAAACAGCTCGCACTGGCACATATCGACCACATGGAGCAAGCCTACCACCTCGGCATACCGCTGCCTAACATGCCCCCTCTCCCCACTCTACCGACCGTGAAAGAAGAATTGCAGGAAGACGACAGTTCAGATTCCGACAGCATATGCCCCTCGTCGTGCCCGCCATCTCCCGTGCGCATCAGACACGCCCCCATCCCCAACCGCATCCCGCGCTGCCAACTGCCTGCCAGAGTCAAAGACCGCAAAACCATCGTCGCCGCGTACCGCGCCGAACTCAAAGCAAAAACAGACCAAGAACTCCTCCGTCTAGCCTTCAACCCGCAGCCATACGCCCACAGCAAAAAAGACCGCCACCACCCCTCGCCCGGCGACGAAATCATGGAAAAAGTCCGAAAGTGGAAACTCGGCAGGATGTATCCACCAACCAGCAAGTCGTGGGACGAAACGCGCAAGAAGAGCCCGTGGGAGCGCTGGGGAGCAAGCGACTGGATTGAGAAAAATGCGTCGGGGAGAGACTTGGAAATTATCGCCCAGAGCGGGGTGTCGTCTTGATTTTTCCAGAGGAGAAGTAAGTAAAGGGTATTACAAAGGTGTATTATAATATTTCTGTCTTTCTTTTTTTCCTTATGTTCGACAGTAAAAGAGAGAGAGAGAGAGAGCTGCGGTGTCGAAAAGGTCGTAAAATAATAAGTCGTACAAGTAGTAATCTGGGATCAAGGTGATTGTTTCCGCTTCCAGGAAAGCAGCGGGCTGCTGGCGTTGGAGTCGTTTTCATTTTCGCTCGCTTTTTCCTCTTCGCACGCCTCGCACATGCCGGCTTCGCGTAAAACGTCTTCGGAGTCGGCGGCATCGCCGCTATTACTGCTGGCGCATTCGAATATCAAGCCCGAGGGCCCCAGGACGGCGAGGCCGTGGCCGCAGTTGACCGGATCGCGCTTCATGGTGATGTGGCAGCTGCTGCAGCTGATGCGGATGAAGTGGCACATGTTGGACGAGGAAAAGCGTGGTGGCGCAAAGGCGGAAAGGAAAAAGGGGCGGAGGACATGTGCATATAAACCTGCGGCTGGATAAGATTTCTGGTCCGCCCCTTATATAATTTTACGGCGCACCATCCATTTAGATTGAGCCGCGTGTGCAGGGCGACAATGGTCAGATCAGGACCGAATGAGATGTAAGCACGTTCAAGGTCGTGGCTTCTCGTCAGTTGTAAGATGGTCGATGCACGACGATCATGTGCCTCAGCACAAATGCCGCTCTGACCCGCGGGGATAGGATGGAGAAAAGCTTGCAGTCGTGACAACACAGCGCTTCAACATGAAAATTGTAAACGTCACTGAAAGGTGTTGTTCGGTATGAGGTGCGGTTGCGAAATTAGGCGGGCGGTACGGAGGTGCCTCACAAAAGTTTTGTCCTGCCAAGAATAATTTAGCCGAAATCTGGCCGCTCTCCTACACAACGCCTATCTCTCCCCTCTATATACTCATTACCACCTTGTAGCTCAATTATCTTTGGAATATGTATAAGAATACGCTCAATCCAAG